AGGGGAAGCGCCCAGCGATAGCAGCAAGCATTCCCTCTCTTAGCGCGGTGTCCATGGCCCCGTTGGACCCCCCCCGTCTTCCAGCCATAAACGCGGTGGTGGGCCCCTGGGCCCTGCTGTGCCAGCTGAGGGTCCCCCCCAGGTCGGATAGTGTCCTTGCCTCGCATGCAAATCACCCCGATCTTCCTCGGCCCGTGTCTTTTAAAAACCAAGAAACTCGCTGTGACCTAGCCCCCCCACCCCTGAGACATGGAAAACGCCCACTATCCCGGTCACCCAACCGTCGCCAAAAGGAAAAAAGGGTGTATGCTCTGCGTGTATCTCTCCCGAGAACCCGCTCGGTGAGCCAACACCAGTCTATCCCCAGTAAAACCAAGACCCGGGGAAGGTAGTCGCTCGTGAAAATCCTATGCAAAACGCCGTCGGTAACAACCGCCCATCTAAGGCTTGGGCGGCGCAGGATAGCCCTCGAGGGCATCTGGCCATGTCGATCCGTCGACCGAGGAAAACTTGTTCGTCGCGAAAAAAATCCGCACAGCTTTTTAGCTCTGCTGAGTATGCCTGCCGCTCGTTCCCTCCGCATCCCAGGCAGCGGGGGTAAGGGGGTGGTGTGGTGGTGTGGTGGTCTATCCGTGTTGAGAGGCCGAGTTGGTACCAGTCGGGAACAACGTCAGGGCGGGAGCGGGTTCGTATATAAAACACCACGCTAGGAGCTGGGCCACGTCTGAATAGCTTGTGGTCACTTAGTGTGATGGTGCTCTTTGATGTTGGGCAAGTGATGGGATGATGATGAGAGAAAACGGAGCCAAAGACTAAGAGCGAGGACCAGGGAGCAGGTATTTGAACTGGAGCGGGAATCGAGAGACTGGGAGTGTATGTATATATTCCCTTGGAAAAGGGACAACGCGATCCACCAAGACCGGCTCGCATGAGACGGATCCCATGGAAGCTGGCTTGGGGTGCGGGAAGGGCTGAGAACAGAGGTCACCAGATCATCCATCTGACTGTGTGGGGACCCTTGCGTGGGATGTGGGCAAGGAAAACCAGGAATAAAATTATCTGGAGGGAAACAATGAAACAGCGGTGACAAGCTCCCGCTTTCTGGCTCTCGGGGAAAAGACAGACGATCCTGGGGGGAAGCACTACTCCGCAGTAGGGTAAGCTCAAGTAGTACATACCAAAAGGTACGAAAGTGAGCGCGGCGAAGAGAGTCGACCTGCCATCCTGTACCCTGGGCCGCGACAGGGGCCCGGGTCCTTGGCGCGCGGTGGACATGACTGGAGCGCCCCCAGCTGCCCATTTTCCTCGGGTGGGTTGTACCCTGTCGCTGCACCCATGCTTTGTACTTTTCGCAGGGATTCGCAATGGGTCAATGGACTCGTCACCGTTTTGCTGGGACGTGGGATCCTTTGACAGAGGGGGTCCTCCACCACCGTTGGACGCCCCTGCCCCGCGGCCTTCGCCCGGTCGGCCGCCGATCGAAAGCGCGTGTGGGACCTACGGTGTTGTCGATGCGGTAACTGTACTTGCTGAATGTACATACCTAGGTAGCGATGTGCTGTCGGCGGTGGCGGCAAAGTCGGAGGCGCGCCAGCCGAGGCCTTTTGTCCCGAAAAGACGCCCTCTTGCAAATAGGAGTTGACGGTTGGCTGCACCGCGAGAATCATGCTGACCTCTTGTGAGCGCGCCCGGGTAAGGCTTGATGCATGCCGGGGGCTTTCCGGTGCCGCGGCACGCCCCTCGAGTGGTTCAGGACGACGGCATGTCTTGAGAAGGCCATCGCACAACAGCAAGCAACAGACCGCCTTCGCAAGAAGGTCGTCCAAAAAACCGCTACTGCGTCAGCTCCGGATTGATGGACAGCGTGATAGCCCACCGACCGACGGGTGCTTCGGGAGAGAGGTTGGCGGGCAATTGGTTGGGAGAGTGAGCAAACGCCTCGCTGCCCAGGACCGCCGGGTCTGATACCACCAACCCAGGCCTGGTCGCAACACGCGGCTACGCGCACCAGCTCCCCACTTGTGAAGCTGCCTCGGGCAGCACCGAGGCGGCGGAGCGCTGCGAGCCTGGTGTCCGTGAGAAAGCATGCGGTCGATTGCCTCCAGGGATTAAAAAGTGAGGCGGCGTCATTTTTCCTCGTTGCGGATTTAGCGGCTTGCCGCTGAACACGAAGTGAAAGCAAAGAATCCAACCCAAGGTGGCACGGCTGCGTGAATAACTACCCACATGCCGCATCCTGCCTCGAACCTTGATGTGATAGGTCACTTGGGAGAAGACTGGTAAAGGGCTGTGCGCGAGGCGGGGGAGGTGAGGGGGGAAGAGGCTCGCGATGGAGATTTCGTCACGCCTTGTCCCGGACGTTGGGCCGCGGATGATGTCGCGGGTTTCGATGGAGAATGAACTGGTCGAGGTGTTGGGAGAATGCTGTGCTGATTGGACCACCGATTGAGAGGCGGTGAATCGTCGATGCCGGAACCCGGAGAATTGCGGGACTAGTCGTCCGGTGTGGAGACGGCCACCAGGGATGCCTAAGGGTGACGGCCAGAAAACATCGAAAGCGGTAGGCATGATGGACCGAGCTGCGCAAAAACCACATCAGGGCTCAAATCGGATCTCCCTCGTGCCTTCCCTAATAGGTCCTCCAGCACCCGCAACCGGGAGCTGGCTGGGTCACGATGGCACCCGCCAGTGGACTGGAAGCCGGTGAGGCGCCCATGGCGTTTGCAGTCTCAAGGAGGGCATTCGGGAGATGCAGGAGTTCGTTACCGGGCCTTCTGTCACCATCGCCAGACCGGTCACAGCACAACATCCAAGCGGATGCCCCAAGGTTGCAGTCAACGCAACCCGGGCGTGAATTGCCGCTACCTGGGAGGTTGAAAGGCACCAATCGATATTGTACGGATACACGGTACATACATACAACATAGATACATACATACATCCGACCTGTTGTGGATGGACGGGATGCCCGAGCCTCAAGCCGGAATCGACTCCGTAACTCCTAGTCGAGAGGCGATCGATATTGGCGCTGCCGGAAACCGGGCATGAGCCATGGCGGAAACATTGAAGCGCACGCATCAAGGACAAGATTCGCATCCAAAACGATGGGGATCGTGGGTATTGGCGGGCGATCAGAACCCCCGTTGCTTCTTGCGCAGTGAAGCCAGGGTTACCCAGGCCTCGGGCGAACAACACGACGCCACCTCGAACTCTTTCTGCCAGGGTGTGGAAAAGCGCATCGGACCGAAATTAAGCTCGAAACGGCGCAACACGAACCCAGTCCAAGAAGAAAGTCAAAAAGAAAAACGGCAAAACGAAGCCGCGACAAACACGCAGCCCCTTGGACCAAGGGGGCCCTTGACATGGTGCCCGCTTGCCGTCGGTCAATGTTGTGCAACATGGCGATGTCTCGGAGCGAACTCAATTCGAGCGCTTCGGTAATTTAACGTCGAACAATCGCGCCAACTGTTGAGAGACGGGGAGGCTCGGGGACCAGCCGACTGTGTTGGTACAGTGCTCCGAGTGGTCGGCTCAGCCAAGCCATTGAGCAATCGCGGAGCTCGGAATCACCAGCCCACCTTCTCCCAAGGCCCCTCGTCCCACAACTCAACAAGGTGGTGTTTGCTTTTTTTACTCGTGCCCTCATTTGCCAGCGCGTGTCCGTCTCAAACCCCCATGACCGTTTCGTACGATGAGTTGCCCTCAGTAGGGAGGGCGAACGTATCGAGATGCTAGTTAGAAGTAGTCCCAATTCACTAACAAATGGTTGCTGGTGGTAGACATATGCAGACGCAGCTGCAGAGGCACGGCGCCAGATGGCCCGTCTGCAGCAACCCGCGCGGGAATCATGGATTGACACAGGGCTCACAGTGCCGGCCTCATTGACGTGCATACAAACAGTACGACGCAAGACTCTCCCCTAGGGCGGCACGTGCCTGCGTGTCATGATCCAACCGGGGAGGCACCCGGGGAACCATCCGCTTTTCGCAAGACCCCGACGGCACACGCAGACTCGCCGAGGAAAAATCTGCCGCCCCTGAATTTTCTGTGGATGCGATGACGAGTGGCAAACCAACCGGAACCGGTGCCATCCCTATGGAGAACCATGTGGCAGACCCGCTCACATCATACAAGTAATGGAGGGTGACCCGCGCGTGCGGCCCCAAACCGCCGCCCACGCACGCATCGGGTTTGGGTAGAAAATCCGAACAGACACCGCTCCTGTTTCAGAACGTTAAAAAACTGGGACTTGCCGTTGAATGCAGGGAAAGCGGTTTGGAATCACCGAGGAGAAAGGCAAATATGCACGGTGGTGGGAGCCCTCCCCTGCTCAGAGCACCACGTTACCCTGTGCAGGCTCTGGTGCCACCAACAACTCCATTTCTCAGCCGCAACCTTTCGGTGATTTGTGGGCAAGATGCTCGCAACTCGCAGGCATCCCAGCCTCGTCATGGACAGCGAACCCCCCGGCAGATCGGTGAACCACCCAGCCAGCGTGGACCGAATCCCTGTTGGCCAGCTCGCTTCCAGAAAGTCGATTTTCCCCATGTGGGAGTCCAACCAGATTGCTGGGCCGGGGACCAGCAGAGCTGATCCTCTGACTTGGCCTGCAACTCTGCACCAATCAGCGCCGGATGCCCGGTTTCAGTCAACTTTACAACGTGCCCTGTCCCTGACCACTGCCGGCAGCAAGACACGGTGCGTCTTGTCAGATCATCGGATGAGATCCTGCACCGCTAGTCGTCTCGGTGGCTAGTTAGTTGGCAGAGAAAAACAACAACAAATGACGCCAATCGCCGCACAGACATTTCTCAAGATTGCCGTTGATAATATCGTGTTGTCGCGAAATGCAGCCAGGGTTATCAGAAAATTTCAGAAGAGCGGCCCAGAAGTCCAGCGGAGTGGACCACGGCTGAACTCTTCCAGGTTGCTGAAGGGTTCCCACGAGCTGATTGGTCATCGGTTTCGTCCTGCTTTAAAGGATGCATCTGATCGAAATCATGTGCTTCCAATGCGACGACAGAACAATTCCCACACATAACTCTTTGGGACACGCCAGGGATTGAGGGATTGAGGGAAAACTTCCTGCGTACCTGACTAACCAGCTCCCCCGTGCTTCGTAGTTAATTTGCACGCAGTGCCATGCAGCCCACGGCCTAGCTCCAATTGTCCAGAAACGGTGCATCGGGGAGGCGCACGTCGTTTGCTGCTGACTGGACCGCGGATAGTTCGTACCCAAACCATGCTGTGGACATCACCACCCGATGGAGGAAAGCCGCGTGGAAGGTTATTCACGCTGTAGACCGGCGCAGACTAAGCCTTTTTGTTCTTTTTTGTGCCATAAGAAAATGCCACTAGCTACTTGCCTCTCTGCGCTGAATGGGGGTTATTGGTGGCGGAGCCATGGTCCCAACCAAGCGGATGGACCTGAAAGGCATCGAATCATCACCACCATCCACCGCCTACAAATGAAGCCACCCCTCGGCGAGCGGGTTCGTGGCGGCACAGCAGGGCCGAGATAGATCCGCCGGGTTGCCCGACCCGGATCGAAGACGGACGAGTTCCCATTGACCGAGTCGTCTCTCGTTGGATTCTGCTGCGTACTGTGCAGCACTGTGTGCAGAGTAAACCATTCTCCTCACCATGGCGCTGGCCCATTGGGAATCCCCAACCATCTCACAACAATTCTTCGAAAGCGGCTCGTATTGGATTTCCTTTTCCTGGCAACCTTTCCTTGGCCGACAGAAGCGGATTCGTGGCGGTGTGCATCTGCGCCCGCGCAATCGAGGTGGTCCGAGCGCACGTGGGCAAAGCTCAAGTGCGTGGGGGACCTACTCGCTCCAACAAGAACCGAGAACCCTGTCGAACGTTGCCTGTTTTAGAGAGGACTAACCCAAACATGGTTGTCTTAAACTGCGTGGATGTATTCGTACTGTGAACTGTGTACTCATTCAAGATACCAATCTCGGTGAGTTAGACATGATGTACAGAGCCAACCGATGCTCTTTTCCATAACACACGCCCATGGGCGCTTCCCATCCTACCATCCATGGAGAAAGATTATTCATTTGGACGTTTGTCGTTGGTTCGGCATCCAGACAATCTGCACAAAATCCCAAAGTGCTGGGCCGCGGGGTGGCGTCGAAATCTTGGCACTCCCAATGAAACCCCCCGCACACTAGACGGTTTCGGTTCCGCCGAGCCGGGCCACGGCTTGTAATCTTGTGTGCGAGCTGCATTTGAGACGGAACGGGGTCTCATGAATGTGCTCACCTGTCAGCAAAGAGTGAGTTGGCGCGCAACGCCGCGCCAGAGTATCGAAACCCGACGAGCTACCGCTCTTGGGGACAATTGGGGGCGGAACTAAGTACCACCCGAAGTTGCATGTCAGCCTGCCGAGGTACGTTACCTAATATCACTGCCAGAAGGACCGCAGCTGGAAACACCCCTCATCAATGTGTCGGACTGTCGTTAGAGGAGCGTGCTTCGCTTTCAGGTGCGATAACGGCAAGAACGGGTACTTCTTTGGGACTGCAAAAACGGTGGGACGGACTAACCGAAGGTCCGTTCGCACGCCACGCGAGAAGCGTGGGCGGAGACGTCATTTTCGCAGCTGCGGGCGGCCTTTGATCTGACCCGGGATCGTGGTTTGGGCTGAGCGCTGAAGCGCGGCGGCACACGCTGCACCTCAGATCAGGCCTGCCGAACGAGCCGGGGATCGGGTGTGATTCCCCCCTCTCGCCTGTGACTGCGACGGGCTCTCTTGGCACGCGCTGTTTCCCAGGCAGGTGCAGAAGGAATATGCAGAACTAGCACCGTTATTGCCTGGTTGGGTAGCCCGATGGATGGTGGCTGCCGCCAATGGAGGTTCCTTCCTCCGTCCAGTGGGAGCTGCGTTTTTTCCTCCAGATCTTCCAGAAACTCCAAAGCCCGTTCCGAGTCAATCCCCTAACACCCCTGGACCTTCCACCTTCCCAATTTTGATCGAGACGGAATCTAACATTATCGGGTTTCACTTTCAAAGATGGGATTCTTGCGGAGCTCCGACTTTGCGCGTTTTCTTCAAGTCGTGATGACCGAATTCACTTGAAACAGCGTTTCAACCCAACGTGTGTCTCGGGAGCTCGGTCCGAGCCCTCGGCCCCGTACGTGACCTCGTTTCCGACGAGCAGCGTCAAAGAGAACCAAGCCCACCACGAGGCGGTCGAAATCTGAGGTTAACAGCCCTGTAAGCCCCGGCCTTCGCATCACGGCGACTAGTACTGCATGACGACGGGCCGAGTGCGGCTGTGCCTGTGTTCTGTCTCGACAAAGTCCATGCCCTCGCTCCTTTGGACCGCATAAGGTCGTCCGAGATGTATCTTTGATCGACATGACTTGGGCGTCCATGCGCGTGGGTGCTGCGGGTGAAGTGTCGAGGCGGAGGCTTGGTGCGCCGCCTTCCAAGTCTCGTGCTCCTCTCCCCCCTATCAATGGCTCGGCTAAGCATGCAGCGAAGGGGCACATACAGCTCGACCCCAGCTGGGGGAAGCAGGACGCCTTCTTGGGAACGACGACCCGCGGCATCCACCAACCCCAAACTGCAACCAATTCGTGATTGATCCTCCGCCCCTCGATTGATAAACACCGCGTTTCTGTCCCCTGCGTGCTTCGGGGCCGCAGCTTGACCGGTCTGCGGCCGTGGGGCGGGCGCGGCGGAGCTGTTCCAGAAGAGACGGAACATGCAGTTGGATGACAGATATCGACGGTCCAACGAACTTTGGTGGCTTCTGACGGCGACTGCAGTTGCCTATCATGACTCATTGCGTCCTGGTTCCGCCAATGCGTCGTGCAAACGGCAGCCCCGTTCCTCGCCAACTCGCGCCTGAAGCGTGCTGGCTTGCATGGAGGTATCGAACGCACGTCGGCCATCTCACCTCTCGGGCCGCCGCGGCCAAAGTCCCAACTCGGCAGGGTCTGATCAATGCGGTTACTCGAGCCGCCCTCGTCGACTTTTGAGGCCCGACACTCGTCGGCAATTGCTCCGCCCGAAGGCCCAACTACGTCAGGGAATTAACGGTTAAATCATCAACATATTGCTCCAGTGGCTTGGTCACAGGTCGTCTCCTTGCGGCACCCAGGGCCGTGGAACCCGAAGCCATGGAGGCATCCCAGGCGCCTTCTCACAATCCCCTGGTGATTGTGGAAGGTCCGACAGTTTTCTCGTCTCATAGGACACCGTCATGGTACAGGAAACTGCAGATCGCGCCATTCATCGGGATACGCAACGGACGGGGGTCGCCCAACTGGCAGTGCATCCCAACGGCTCGAGCCATGCTCTACATCCCGTCTACACGGACATTCATTGCCCCCTGCCACAGAAAAGCCGGGGTCGCCCCTCGCGCCTTTTTTGTTGATAGGCTGACGGGCGCTTCATCCGGGCATGCTTGGCCATCGGTCGACGAACTTACAAGAAGCCCTTTTCTCTACACGGTGCAGAGCACTGGTCGCCCAGCGGGCGCCAAAATATGTGGACCGCAGCAGGAGCGGAAGCGGAACACGAACAGTGAGGATGAACAAGGCTCCGGTACAAATTCCCGCAGCATACGCCGGCCTCGTGGGCCGAGACGGTAATACCATAACGACACATCGTCGCTAACGGCACCCATCAGAGCACGGAATTCCGCCGGTTATGTTTAGCGGGGAAGTCGACCGCATTATTCACTATCCATGTCGGGTACCGAGAAGAGAGGCGACAGTGCATGATGCAGGAAGCTGTCAGAAGGGACATCGCTCTGAGGTAACCATGCGCCCCTCGAGGAGCGCAAACCCACGCCTCGTGATATCTCTACTTCCAGGCGAGGTTGACCAAGCACTGCAGATACTACATACGTGGACATCGCTGACTTGGGGATGATGGCTTGCCATGATAGGGCGGCCGGGCAGCGAGGCGTCTTCCGCAGGCGATGCCTCCGCTCATTCTGTGAAACAACAACGGAATGTACATACCTCGCGACTCCCTCTGCCGCGCCTACCCCTGGCCGAGTGGAACTAGGCCGCTCATGGTCTAGACCAGAAGATTTACATGGCGTGTTGGGACGCTCTGTTCACGGTTCGGCCATGTTGGCCTGGTTCATGTCCGAGCAACATAACGGTTTCTAGCCCTGTGCACTCTGTGGGGCAATATGGGCTGAAAAAAAAAAAGAAAAGAAAAACCTCGTCCTCAGGTCGCATGACCTCGAAGATCCAATGCAAGCATTTAGTGCGGTGGTTTGGGAAGTTACCAAAGGAGCACGGGGCAGTGCAACTTGTTCGCTGCAGCAGAAAGGAAGGACTCGGGATCCGCTCTCGAAACACCATGTGCTCCTATGGTCTCGTTGCAAAGCTCCGAGCAGCGCGAGAGAGGAAGAGACCGAGATGTTACCCTAACAAAAGGACCCGGTTGGCTGTGGTGGGGAGGGGAGTAAATGCAAAGGTATAATAACGTGGCCAGATAAGGATGAGAGAGGGGGGAGGTGTAGCTTTGCGTGTGTAGTCCGAATCCTGCGTTGGGCGGGTGGAAGGTTTTCGAGGTCAGAACAAAAGATCCTAGTGTATAAGGCAATAGCAACCCATGGGTTGCATTGCTCGTCACCGGTGACGAGCGGAAGCGGGAAGTGGTTCGCCGGTGTGGGCAAAGCCCCACTTCCCATGGGCTTCCATGCCTGAGCCAAACCCCGCTACGGGTCCCTGAAGGGTGACACAATCGACAACTCCCTCCCCACCATCTTTGAGTCTAATAACTTGCAATCCTTTGTTGCCAATTTTATCGCCGCCGCAACCAGAGACACGCCGCCGCACACCCGACTAGCTGAGTGGCCTGCCAACCAAACTCTTACGCGTAGAAGGACAACACGGCATCAATAAATAGACACACGGGTCAGCAACCGCGATAAGCAGCCATGGCCAGAAAAGGCGGAGCCGAGGGCAACAGCAAGAAGGCTGCGGGCCAAGCCCGCAAGGCCGAGACCGCCGCAAAGAAGGCGGCCCTTGCTGAGGCCGAGAAAGAGGCATCTGAGTCGGCCAAGTGGGACAAAGGAGCGAAAAGCAATTCCAAAAAGTGAGTTTCACCTTGATTGCCGTCGCCTTCGTTTGGGGTTCTCCTCGGTGGAGAGTTGCTGTGCGACCTGCCGCCGGAAGCGCCGTTAGGCTTGCGATTCGAAAGACGGAGGCGGGGGGCGGGGTTTTTGCTGCTGCTGCTGCTGCTGCTGCTGTGTTGAGTCTGTGACACACTCTGCTGTGCTGTCACGTCGATGGGGCGGCGGCATTTGGCCTGCTGCAGGTCCACCCATGATCCCAACCGCAGCCGCGACGCAGACGTTTCGCGCCCAAACCTATGGGCGCAAATCTCACATGGGGTCCCTACCAAGTAGACGGCGGCCGTCTTGACTACCTACCGGATTTGCTCAGTTTTTGGTACACATGCGGGGATGGCTGGGGTGACGAGTGCTGACAATCTGCACGCATAACCAGAGAAGCCGAAGCTGAAAAGAAAGCGGAGCAGGCCCGAAAGAAGGCCGAGCGTGAAGCTCTGCTGGCCGAAGAGGAGAAGAACACGCCGGGGCGATCGGCACCCAAGAATTCCAAGGCGGCCGTCAGGAAGACCAGGGGCCTAGACCTCTCGCAGCTCGACGACGACGGCAGCGGGGGCCTGTCGGCGCTCAACGCATCTGGCATCGACAACGCGCTCGACGCGCTGTCACTGACGTCCAGAACCGATGCCAAGATCGACAGGCATCCCGAAAGGCGTTACAAGGCTGCATATGCAATCTTCGAGGAGCGGCGGCTCGGCGAGATGGACGCGGATGGCAGCGGTGCCGGTCTCCGGATGAATCAGAAAAAGGAGAGGATCAAGAAGGAGTTCGAGCGCAGCCCGGACAATCCGTTCAATCAGCTCACGGCACGTTACGACACCACCAAAGAAGAGCTCGCGCAGCTCAAGGAGCAGGAGAAGTCCAAAATCGAGACCCGACTTGCATCTCCCTGAACGACCGGGCAACAAGGTCCGCTTGGGGAAGAGCCCCGAACAGGGAATGGCAATATACCTCTCTGCTGGGGTCTCATGCGTCCGGCCCGGACGGGAAGGGGCGAGGGTTAGCGAAGGCGTCTCGTCGGGCTGGTCGTCCAATGGTGGGGCGCAACAACCCGACACGATCTTCGGTTTGGGAGTCGTGGGTCAAAAGGACATTGGGCAAAATACATGGGTGACCGCACGAGTCGATGTCCCTTTTGCTTGGTTTTCACATGATGGGGATGAGGTTGTGGACAGCGTAGTATGTGACGACGGGAAGGTCGGAGCTCATAGGTAGCTGCAAAGAAACCGGTGTGATCTAGGTTTCAGCCGAGGATGTTTGCACTGTTTTACAGACCAGTTAAGACCTGGGGTGGCTTAGCAACGTGTCCCGTGTCCGGAGCCTTGTCTCGAGGTTTTTACTGTGAATGTTCCTAATGACACAGACATTCGTTGATAAAGCCCTTTTCGGTCGGGTGCAGACCAGATAAAAGTTACAACCCTAACCCTATAACATAACCCCATCTCACTCAGTGCATGAGCTGAGCTGTGTCAGCTCCGCAACACCACAACACACATCACGAACCTCCTCTCATTCATCAACCCTTGAACTCACTTTTCATAAACCCGTATCATATTTTTTTTTTCGTGAAGTCTCAACCGTGTAACGGGCCGTGCACCTCGGAATACTTTTAAAATGTCATCGTCGAGGGCAATCAAAATGGGCGGTCTGCCCGCCTTCAAACGACAGCATCTCCTCGCCGAGTTGTACGTATTTTTATTTTTATTTTTATTTTTGGGGTCTTATCATCATATCGAAACTAATGATATGCCAGCACCGGCCTCAAACAAGCCTGCCCTCAGGGGATATTTGTCAGCCTCACGCCGGGCGACCCGACCCTTTGGTCTGGCGTGCTATTCGTGCGGAAAGGTACGTCGTTAGTTATCGTCCATTCATCGCATCAGCCATCGCACCTCGCCTATCTCATCCAATCCATCCATCCCCACCACTACCAAACCCCCCTCCCCTCCAAACAAACCCCAACCAAAAAAAACCATCACATTAACACCACCACCACCCGCCAGGCCCCTACGCCCCCGCCATCCTGCGCTTCCAGCTCTCCTTCCCGGACACCTACCCGTCCCTCCCACCCCTCGTCACCTTCTCCACCGACATCTTCCACCCGCTGCTCACCCCGCTGTCCACCTACATGTACTCGACCGACGTGCGTGACGGCGCCACCGCCAGCGCCTCCGACGACGAGCGCCTCCCGCCCGGCGGCTTTAGCCTCCGCCATGGGTTCCCCGCGTGGTTTGGACGAGGGAGTAGGGCGGCGGCGGCGGTGGTGGTGGCTGCTGGTGGTAGTGGTAGTAGTAGTAGTAGTGGTGGTGGTGGTGGTGGTGGTGGTGGTGGTGGTGGTGGGGAGGCGGTTGTCGTGAATGTTGTTGTGAATGATGGGATGGGGGGTGGGGTGGGGCTTGGGGTTAGTAGTGGGGATGGGGATGGGGAGAGGGGGAGAGGAAGGGGGGATGGTCCCGGTTCCAGCGGGGATCAAGGTGAGATGGTCGGGTTGATGACGCCTACGAGGGCTGTGGCTACGGCTACGGGGACAACGCCCGCTTCGGCGACGTCGGCGGCTTCGTCTTCTGCGTCCGTGCCGGGGTATGCGCGGGCCGGGGGTATGAGGGAGGTGTCTACGTACGAGGTGCTGAGGTACATCCGGAGCACGTTTGATGATGAGGATGTGCTGGACTCGGTGCCGCTCGAAGCAGCAGGGAATCCGGGGGCGTGGCATGCGTGGCGGACACATCGGAGGCAATCGGTGGGTAAGCCACTGCCGGTGCCGGGTGGGGCTGAGGTTTCGGGACCGGAGGGTGAGCTTCGGGCGGAAAAAGCGTCGGGCCCGGCAGCGGCCGTACCCGCCGCTACGACACGGCGGCCTGGCGAATGGAATTGGGAGGGGGTTTGGGAAGAGCGAGTAAAGAGGGGCATTGCCGCTAGCTTGTCCGAGGGAGTCCTGTATGGACAAGCTGGAACGACAAATGACGTGGTAGGTTGCTGGTCTCCGTTGCGTTTCCCAACTCGTGCTAATGATTACGTGCAGATCAACTTCCTCAGCATGGATGATACGGAAGTCGAAGGAGCCAAATCCAACCTGCTCCGGACGCTTGGCGCTGCCGCATAGTAAGCTGGTTCGGGACGTCAGACGGCTCTTTCCCCGCAACTCTAACCATGTTGTTGACGGCACAGGTGCTGCTTCCCATGGTACTGTGTAGAAGGGAAGCCCTCTTTCTGGTCCCCGTTGAATGCAACTTTCCGTCAGCGCTCTATCTTGATCCTTCGGTGCTACACAAGCAAGCACTGCGGACTACATCGCCTTGTCGACATGTTAGCGATAGATACCCTTGAATATCGAATCCAGTTCCCCGCCATACTGGAGGATTCCCTCCGGTAGTACAGACTGTTTTGTTTCCGTTCTGCCTGACCAACAACGCATCGAGTTCCAATCAGAGTTTCAGTCCTCCTCTAACATACCTGTACCCGACAGCAACCCAACGACAGAAAATACTGTCACCTGAACATAAACTTCAGGTGGTAATGGCGGGTTGTGCCGACGGGCAACTCCGCCCGGTAGGAACTCACACCCAGTCCAACCACAACCACCCATGGCGTGATATGCCGAGACCGTTGCATATCACGAAGCGATCAGCAGTTGGAAGAGGCAGCGGTGGCTGTGGCTCAGAAAGCGAGACGTCGGACGCCAACATGGGCACCCCCCCGGAATCACTCGGCGAACATCGACCCCTGACGCTCCCAAAGAGGAGAGGAGACCGGGGTACGTGGGCCCTGTATCACCCCGTTGGCTGCACCCGGAGCAAGGGCAGGGAACTCAAGACCACAGGCGGTTAGATCCCACCGTTATCAGGCCGTGTCTGGCGCATTCTGCTTACGCCAGCCAGACAGAGCAGCGATGCCCTTGGCCGACGATGCCACCCCCAAGCACCGACGATCCGCATCATGCACGACAAGCTCACGTCAGTCGAACGACCGTCCCTCGTGCCATTCCTCACTCTCCAATAGGTCAAGTTTGTCGTTATCGGGACCGGAACAAGCCCGTGGTGGGAGCACTAACGTCGAGGGCACCCAGGAAGGGGCCGACCCGGGGCTGCCGCTCACTCCAGAGGTCCTTGAGGAGCCAAACCCGCCGCGCCCAAATTCAGCGAGCAACATCCGCCCGTCGCTGGCATACGAGTCAGACAACGACGCAAGAACTTTGCATCTACCCATATTAACAGACCCCCGTAACCCCACCGGACCTCCTTCGCCCCCACACTTTCAGGACGCCTGTATCCTCGCCCCCAATATTGTTGTAACTCCTGAATACGGAACCGTCGATGAGGGTACTGTAACCGTGTGGGTAGCTGTGCAGTTGTCCACCCGGATATGTCGGGCCCTCACTCTTGATCAAGGGCACGAAAGGGTGACGGATCACCAGTTCTCTCCAGGTTAGCAAGGCGAACAACCGAGCACAACCAATTCATGACACTTTCTAACGAGTAAAAAGATGCACTACGATATGGGTTCCTCTACAATGTTTCGACGGAACTGCTACCCACCGGCAAGAGCACCATTGTCGAGGTGCTAGACGATAAGGCTTGTGCAACGTAGGCCTGCTTCTACCGGCCCTAGTCGCAAAGTAATATCTAACCCCGGCAGGGTACTCTATCCGGGATCCCGGCTGCTTTTTATCGCACATATCCGCCTTGGGCCTGCCGTCCGTTATCGCCCTCGCACCCATATCCGGCAAAAGTCCGATGATCTGATCGAGGACCTCGAGCACGAACTCGGTGGCACTGTGACGGATTACCTCCAAGTCCGTGTGGCATACTGCCACTCTGGGTTTCCCCAGAGACAGAAGCAGGCTGCGACGGCGGTGTGCAGCACAGCCCCAGATGGTATCGCCAGCATCCAGACCACGATCCAGACCACGGCGACGGCAACTATCAAGCGGCATAATCTCACCTCGCCATGGTCGCCACCGCCCAGCACGCCACATCCCAACCCCCTATTCGAGATCATTGCCTCACACTGGGGGCCTGAGAACGCGCATGCCGTGATGCAGCGAGTTATACGCTCCCGGACGGCCCCGTCCAACGCAACAACTCGCCCTTTCAGGGTCCCATCATCTGTCAAGCCCATGATGCCCCGAAAGGCACACGAAATCACTGACGAGCGTCATCAAAACCCTAAAACACAGGAAACAAAGCTCAGAACTAACCAACAGCCCTCCCCACCCAACCCCATCCCACCAGCCAGCGCAGCAGCCCCAGAACTAACGCCAGCACCAGCGCCCCCAGTCCCAAGACGGCAAGCGAGCCTGAGGCGCGTGGCGTCTGCATACCACGACGCAGACCCGGGGCACCCGCGGAGCCACGCCGCCTCCCACCACCACCACCACCACCAGGCACCGCCGCAGCAGAACGCCGCGACGGAAGAAGAGAACGAGACAGAAGCGGCGTCGCCCGCCGCAACAGTCCGACGGCGCAAGAGCTACCGCGACAGTAGCCGTGACTATCAGGGCGAGGGCGGTCGCGCGGCGTCGGGGTTCTACCCCGCGGCTTCGTCCTCTTCCGTGTCGTCTTCTGCGTCTCCTGGCGGCGGGCCGTCTACATCCGCGGCGGGCTATGGTGGCGGCAGTGGTAGTGTTGGGAGTACCGCCAGTGGCAGTTCCCGTTCCCGGGTTATGACGGGGAAGGAGGTGGGTAAGGAGAAGGGGTTGGAGGCGGGGATGAATGGGAGGGGAGGTGGGAGCGTGAAGACGAGGAAAGGGAAGGAGAAGGAGAGAGGGTGGGGATGGTCTAGTTGGTGGCAGTAGCCGATAGATGGATCGATGGGGCATTTTATATACCACTTGCGTGCGCTTGACTGTCGAATATGTATTTAGAGCCATCTTTTATACCATAGAGTTCCCCTTATCGGGCTTTGAACCCTCATGTTGCACCAACAACCCCTCCTTCTTTCCGCCGCCATCTTGTTTCATCACTAAAGGCTCCCCGTCATCGTCAAACTCGGCCCACCGAAAGAACTCGCAGGCCTCCTTCCCCGGCACGTTGCCGGCGTGGCACATCCAGAAATACCGCCCCCAGTTCTCGCGCTTCTTGGTCACGACGCGCAGCACGACGGGCACGCCACAGGGGCAGATCGGGGTGTTGCGCGGGTGGAAGCCGTCGCGGTAGTGGCGGTAGGTGATGTTGATGCGCCGGTTGCCTGCGACGGGGTGCGGGTCGATGGCCTGGGTCGGGGTGATGCTGTGCTTCCACTCTTCTTGCATGTCGGCGTGCATCACTAGGAGGGAGTTGTGCGGGAGGTGGATCGCAATCTGTCCGCCGCGGTCGGGATTGTTGCTGTTGTTGGTGCTGCTGGGGTTTGCGTCGTTGGCGACGGGGTCATCTTGCAGGAGAATGCGGCGGACGCGGAACTCGCGAGTGACGCCGAGCGAGAGGGAGCCGATTACAGCACGTGGACCAAGATAGGTTAAGTGATCGCTATGCTAGGTGAAGAGTTAGTTTTTGAGGTGCTGATACAGGGTGCCCCATGGATGAGGAGGGAGGTGGAAATACCCAACCAACACTCTCCTGTGGCCCATTGTAGCAATTCACGAAGGCCGCGTTGGGATTCCAGGGTTTTGGAGACTGGTACTTGAGCTTTTTTCCTCCGTAATGAGTCTGGATGCGCTCCTGGATCTCTCGGTTAACGGTCTCCTGCACACGAGCCTTGACCCGCTCCAGTTGTGGCGTCAAGGTTCTGACGTCCTGTATGTCTAGTATTAGCGCGCGTTACGGGCGTGCAGTCACGGTAAAGTCTTACCGTCAAACGCGAGCCGTTATACACATACTCATACTTCTGCTCCTGCATCTCCTCGTAGCTGCCCACATAGAAGCTCGAGGTGTGCGGGCTCGAAACAACATTGTCGAACAGTTTGAAGGTGATCTTCTCGAACGACTTCGACTCCTCTATCAGCTCTTTAAGAAGAGCATTGGCTTCCTCGGCAGGCAAAAAATTGTGGATGATGGTACAGGGGGTGTGCTCGCTGATGTCGACGGGGTCGTACAGGTGGAGCGTAGCCCCCTTGCGGGAGAGCAACTTGGCCCGTTTGGGTTGGGAGGGCAATTCCGGGTCGGCTGAGTTGACGGCAAAGGATCGTAGAGACGACTGTGCAGCTACTGTACTCCCCGTCCCCGGTTTCTTGGGCAGACGTGCCTTGAAGGTACGTGAGGTCGCCTCGACATCGCCATCGTGAGCAAGTAGGATGTCTAGGAGTGTCTCCTGGTCGATGGCTGGATGGAGAGATGACAAAATGGCTAGTTTTACGTCGGTAGATTCCTCGTTATTGAATTGGTGGGATGATTCTTCGGTTCCGACTTGTGGTCTTGGTGTTACTGAAACAGAAATACTAGAATCGCTGCATTTCCGTTTCTTCCTCGTCACGAAGGCATCCATCGCGTCAGTCTCAGCGCGTTTATCTTGTCAGGCCGTTGAAATGTAGCATGGTGCAGCCTTCCACGCTGCATGTGCATCTCTGCTGTGATACTGAGCGGCAATGGAATGGAATAATATGCACAGTTTTTGACACGCAGGACACGTCGCTGAGAGCCCAAAGGGCGTGCCGTGTAAAGTGTGGGGTGACTGGTGCGAAAAGGGAACGGTATCACGTGATGCGACAAAGCGAGCGAACAGGGCTGGTCAGCCATGCTGTCTTCCAAGAGTGATCTGATAAATAATCAACCTGGTAAGAAATTCCTAGCAAGAGGATCAAAAATAAGATGAGATCGAGGAATCACCAAGCTACATCTGCAGATGTGAAAAGAGATGGTCGAATTGGTACAAAGTAGGGCTGAGCTGAATGTGGTTAGATCCCCTCCAAGCTATCAAGGTACTTGCCTAAAAAGGAAGAATAGGAGAATGGCGGGGCATCCTCTTTTAACCAACTCTTTTGACACAGGCCAAAAAAGAAAGAGCCGAGGCCTCGGCCCCACCATCGCTCCTCTTCCCGGCAACCAAGTGCGCTGCCGCCGAAACAGGTACGAATAACGGGATACACACCTAAGGGCTCCTTTTCTCCTTTTCTGGCATCACCAGTTGCTGTCAGTCGTTGCGCGCATTGCGCAGCAGTCACCCACCCCCCGGCGACCGGCCATGGCGTCCATGCTCGAATTCCGCACACCGGGCTTCAACCCGTACGCGGTCAAGTACTCGCCCTACTACGACTCCCGCCTCGCCGTTTCTGCCTCTGCCAACTACGGTATAGTCGGTAATGGCCGCCTCTTCGTCCTCGGTCTGGGTCCTGCCGGCATCCAGCTCGAGAAGGGCTTCGACACCAACGATGCCCTCTACGATTTGGCCTGGTCCGAGATCAACGAGAACCAGTTGGTAGTGGCCTGCGGCGATGGTTCGCTCAAGCTGTTCGACCTGACCGCGCCCGGCGATTTCCCCGTCATGAACTTTAACGAGCACAACCGCGAGGCCTTTTCCGTTTGCTGGAACCCCATTGCAAAAGATAGCTTCATCTCAAGCTCCTGGGACGGCACCATCAAAATCGTGAGCGACCCCCCTTCCAACCCCCCACCTACCCGCCGCCTCCCTCCCCCACTCCTGATTTTAACATGCCCTCGCGCGCAACATAGTGGTCCCCCTCACGCCCAACCTCGCTTAAAACCCTCCCCGTCGGCAATTGCACGTACTCGGCCGCCTTCTCGCCCACCAACCCCTCCATAATCTCGTGCGTCTCCTCCGACTCGCACATCCGCATCTTCGACCTGCGCAGCCCAGTATCTGCCAAGTACCACCTCACCACCGTGATCCCGGCGCACGCCCCGCCACAAACCAGCGACCCGACCGCCCCGCTCCCACTCCTCTCAACCGGCCAAACCTTCGCGGGGGCGGTGCCGGCCGAGATCCTGACGCACGACTGGAACAAGTACCGCGACACGGTGATCGCGACGGGGGGCGTGGACCGGCTGATCCGCACCTTCGACCTGCGCAACCCGCGCGCGGGGCCAGCTTCCGTCCTCCCGGGCCACGAGTACGCCGTGCGCCGCCTCGCGTGGAGTCCGCACGCCAGCGACGTGCTCGCCAGCGCCAGCTACGACATGACGGTGCGCGTGTGGTCTGACGGCTCGCCCGCCCACCAGCAGCAGCCCCAGCCCCAGCCCAACACCATCCCCGTCGGCACGCAGCTCGGCGTCATGAACCGCCACGCCGAGTTCGCCACGGGCGTCGACTGGTGCCTGTTTGGCACCGGCGGCTGGCTGGCCTCGGCCGGCTGGGACCAGCGAGTGCTGGTGTGGGACGCCCATACCCTGTTAAGAGGGGGGTGATATGTGATGGGATTTGAGATGGAATCGCATCAAAGCCCCGTCCTGTCGTCTCGTCTTGCCTCCCCGAGCGCTTTGAACGGTTATACACGTCCTTGTATGTGTGTGTGCATGCACGCCTGGTTTTGACGGTCTTGATGGATGGGATGGGTTTGGGTCGCCGGAAACGGAACTGAAGGAGGATCATGTCGGTTTTTTGACGTGTCGGGTAGAGAAAAGAAAGGACAAAGATGATACCCCGTTGGAGAGAAGGAGCAGAGGGAAGGACTTGGCGATAACAATCAATGGGCTTTGGAAACGTCAGGTCAGAGTACGGGCGGACGGCGGTTGGGGAAGACGGGGGCGGTGTCAGACCATAGCAAGAGAGAAGAAATAGATGGCTCGAGAGAGGCAGGAATGGGAAACCATGTAAGAATCGGCGTTTTAAGCAAGACTGGTGATTCGGTTTTTTCTCGAGAACAATGTAAACTAGCAGCGAGTGACAAAACTTCGTACTTCGTTTTCCACGCCGAACAGCAGACCAAACAAGCGCCGCCGAGAAGGACGAGGATCTACCAACCCAGAGACGTCAGCTTCATTACTTCCTAATCATACAGCACTTAAAACTCAAAAAGTCATACCAAAAGGGTGTGTATATGTACAAGACAAAACTGGAGATGAGATGAGAGATGGGTAGCCTGTCACCCGTCAAGATCGGCCTGGCCCAGTGCAAGCAAGAATAAGCAGCCTTCCTAGGAGCCCGACAGAAAACAGAAACCGACAAACGATGCAGAATGCCCCATCTCTAGTCCCGAAAACCGGCAAACTCCCAAGACCATGATATACAACCCCTCCATCCCCTTGTGCCTCGCCTCGCCTCTTCCCCCCCTTCCCCTCCCGGTCTTTATTGTTCGTTCCGCGTCTCATAGGGCAGGGGGGCGGCTTTTTGTTTTTTTGGTCGTCCCAACACGCCTACAAACGCCGTGCGTCGTCCCTCGTGTGACGGGTGGACGGGGAATTAAAACACAAGGCTAGGAATATAGCCATCATACAGATACAACACCTGAAGCCCGCGGCGGGCGTTCAGGCCAAGGACACCAAAGGGCCCTATTCAGGCCCTCGGAGCCTTTAGAAGGATGGCTGAGGACGATTCCTACTCCGCTGACGCGAGCCATCATTGGCGAGCCGTTCCATCATCTCGAACCCATCACGCGGAGGCGGTCTGCTTTCGCGGCCACCACGGAAGCCGCCGCCACTGCGGGCACCGAAACTACCGAAACCACCATCGCGGCCACCACCACGGCCACCGGAACTCCGTTGAGGGATGACGTCGCCAATTCGCAACCCCCTGACACGGCCACCGCCCAACTGGGCAGCGAACCTGTGCGAAACCATCGGGGGCTCATACTGACCCCAAGTATACTTGGACAAGTTGTTGACTTCGTTGACAAGGTCTTGGCGGTTGACGTCTTTGATGGCATGTCCGAGGAGTGAGGTGTAGGCTTCCCTCAGGATGTCCTCGGGGACGGTTTGGGCAGCCTCCTTCAGATCCGTGAAGACGGCGGGAAGCGGGTGAATCTTGGACACGTCGAGCGAGGCGGTTTCAAGGTCAGTGCATCGCTGGATGGGTAGGCCCGGAAGTCGATCCCTCGCACCGGGAATCTCAAGATCCGATGCCAGGAGATAGGCCTCGCCCTGCTTGCCAGCGCGGCCGGTACGTCCGATCCGATGAATGTAGAGGTCGCGGTCCTGGGGGAGATGGATCTGGATGACGTGGGTCACGTTGGGGAAGTCCATGCCTCTGGCTGAAACGTCCGAAGAAAAGAGGATACCCGACGTCAAGGCCCTGAAATCTTCGGCGGCCCGAGTCCGCATGTTTTGCGGCAGCTTGGAATGGATGTCGTAGACTCTGGGGATCGAGCGGTCCTTGGTCCTGAGTCCGCGGAAGAGCCGGGAGTAGCACATGACCGAGGCGGTGGTGGGTAGGAAAACAATGGCCTTGAAGGGCATTCTTTCGGGGTCTGAGAGGGACTTCTGGATTTCGCGGCGCGTCAGCTCCAGCAGAGTAGGACCGATATTCTCGAAGCCGCGGCAAGGAACGATAAACTGTGGCACTCTCTCGTGGGTCGGTGCTTCGTCCGACTTGACGGTCTGAACAAACTCGAAGTTGGTCGGGTTAATGAATTGCCGAGCAATGTTGACCACATTCTTGGGAAGCGTGGCGGAGTACAGGAGGGTTTGGCGGGGCACCTCGTCGCGACGCGGCAGGAACTCGGTGATGCTTTCCAGTTCGGCCTTGAATCCAACATCCAACATACGGTCCGCCTCGTCTAGTACAAGGGCCGCAAGGTTGAGAGCTGCGATTCCGGCGGACCGGTCCGAGAGGAGATCGTGCAAGCGCCCTGGAGTGGCGATCATCAAGTGGCAACCCTCCATGCGTGTTTTGCGAAGCATCATGTTCTTCTGGGTTCCGCCAACAGCGATCTGAACAACGACGCCCAGTTCCCTGGCAAAGCTTCTTTGCCTCGACGCCAATCTGTTCGGCAAGCTCACGGGTAGGCGAGACGACAATGGCGCGAATGTCGTCAGAGCGAGCCCTGCCGCCGCGCGGCATTGCGAGCGCAACGTCGTTGTCGATGATCCTTTGGACGATGGGGACGAGAAAAGCCAGGGTCTTTCCGGTACCGGTTTTCGCCTGGGCAACGCTGAAGTGGTACGTCTTAGCCATCTGGACCTGCGAGACTCAAGGGCAAAGACAAAGAGCAGACTTACACATCTCTCCCAGCAAGCGCAGCATTAATGGTCGAGGATTGGACTTCCGTCATGGTTTCATACTTCATGCCCCGGGTGAGGGAAGCAACGAGTCGCTCATGAACGCCGATCTGCGGGAGGTCTGCGAAACGAGTGATGCGACCCGGACGGGCGCCATCGGTGGTCGCCGGGGCGGCGGATTCGCTCGAGTAAAACCGGAGCAGCGAGCTGGCTGGGCGGTAGACGGCGGGAGAGTTGGGGGAGGAGCGTGAGAAGGGGAGGGCAGTTGATGAAACCCTGAATGCAGCCTGCGCCGGGCGGACGGCGAGAGCGACGCGGGCCGCGGCCGCCTGCCGTAAAAGGCTGGTCTTCATCATATTTGCACGCACTCGCTCAAGCAATGCTCAACAAGCTGATGATATCCCACCGGTCCTCAGGAGGTTGTCGAGATGCACAACAGAGGCCGTCGTCGTGGATGGGCGACGAGGAGGGAGGAGGAATTGTCAAGGTGGTGGGTTGACAATGCAGGTTCCGATTCTGCGTTCTACAGAGGGAAACTTGAGAGAAAATTTCTAGTTGGACAAGGGGGGGCAGCGGCCAATTTCTTATCTTATCGCACCGCACCACACACCACACCACCACACGCGATGGGGCAAGGACAACATTTTTAACTGGCGTGGTGTGAGACCCACTCGCGAGATAAGAAACCCAGCTTTGGTACCTAGGTACCTATGTAACTTTTGTGTCGTAGAACCCATACTCTCAAGCCAACTCAGGTACGAGAAGAAATAAGTTATGAGAAATCAAGGAAACAACAACTAAAAAAGTAAAGAGGTTAAAGACGATTTTTTAGAGGCTTTTCTATTTCTTTCACTTAGTTCCTACGGTCCAAATTCATTCAATGAACGCACTCAAATACCACTTTCAGACTTTCAGTATATTACCTACCTATCAATATGGGAGCGGTTCGTCTTTAGATATTAGCTCACCAACATGATTACCACCGAGATGTGGAGAGGGGGATGACCTTATTTCTCTGTCATGCGACTCTGAATCTCCTGTCCGCCTTGCCCTGTCCGCCTGCCTTTGTAACGCCTAGAGAACTAACTCGCTATTCGGAACCGTTTCGCCGGTGGCCCGCTTTCCAAGGTTAGAGCTTAACTTAGGAGACTTCCACTGCAATGCGATTCAACGTACCTATGTATGACTGTAATTCAATTATATATGTGTTTATAGGCCGAGGGGCCTAGCACCACTGTGGCAACGCTCTACGCCCCAAGGTGGCCTGCGTAGGAATGGAGGGAGCTTGGGTCAGGGGTGGTTGTGAGTTGGCTAGCCCAGGTTAACTTCACCAGTTGGTCTAAACACCAGAATGACAGTAAGGCCTAAACCACGACAGTCTACCCCTCAAGGCAACGGTCACATGGCTGGGAGATCAAAGCATGTCAAGGCGGGCGCACGTGATTGTCATGTGCATTAGGCAATGTAGGCACTTCTTCGAGGTCATGGTCATGTGTATTAGGCATATCTTCTCTTCTCTTCTCGCTTTTTTGTCGCGTCGTTTCTTCTCGTCTTTCCTTCGTCTTAATACTCCTACATCTTCTTCGATCTCGCGTTCATCACCCGCCAGGACCTGAGATATATCGCCATCTTGTGGGGTTTCCTCTTGAAACTATTTAAATTATTAATCAACATGTTTTTTTACTTCGTCGACCAGGCCCGGCAACTGGCCAACACATTGGCTTCGGTGGCCAACCCCGGGGCGCCAGCCCAAACAGAGTGCATGGTAGAAGAAGCTGAGCCCTCCCACAAGCAACGCGCCCTTTTACTTGGGCTCGCCCAAGCAAAGGGGTTCGTATCAATGGTTGCCTCTGAAGCGGCCATCTCGGATCCGCCTGCGGTGGGTTCGAACGTTAACTGGCAGTTCGCCACGAGAGGTGAGTCTAGACACAGATGAGCCCCAACTCCAAGCGAAGGCTGCGAAGCATGGAAGAGCAATAGAAACTGGATAAAGGAAACAAACCCGAACAAGGAAACAAATATGAATAAAAAATCACCAAAATGAAAGCCAACATGAGAACACATAAGAAACATGTACCAACGCACAGTTGATAGCTGACTTTACTCGTTCTAGGGATGGACCTCGTACTCGTCTCGAGCCACGAATTTGCGAGTCGCGGGGATGCCGACCCCGACATCCAGTTCGAGCGGTCAACCTACATCAACGGCGCCCAGAACATCCTCCGCGGAATCCCGCGCAACCTCACCCCAGACGAATCGGCCATGCTGCGCCGGGCCTTGCCGCGCTCGCTCGCCCCGCCCGACACGGGACCCGCCTCCTGGTGGAGAAGACTGAATGGGCAACCCCAAGATGCAGCTCCGGCAGCCGGCGGAGCTGGCGGCCGGGACCAGCAGAATATGGTACAGAGCCTCCTCGCCATTGTTCTGTACTGCATGTACGTCCTTGCTATGCGGTTCGAGAACCTGGGCATCAGAATGCTCGCGGCAGAGCGGCAACACGCCTATGCCTCGCGACTGCTGCTAGCGACCTTCGACCTCGCGTGCCTCGCTGTTCGGATGTTGCGCGTGTGCTCTGAATTTTGGCCCTGCCAGATTCTGTTCGAGATGCTGAAGTACTTCGCCATCGGTGTTTTGGGGGCGTTTGTCGAGGTTTGGGAGAGGGTTGTTGTGGAGGAAGCTGCAAGAGGGGATGCCATTACGGAAGACGAAGCAGAAGAGAACGACGAGCCCGTACTTCTGCTCTCCGCCAACCTCCCTCAGCCATCTAAGACAGTACCTGGCTAGGTACTAACGATATATAATATTGAATATACCGTGGTAGCAAATATAGTATTATTCCATTACCTGGTTCACTTCTCGAACTAGACTGTGCGTAATGATTGCTGTTTTATTCTGTACAACGCACTGCGTGACAGTCTGACGAGCAGCTGATATGGACAACCTATTGATCTCCCTTATGTGGATCGTCTACACACTCCTACGGCCACCACATCCTTTCCTTCACCAGTATGCAACAACTGAACACGGCTCATTTGCCTTGTTTAGCTACGTTTCGTAGCCTTTTCCGCAGAGAGCTTGGCCTGCATCTTCCTCCTCGCCTCGAGGATCATTTGATCCCTCCTCTTCTGCAGTAGCGATTGCCTCTCCTCGCGGTTGGTGCTCCACCCTTTCCCACCCTTCCTGATGGCCTCAGCCCCGCTGCTGGGGTCATCCGATTCGCTGTCGGCCGCGATGATCTTGTTTCGCAAATTATACCGCGTAATAAGATCCCGATGGCCCAGTCCCGGCGCAGGCTTTGCCCGTGAAGCGGCATTGTTACTGCCGTTACCGTCGCCAGGGGGCGGCGGGGGCTGGAAAGTTACGGGCGGCTGTCCACGACACCGAATTAGCTCTCACGCTCACGACCGCCACTCAACAACACACCGAGGGCAGTTCCACTCCCAATCTCTCTCCGCACACCCTTAACCCAATGCACGCCCCCCAAAACCCCAAACCCAACCCCCAAACCCACCCAACCAACAAGAAAGGGGAAAAGAACCAAGGCCCAAAAAACTCACCGTCTCCAACCTCCCCGCCAGAATCCGCTCCGTCGTCGCCGCCACACTCCCCCCCGACCGCTGCAGATCCCACAGCGCCGCCCGGCGGTCCACCTGCGGGAACATCTGCTGGATATGTTCGACGGCGGCCTCCCGGGCGCGCAGCTGCGCGCCCGGGTCGCGCGACGACGCTGTTGCTGCTGCACCTGTACCCGCGCCCGCACTGCCGCGCGCCCCGTTTGGCGGCCCGAGGGGGAAGTGAAGAAGAGGTAGCGTATTATGAGGACCGGAGACGACGAGGATGGCGACGAGAGAGGGGGAGGTTGATTTGTTGGTCGCCGGCGTCGGCCATGGCGGTTGTTGTTGTTGTTGTTGTTGTTGTTGTGGCGGTGGTGGTTGGTGGTGGTGGCTGTTGTGGTGTGTTGTGTGTTTCGTTCCCGCGGGTTTGGGTCGGCTGTTTGTGGGGTGGGGGATCCGCGATTCAGAGTGTGTGGGATTGAAGGGCGGATGTGTCACGTCGGGTGGATGGATATCTAATCGTGCGAGGTCCGTGGATGATGATAGAATCGTGAATTGGCTGACCCGCTACTTCGCAGGTGAGAAGGGGGAGAATTGGCCGTTGTTGATTATTGGGGGTCGTGAAGAGTTCGCGGCGGATGGGTGGAATTAGAAACCGGCACTCAAAATGTAAGGATACTGGAAGACGGGAGATGATTCCGCGACCGCAGAAAGAAGCTGAGCAGAGTTTTGGCGTTGGCGGTGATGATTCGAAGTTGGAATAGTGACACGACTTGTGTCGATGGCGTCGTTTGGGCTTTGGTGGAGGTCGCTCGAATCCACCTTGATAAGTCGCCAAGCATTTGGCCGTTACGCACTGAGTGGGCCAGTCGCGTGCCACGTTACACGGGCGGGCTCGGTAATATGTAATATGCAGATAGGTGCTTGTGGTGCCTCGTACGTATCTGTTTCACTCTCGCCACTCTACACACTTGCAGTTTGCCACAGCACATAAAAGCTACACAGTTGTCCCTGAAAGCCACCCCGGAGCCCGAGAAGGCCTCAATTCATATTGCGCCAATTCCTCCGTCATAGTCCCCGTCCGCACAAAGGGATAAGACTCGCCGCTTAGTTACTACACACCCCAAAACCCGCATCCCGCATTCTCTGCTCACGGGTCCTCCTGTGATACTCCACCCTCAGGGGAAAGCTTAAGCCGGTATGTTCTGCAGCCCAGCAGGGGCTGTAGTTTCGAGATCCCCGTAATGCAGCATCAGTTCGCGCTGCGAAATAGTCAGTAATGGACCTCATTGAATAGCTCCGAGGGTTTTTCATCACGTACCCTATCCTTGCGCCAGTTAACCGTGTCCCAGACGACATAGTAGCCGCGTTCGTGGGCCGGGCCCAGTGCCTGCGGCACCATGAGGTCATCCTTTGTTAACCACATCTGCATTTTCTTGTGCCACCTCCAGTTGCGGTTGTTGAGCTCCATCGCAGCCATCTGCTGCTTGATATCCCGCGGACAGCTGTAGAACATCAACATCAAAGTTTCTTCGTTGAAGCTCGAGATCTTGGCCTCGATCGGCTGGACGTTCTTGACTTGGTAGCAGTCAGGCAGCCGAAACTTTGGTACCGGTGACCGAGGCGCAACATCCTCAAACAGCGAGTAGACCTTTGTGGACAAGGTTCTAGGAAGAATTAGCAGCCAGATCCGAATCAAAATATGTGCTAACCGCTTACTCTGTCGAGCGCATATCCACACCTAGCGCTGCCGGGTCCATGCCGCATGTCAAGGCATTGTAATCGGGGAAGTTATTCATCAGCGTCCGAATGCCCTTCAGACCCCATTTATCGATGGGCGCCATTCCCTCTAACGGATCTTGCACCTGGATGGCAGGTGACCTCTCCTCCTCCTTGCCTTTGCCGGTTGGAGGGTCGTTGCCGATTGCGCCGAGAGGGTTTCTCCCACCCACCGAATCCACTGAGCCCTCACGGTACCCTGGTGGCTTTTGGTGGGGTTCATCCTCGACCGGACTGCGAGGATCTTGAGGTCGACCGATCGCCGTCGGCGAGCGGGTATCCCCGGTCCTCGAAGTCGCCGACAGCGCGCTCAACAAGCCGTTCCCTGTCCGAGTCGCATGCATGGACGTTCCAGCCGAGCCCTGGGCGCCAAACCCGAGGGTCGACATCAAGTTTGCTCCTCGGTCTTGCCCCCCCATCTCGCCATTCGCAGATCGGTTTAACGGCGGAAATTCCTCAGCCACGCCAGGTTGCCCTTGCGCTGGCTGGGAAGCGCTCCCTTGGTTGCCGAACCTAAATGAACCTTGGGCAGACGGTAAACGCGAAGCAAACAAGTCGTCTGGGTTCTGTTGCGACGAGACCGGAGTTCCGCCGCCCCGGTGAGCCCCTCCGCCGAGGTTTCGGGGTCCTTGTGCCGACCACATGGATGATTGATTCGCCGAGTTGAGTTGGGATGTATTGGACAAGGATGGGAATTCCCTGCATCGAGCCGTCGGTTAGCATTACTTCCCCTGTCAGGTGAGCGTCGCAAAATAGACTGGGGTTCGCAGGAGTGATAAAGACGGGGAATAGATCCGCAGTACCCCTTCACGATTAATGCGTAGGGAAGCCCTTCGGCCGGTTTCTGGGATTCTTGAGCGAGACTCGTCTCCTTCGATTTGATGGAGAGTTTGGGTTTGTGATGGTGAGATTGTGCCATTCCGATCGCCGGCTTCGACGAGCAGCTAAGAAAACTGAGGTGTGAAGGTGGGTAGACGCCCCGATCTAAGTTGGGGAAGGGGAAGAAATTCGGCGTCTTCTTTGTGCGATCGACTACCCCAAAACAAGAAGCGACGCGTAAACGGGTTGCTCAGAAATAGAAACAGAAGCCGAAGGGATCCACTGGGTCGAGATGAGCTGAGAGGCAGTTTGCGACGGAAGAGATGGTCGAAACATGAGAACAGCTAGACCGAGATATGGGACGAGGGTTCCGAAACTCGACACTTCACAAAACCCAACACGAAGAAGAAAAAGCCACTTACGATGGGTCCAATGGTGTTGCCGGTTGCTGGGATCCCGCCAAGCTCTGAGCAAAGCTGATATTTCCTCCTATTTGCCGTGCTGTCGCCGCTGCGGGCGCGTTTCCACTCCCCCCCATGGGCATGCCGCCGAAGCCCCATCCTGACGCGTTTCCTCCAGGCCCTATAAGCGCGTGTTAACCGTCGTCGGGATGTTGGGACGTCTTGAACGCCAAGAGCGTGACTGTACTGGGGGCCTCCTCACCTATCTTCCCATTCGGTAACCTGTTCGAGACGGCGCGACCTGATTGTTGCGGCGGTTGCTGTTGCGGTTGCTGCTGCTGCTGCTGCTGCTGACCCCCAAACCCCCCGGGCATGCCGCGGAGCGTTTGTGGTATGGGCCCTGGTATCCCAAAGCGCGTTAGCACGTTTGGTTCATGTCATCGCGTTTTTGATGTGATGCGAGCGGAGGGTTGGCGAGACAGAGGGACGCCCTGGGCTGTTTAGTATGTATTGCGCCACCCCAACCGTGCGGAAGGGTAAATTCCAGCTCAATAAGTGAATAACGAGCGGAGGCCAGTGCCCAGGAATTTATTTCCCTGTTGTATTTCCCACGGTAGAGCGCTCCGGAACCCTGAAGGATGTTGGAGACTATGACACAGTCGAAGGCTCGAGGGGCGCGCTACGACAGTCATGATCCCCCGCCTCCACACTCTCACTCCCAAGTTATTGGCCTTTTCCTATTTATAACCCATCTCAAGGCAGACTCGGGCCCGAACTTCTTGAGTCGCGGAGACCGGGGTAGGAAGTCAAGGTCGATACCGGGACGGGGCAACAGCGGGGCACACGAGGGCTCGGGATTTGGGATTCGCAGGAAGGACTGGGGCGTTGGCACCATACCTTGTCGGTTCATCATGGAAGCTGCGCGTGTGCGCTCGGCGGCTGTTGGGCTGGCGGGATCCCGTATGAAGCGAATGGCTTCACTCGTCTGGTTTCGTCGTTGGATGTTGATGGCAGTGGGACCTTGCCTTCCTTCCAAGACGGGGCTGTGGGGGCCACCAAAAACATTTAACCAAGGCCCGTGCCCGTTGTAATTACCCACCTTTACGACGGTAACTATTTCCATGGACGACCCTGCCTGCCTGCGTTCCATGTATGTAAGAAATCAGCAAACATCAATTCCAACATACACCAATCTCAAATCGGCTCGGGGACACTTATTTGTTCACTACGAGTCTAACACTAACTAAACTACTCTGGAAGTTTGCCCGAGGAATACCAAAATTTTAATAAATGGAAAACTTTGCAAAATGTTAAATATTCGGGTCGTTGAGCCCAGCTGGGTTGTTGCCCCAAACACCGTACTCGTAGCCCGGCGACCTGGTCGCCACCGCCACCCACATACCGCCTAGTGTAAGTCGCCCTCCCTGCATACGTATCTAATTACCGGGCTGGCCGGGCAAGCCAGATAGTTCGCATATTCTGATATAAACACAGATCACATTGACCGCCACGTCTAAAGCGACCCGGTGCCTGGTATGAAACTACATTCATCTTATAACAGCTTGGCACTGTCCAGAGCATTCTCCAAACTCTTCCGGAAATCGAAGCTATCCAGATGGCGCCCGATCAGCACCATCTTACCTGCTTGCCCATCCGAATCTTGTTGCTGCGAAGGGCTGTCGAAGATATCAAAGATCTCTCGCACTCCTTGGATGATCCTTTCTTTCCCCTCATCGCTAAAAAAGCGGCCTTTTAAACGGTGGATGTCGTATGCCGGACCATCTGTTAGTTTATGGCCTGGGGAGTACATTTTCCCACAAAACCGATCGCAGCCAGGCATCCAAAGATGACTGCTGCGTCTCAGTTTACCCTAGGCAGCGGAATCGATATGGTCGAAATTGTCTGTCAAGTCAGCGTTGATTTGGCAACTGAGCCACGGCCAATGGAGCTCTTACCTTGTCGAGGTGGACTATGGCCGAGCTCTGCACGGTCAAGCTCCTCAACCCTATCATATGCGTGTAGATCCAGGAGAAACCCTTCGAGTTTCGGCACCACACTCTGACTGGTGACGAAGATCTTGGCGAGCCCGTTGATGGACACAATCCTGTCCTTCACGGCCTGCAACTCCGGTTCGCTAACTAGGTCCGATTTGTTGATGACGATGACGTCTGCGTGGGAAATTTGCACGTGGGCGGTTGTCATGACCGGCCCATGTGCGTCATCGCTTTCCTCGTGGCCTTCGACTTTGCCGGCGGGGTCATCTAGGCTGCGCAGGATGTTCTTGGCGTCGACGAGGGTTACGATGCCGTCCAGGTAGATGGTGCTGCCGAGTCCGTCGTCCATCCAAAACAGCGGGGCAATGTTTCCAGGATCTGCGAGGCCCGTGGTTTCGAGAAGGATGTAGTCAAACTTGCCCTTCTTCTCCATCAACGATTCGATGGCGTTGACACCAGTATCCCTGCGGACTCATGTTAATACGGATGCCGAGCTTAGACCCAGGGTTCCAGCTCACTTGACAGAGCAGCATATGCATCCATTACCCACGTCCATCCACTCTTCGACCGACTCGCCATCCTTGTTGATGGTCAAGGACTTTTCAATATCCAGGGCTATCCGTCATGTCAACTCAATGCTAGCTTTGGCTGACATAAAGATGGCTTACAGTCACCAAACTCTGCATATCCCGGTCAGCGAGTCAAAATACATAGGCATGGGCATCATTCAACCTTACCGTTCATGATCACAGCGATCTTCTTCCCGTGCTCCGCAGTCAAGATGTAGTTTAGAAGTGTGGTTTTCCCCGCCCCCAAGTATCCTAAATTTCATATCAGACTTTGAACTCAACGAGAAAACATGGAACACTATCAACAAAACAAGAATGAAAGAAGGGCAACGATTACACACCAGTAATCAAGGTAATGGGTACTTTCACTGGCTTCTCCTCGGGTTCCAGCTCGGTGCCTGTGACGACCAGCTCCGGTGGTGCATCATCATCCAAGTCCATTTTGCCTGCAAGAAGTCACACTCTGCCGAACTCCGATAACTGTGGTGTCGTGGGATGATAACAAGATGCCTTGTCTTTTTGATGCTGGTAGTTACATGCAGGTAAGGAGGTTGAGATGGCGGGGCAACTTTGGCTTTTAAGTGCATCGGCTTAATTACAGAGCACATACAATACACGGCACGGAGTTGTTGTTACGGTATTACGTAAAGTATCAGCCAGGGGTTGCCAACCATCAGGCACATCATCCAGTGCAGGGGTAGCTGCAGCCTCAGCTTCAGCGCTGCTGCTAAACACTACCAAAATCTGAGAACTAAGCGCCCAGAAATCTCGACTGGGAACCAGCCTTCCGATACCTTGCCGAGTCACAACTTCACGACTTCGGATGATTTGGGACGACAACCCTCCAGGCTAGCAGTTAGGGACCTCGCCGAAGAAAACATAGGTACATACATTGGGACGAACAGCTCGGAAGGGTCAACTCCACCCGGTCAACGAGGAGATCGCGGGCTAGGTCACATTTGACAGCGGGGCGCGTCGACACTCAACGGCCAGAAGCCCAAGCAATACTGTCTCCTTGGGGCGTGTCATTATTCATTTTCATTCCAATTTCGAGACGTCATGTCGCTGCCGCCGAGTTCGCCTCGGCTACCCAGTCCGCCCCCTCCGGCCGAGATTCAACGAACACCGAAGTCGCCGCTGATGGGTCCCAATGCAGCGCGCCAGGCTGCCCAAATCGAACAGACGGCGATCGATACAAATGCCAAACGGCGCATCCACCCGGGTACGAAGTCGGCCGACATGGCTGCTGGCCCTCCACTCGTCCCGTTGCATGAGGTACATTAGGTCCCTTTCTACATCATCAGTAGTTGACCGGGCTGACCTGGGCGCTGGGCGCACGAACAGCTTGACTCGGCCTTCCAACTTCAGGAACACCTAGCAGCCTTGCATTATCACCATACCTCGAGCCACACGACGCCTATCAGCCGCGATACTGCAAAGCTGCTAGCAACCCCGCCGCCCGGCATCGACAAGACACTATGGTTGTACGAGCTCTGTCGCTTCCTGATCGCGCAGTGCAACACCCTGATTGTTGGCTTCCTGTTCGATACTCCGCCATGCAGCGCCGCCACTTGCCCCGAGATGCGGGCGGGTGAGTGGCAGTTCCTATGCGCCGTGCACGACGCCCCTAAGAGCTGCTGCGCCATCGATTATTGCTGTCACACCCTCGACTGGGCCACCAACATCGTGACGAACCCCAAGATCTTTCCGAGCCGTTTCGTCGTTGACGCCCACGACAAGAACACGGCCCTCAAGAACCTCGTTAATGTGTTTCGCCGCCTGCACCGCATCTTCGCGCACGCCTGGTTTCAGCACCGCGGCGTGTTCTGGTCCGTAGAGGGCCAAGGCGGTCTCTATGTCTTCTTCAAGACCGTGTGTGATGTTTACGACCTCCTACCGGCGGAGAACTACAAGTTGCCACCCGAAGCGGAAGGCTTAGACAGCAACTCGGGCGCGGCGGACCTCGGGGACCGAGGTGACAGGAGACAGCAGCAACAACAACCACAGCTGTTAGGCCCCATCTCAATCGCGAAACCTCCATCTCAGCGTGATGGCGAGGACGGGGATTACTCTTCCGTGAGCCGCACCAACACGAGGAGACACATTAAGAGCAGTCCCTCGACGGGAAGCGCCGTTACGACGGTGCCTGAGGCAGACGAGGACGACGGCTCCGACCTCTCCCACAGGCTACGCGGAATGCGCATCTCAGCGCCCCCATCGGTGGCCGAAGACGAAAGGGAGTCGGCTACCATCCCAGTGATAGTGGAGCACAAACCCTTAACCGCGGCCGAACACCCAATCCGACCGCCCAGTGTAATTCCGCCACCGGGGGCAGAAACAGGCGGAAGCCAAGTGAAACAAGAGCCAGCGCCGGACGTCGCCATGCAAGAGGCAGACACACCGGGGCCAGAACACGATTTTGCCACGGAGCCCGAAGCCCCAGCTCAAACCCTCCCCGACTCTACTACCTCCGAACCAAAACCGGAACACCAGCCCGAACCCGAATCCACAGCAGAGCCTCAGCTGGAAGAAGCCCAATCAGCGACGCCAGCCAAAGAACCCAGCACCACCACTGCCGCTGCTGAGGAGCCCGCGCCGGAAACCAAACCGGAACCCGAGGAGGAGGCAAGCGGAAAGCCCGAGTCGGATGCAGTGACTGCCGAAAAGCCAGACGCAGGGGATGCGCCCTCCTATCTCCCACTGACGGACGACAAGAAGGCGAAAAGCAAGGACGAGCAAACGACAGAGTCAGAATCCGCTGCCGGGCTTGACACCGAGTCACAAGCTACTGCCGCTGTTGATTCAGAGGAGGATGCCGAGACGGCTACGGTTGTCGGAGCGGATGAGGCTGGCGAGGGGGCACCGGCTGATGATGCCAGGAGCGAAGCAGACACCGTGGTAGGGGAGGATAAGAAGGGCGACGAGGAGAAGCCGGCGGAGGCGGAGCCGACCGAGGAGAAGAAACCTGCTGGAGAGAAGGGTGACCAGGATTAAATTTCCGTCGAGGCTCTCTGACGCCTGGCTAATACCCCAGGATTCTATTCTGCATACTGTGTTTGTAATAATATCAGTACTTTTGGAACGATACCAGATAGGCAGGCGTGTTGTCTGTTGAGTACCATCCTTGTCAGGTCGAGTGTTATCGAGATGATGGAGCAGTTGGAACGAACTGGGTATGAATGATTTAGATTCATTAAATTGTCTTTGTACAGTACTTAATACATTATAAGAACGCTCAATGCTCGTATTCCCACTTCCGACTCACTCAGATAGATGCAACCGCCCCCCTTTTGTCCACCGTCACGACTGGGTATATCCCCAAGTTCAATGATCCTCCACCAATACACACCTCATGGTACAATCACCATACCGTCCCGTCCGTCCGGTCTTTGCGCCCCTTCGCCCTGCGATCTCGCCCACACCACTTGATGCCCCCAGGCGATCACGATTCACCCGAGTATAGCCGTTGCCCGCCCTTAATTATGCATGCGTTTTGTGTATATCCATCCGTCCCTCTCTGCTTTCTCTATTTTGCAGGTCTCGCATTGCCCGCATATTAGTAGCAATGCGTCTGTCTTTCTTTCTGTGTGTGCCAACTCGGAAAAGTATCAACGACAAAACGGTGAAGACGAAAAATGATTAAGGTTGTAGGCAGAAAGAAGGAAGTGCTATGAATGAGGGTGCCCAAACTAAGAGACAAAAATGTGATGATGTTGAAGTATTGGACAATGAAGAAGGGGACTGAGACCAAAGGTGTGTAGAAAAACAACAAAAATAAACAAATGGGTAAATACACGAAGAGAAAGTGAAACTAGCCCAAGATTGAAGGATTGTCGTGCCGGGCGAGAGAAAGGTGGCGATGAGGGCTGGAGGCGGAATATGCCGAGGTCGAGGTTGAAATCGTGGTCGTGGGATGTGAAGCTGGGCCATGGGTCGATCAGCCAAGCCCGGAAAACAGCCGCATTGCGAATACGAAGCGGAGGAAGCAGGGGAGATGCAGGCCTGGCGGCTTTCCTCGCCGATTTCCCCGGTCCTCAGGGGGTAGCGTGGGTGTGGCCGTAGTGTCGTCCCAAGTGGGCGAGTTGGGATGACGGCACCCGGTTTTCCGAGAAGAATTGGCGCTGTGTGGGAACCAGTTCATCCGATAACAACTAGGGTGTTTTTTGGCCGGGCGTTGCGCCGGAGTTGCTAGCTTCCCAGCTTTCCAGCGGGTGGTTGGGGGGGATCGTGTGGGGTGGTGAGATCCCGAGTGCCGAAAGTGTGTTTCAGATCTTCAAAAACGGTTCAAGGGGCGACCCAAGCGTCGGCCCCTGCATTAGCATCGAGATTTTGACGTCGCAGGGCCGCATTATCGGGTCCCAGGAAATTGTCCAGGGACCACATGGGCCACCCACGGCAAAGGGAGCCGCATCATGAGCCGCCTAGAAGCCCCAACGTCAACCCTTCCCGCTCATCATTGGGGTTCCCACGTTCCACGTCCCACACCCCACGAGGTCCCAGTCCCACACCTGCGCCGTCCAGGTCTCTGTCCAGGTCTCCGAATCCAGGGATGCTGCTTGGAAGCGCTCGGATGGTCGGAATGCGGAACGATCATGATGTCGAGGGCCCCATGAAGCTCTGGCCTCCTGCAATCTATTCCGCTGCTTGTCCGGTCGTGCGCGTTGGCGGCGAAGACTCCATTGGGCAGACAGACCTGTGCATGCAATCCCCAACGCCCCGACCTTTCCTCCCTCCCTTGTTTAGGCCTCCGGGTGCTTCCTCTTTGCCCCTGCATGTGCACTGTCGTTGTCCTCGGCGTACTCCTGTGCAATCTGCATCCTTGAGAATACATGGCGAATCTGCTGCAGGTTCTCCCTTTGAGTTGACGCCGCCATCTCGTTGCGCTCGTCCGCAATGGCCCGGACATTTTGGAGCAAGGGGCTAAACCCCTCGTCGTTGGGGAGCCACCATCGGATGCAGCTTTCGTCATTAAAAAGTTCGGCCATGCGTGTGCGCATTGTGATGGGGGATATGTATCTTTACTTTGGTTAGCACAAGTTGTTACGCGCAAGATTGGATCAAGGCATGCAAGCTCATTCAGTCTCCGGACAGATATCCTGTCGAACACAGCTCTGGAAGCCAGACTCACCCCATTGTCTCGAGTAAAGCGAACTTCCTCCTGATCCACATGTGATGCTTCGGATCCCGTCGCAAATAAAGTGCTGCGATACCAAGACAGGATTGCAGGACCAACAAGCTCCCTGGCGGGCTGTGAGGCCAGAGCTCTACCGTTTCGGCGATCCTGCATATCGCATATGCGTGCTCCATCAACTTCGCCTGGTCCTCATCTGTGAGTGCTGTCGCGCTCTGGCTGGCGTGCATGAGTGAAGTCGAGTGATATTCGCACGCCATCAACGTCGAGGCAAAGAGCGGCGGCCGGAAGAGAACCCCAGGCGCGAACGGGTTGACAATGTCCTCAGCGTCGGGCGTCTGGTCGGCGGGGAAGTCGGTCACCAGATACGCCGGATCATTAAGAGTAGCGTCGAACGTGGTTTTCCACTCCTCCCACGAGGCAGACAACCTTCGATGCTCGGCAGCGTACTCCTCATCCGTAAACTCCTGCTTTGCCCCCTTGGCGAAAAGCTCCGACATTTCCTGGGAGATCAGCCGCACTCGCGCCGAGGAGACCTCGATTTTCCAAGTCAAGTTTTGGGGTTCTGCTACCACCCTTGAGTTATAATATTTCATGGATGCTGCGAACCAATCTTGGGACAGCGAAGTCCCAAAACTCCCCATGATGCCGATAAAAATGTCGAACCGAGCGTACCACATTAGAGCAACACGGCCCACGGGTGTTTGCATCACCGTCTGCGGCGTAAATAGCTTGTTCATGACCTCGAAAGCTGCTTTTTGGTGGCCCATGAGGTTGACCCAGTCGCCCAGGTATTCCTTTCCTTGGTATTAGTACGTCGAGATGCCGTCACATCCAGAGTTGCGTGTCACCTACCTCGATCGTGGCAAGCTGCAGTATCGTCAATAGCGTCCCTACCGTATGCTTTTCCTTCTTCAGGGAGTCCAAAAGCAACGTGACGCTACGGCTGTAATACTGAAGAAATTCGTGGATCTTCCCATTTGGGTTCTTCATCGAGTGGTGGTAGGCGGAAAAGCCCGCTACCGCATAGAGCAGCGCCTCATCGCGGATCGCCAACCCCGGCAGGATGGTCCGAAAAAAGTCGTCGGCGTCGTTCACTACACAGTAGTGATAGTGTGTTATGTTCTCTTGGAAATAGCTGAGGTAGAATTGTAGATCGTGTGGGAGGAATGTCCAGTCAGGACGGGAGGCGGTCGCGGCGGTCGATCCATCAGGGAAATGAAGCCCAGAAGGCGTATGAGTGCTGGTGACGCCGGACGACAAGGCTGGGGACGAGTCCTTGTATTCGTCGTAGGAAGGGGTTTCCGATCCCTGACGGTGGCCTACGGGGACACGCTGACGCCCGAATGAGGATGCGGTACTGGATCTCCGGAGCGGGAAATTCGGCGCCGAGGTTTGGGATGTCGCGCTCTCCGGTTCGTCTTCGTCTTCGTCCATGATCGGGTCCAACTTCGTATCTTGCTCGGCCTCGTCTTCATCATCGCCAGGGGAGGAACTTGGACTCGCTTGCCGGCTTGCCCCGGCCGAGTCTTTGGGATTTGCGGCGCCCGATCCCTTCGAGGGCGGGGGTTCCGGATAGATACATTCCCTCTTTCCCTTCCTGCATCCTGTAGCGGTCCAGTTAGCGATGGCTTCCGTAGTATTTGAGGTTTCAGCAACACCAAGACGTACTTTCGCAGACAGGACGTGTTTCGTCGCACTGCAACGTTGTTAGCGCGGCGTCTGGAAGCGGGGAGGTGGGGGGAGGGGGGGGGGGGGTTGCGGGGTGATACCTTCACTCGCCGGCTGCGGCAAGTGTAGCAGCCAGATCTTGTGCGGCGATGCTTGATGTGATCGAGGCCCGGTGCCGACTTCCTTCTGCTTCTTTGCGCCTTCGGCGCATTGAACATGATGGGCTCCGGAAAACCTGTGAAATACCCCAGGCTTTGGTAAGGGTTGGGTGCCGAAGAGACGCCCATCGGCATGACCTGAGGTTGTGACATCTGTCCGGCACCATCAAGCTGGTTGGGGTTGGGCTGCCCCCCAACTCCTACCATGGAGGATAGGAAGTGGTGGTAATAGTCGCTCATGGCGGTTTTTTCGACGACGCTCGCTTTCTGTGGTCGTCGTAGTAAGCGGCGCCGGCTATCTACAACATCGAGCGGCTCGTGGATGAGAGGTGGCGTAGGCCTGGCGCGTCCGTCGTCACACGAGGGCGGTCCAGATATGTGCGCTGGTGCCGAAGCAACGTCAACACAGACTAATCGGATAGGCCGACCGACCCTTAGGGGCAAGTGATTTAAGTTTGCGCAGCCCTCGGCCCAGAATTCCGAGGCCGGCGGCTCTCTCGTGTCGGTCTGTCGGAGGGGGAGAGGGTTCGAAGGAGACAATAACAAATCCAAACCAAACAGCGTTGAGAAAAACAGGCCCTTGTCAGATGCTTGCGTTCAGTGCTGAATTAAATGCCATTATAGAAGTATCCCCGGTCAATAGTGGATGCCGGTGTTTGTGAAAAAGGAGCCGGCTGGGGTGGGCGACAACTCAAACCCCGGCGTTGATCGGAGGGCAAGGTCAAGCAGCCTCAGGGGGGCAGCCAAAGAGGGTGATTGTAGTGTACAGAATCTCCGCACTACGTTGGTTAGGAAAAGGCCAACCAGCTACAAGTGGCAACCTCTTCGCGGGACTGGGGCTTCTCTGGGGCTCTCTGTGGAACAAGGGGACTGGGCGGATCGCTGGCAGTTCCGTCAATCTTCCGGGTGCCAAAAGAGCCGGCGCTTCTGGGTCGAAATGGGATGCTTGCGGGCGGGACGCCAGGATGTGATCTGCTGTGATGTTGGACGATTCTTGGTACGAACGTGGGTATGCAGGCGGGATACCACTGTGACTGAACACAATCGCTGGCTCGATGCTCCAGCCAAGATAACCCTACCCTACCCTGGAAGCTCACCCCTCAGGGGGACAGGCAGCGTCAATACTGGTGCGGATACAGCCGTGGGCGGCCCAACTGTACGAATACAGATAGGCGTTAGGTGAGTGAGGAACCTTCCGAACGAGGGTCAGGGTGGCAAATAGCGGAGGATGATGTCCTCGGGCTGCCAAGACGAGTCATCAACCCTGATGCGGGATGCTACCGTCCCCTGAGGAGCGAGGGACAGGGGAGATGGCGCGCGGGAATCGAAGAAGTATCTTGTCTGGTGACTGGGGACCAGGTGGGAACCACAACGGTTGGTGGGTTACCGGGATAGGGGTGCTCTGTACGAAACTGGAGGTTGTGAAGGCGTTGGACCACGGGGCGTGGCGCGGGAAAGACCGAGGTTGGCCGTGGGAGAAAGGGAGGGGGGGTGAACCGACTGCGGCCAGCAACTTATAAATGTAACCGTGGCCAGCTTCCTCCTGGAGAAGGAATGTGGTATGAGAATGAAGTCCGTTGTAAAGAAGAGACGGAGGTCCGATATTGAAGGTAGATCGTTGATCAGAGATATTAGAAAGGCGAGTAAGAAAGCGGGTGAGAGATCATTCAGCTCGATCTTATTAGTCGATCAGTCAACAGCAGAGACCCAACTCGAACGCCGGGGCGTGTCGTCTAGGATTAGCTGACCCCGGGCCGGCGTGCTGGTGGGGGTGCCCAGTCAATGGCGGCCCCTGGCCCAAGTCCATTGCTTGGTGCGCGTCTCGCTGTCACAGGCCATTGAACCTCCCCGGATTCATTGCTCGAGCCTTGGTACGCTTCAGCGCCGCCAAGGTACACAGTCGGTTTCTCAAGATCAACGCCATGATAACGCAAAGTCAGTGGGCGTTCATATTCCACGCCCCGCTTAATGTGGTGAGCCATCAACATTACTGTGTAGGTTTCCAAGAGGTGGTCACGATAATCAGTGAGCGCTCCTAGAACTGCACCTGCTGGACTCGTGGGTCCACCTGCTTGAGGCTCTCGCGGCTTGTTTTCCGCATCCCGTCCTGGATGGGGCCCGGGCTCGAAGGTGATCTTGATCCTACCAGCTTGCCAGTTATGTGTAGTCGATGCTCCGAGATCCTAGGGCAGAGTGAGCTTCTCCAAGGCTAGGACCCCTGAACGGGTTCCGGTCCAAGGCGGCAGAAGTTTCTGCATGTGGCAATGTGAGGCTAGTTGGGTAGCGCAATTCGTCTGACAAGGGTTGCTAGATGTACCCCAAGTCTCACGGAGCTGCGTGGGAACGGCAGAGCAGAAAAGAGCAGCAATGCAACGCGCCCACAAAGGCAACCTGCATGCCCAGGCCTCGACGCGGTTTGAAAGCAGTTAGCTAGTTAGTTATTCTTTGTAGTGATGCATGCTGCATGGACATGAGGTAGTCAAGCCAAGAAGCATCAGAGACATGCTTAACTAACGGTAGAACTCGAACTGCTTCGAGAGTTTGATCGGCACGCGGCGGCTGAGGTTGACGGTTCATCTGATGTGCCGCGGCGCGAGAACCGTTCCACAACGGCCGTTGGTACCTCGCATGGGTGCTGGTTGCTGGGGGGTTTGCCGGGGTCGAGAGCTGGATCCCCTGCCAGCGTTCTGCTCCACCTGGGCGCCATTCTGGTGGAACCTTGTGCTTGACTGAGACATGGCCCCGATGGCGCGCCAGGCCACATGTGCTAAACACATGGCTTCCATGCTGGAAGAGACGGCGCCCGCGGAGCCAAGATGCCATCTGTGTCCTCTCCTTTTCAGAAGGAGCCGTATCGTCGGCGCGCACGGTGATCTTTGGGGCAAGCGCCGCCGGCTTCCAGCCCTGGTTGGAGCTCCTGGGTTGACATCGCACCCATGCAACTAGAAAGCGCGCCAATCCGTAAGCAGCCAGTCCGATGCAGGGCCCGCGAACATCGGGCCTGCACTCCCAAGCCCTGCCAGGGTCAATGTCCATTGTCCAGGGAATTGAAGCTGGCACGGGCCTGGTCCGCGGCAATGGTGAAAGCGATCCGATCCCGAACTGTGCAAGATGTCAGGATGCAGCGAGGGAGGAGGCGCCGCTCCAACCGTCGTGCCGGCGCCGTACAGATCTTACAGTATTTCCCCGCCGACCTCGAGAACATTGCCTGTTGTCGACCAGTAACGCGCGGCGGAGATTTAGGTGTGTGTCACACAAGCCCGCAGCTGAAGGCCTAAGCTGCATTGTCAGAAATACCACACTTTCAATTCTTATGTATGTACGAAGTACGTTTCCACGGTAGTACACACCTTAACCCCTCACCTCCCGCGATGACTTCTCAGACTTCGTACTGTGTACATGGCAACCCTGAACCAAGACGATCGATGTCGCATCCACGTCCCAGTTGCCCAGATTGCCCATCATCTTGCCAAATTCATTTGAACGTCAGCCGGGGCAGCGAGCCGGGATTAGCAAGGGAGGTGCCTCCAACTTGCAGCTTCGACCAGCCATCTATCTTTCCCGTCGTTCATGGGATGTGGTGAAGGACGATATTTGATCTCGGTGGGAGTGGAATTGCGCTAGGTGGGAGTGGTGTGGCGCTATCGTCAGACGGGCCATCGCCGGACCCTCCATTGCATCTTGGCCAAGTCGGATCTTAAGTCGCTTGGTTTTTTTTTCCTTCGGCGCTTCACGATTGTATTGGCGCGTAATACGGTCGAGGATCGACATGAAAGGGACGCAATTACGGACCCGGAGAAGTTCCATTGCGTCAATTAACAGGGAGGAAAAAATGGAAGACCTTGGTACGTGACTGATTAGGATTGGGAGGGGAAATCTTCCATCTCTTGCAGCAAGAGCTCCATATCGGCGGAAAGAGCTCCCCTAAACCCTGCCTATAAGCCAGGCAATTAATGTTATGAGAGCAATACTTGACGGCAATCATTAATTGGCACGTGCAATTCAGTTTAACCTGTTTCCCTTGCCAATCACGGCATGGTCATCCGTGAGTTATCCAGGACCCCGGTCTTCCACCAACAAAAGTCGTCAGTTGCTACACCGTTACATCTTCTGTAAAGTGAATGAGGTACGAATACCTCTACCTCTATCAGGGTCTTCAAAGATGAGACCAACTCCTTCCGTTTTGACTCACGCTGTGTGTGTCAACATCAAGCCATCGACACAGGCTCACAGGCAATCCTACTAATCGCCAATCGTCCATGATGCGAAAGCATCGTCGCATTTTCGAGACCCACGCGGGGGAGAATGCTGCACATCCTGGTTGAGCAGGCATGTCTCACAGACCCCTGCCGAGGCAGTGCCCGTTTTCTCGGGAATGAGTTGACAAGGGAGAATTTCTATCGGGCTTCTAGTTACTGCTGGAATGAACAGATCGAAATTAATATTGGCTGTTAGGAATGGGCCAAATTCATGCAACACCAAACCCGGACGCCGGGAGTGGTGATCTTCTGTTGGTGGCAGCCCCCGCGGGGACCACGCTCACGGCCGAACTTCCTCCAACGGCGATGAGCGGAGCGGCTGTGCCACGCCGGCCCGGCTCCCAGGCTCAGGGGCCGCTTCGCTAGCGGCATCTTAAACTGGATCGCATGAATCTGCAGGGCCCACTGCGCTCAGCCTTCGATGCGCAGCACACGAATCTCTCGAGGTCGTCTCACCGAGTCCTCTCAACGACGCTGTGTCGAGCTTCAACACGAGTATCTCCGACTCCTCTTGCGTATCGATACCTCTGTGGAGGCACACCAGCCAGCGCATGTGATCACTTAAGACGCCGGGATGCATTAATGCAATCTCGGGTCGTGTCGGCGACAATCTCTGTTCCATGAACCTTCATCCTCAACCTCGCACAAAGCAGGGACCTTGTGGATCAGATTGTATCCAAGACGCACCTTGTATGACCACTATACGTCATTCCAGAGCTTGCTATTCATTGCAAGGCGACAGGGTGGCCGAGTCGAACATGGCGAGATCCCCGCCTTCCGGTATTCCTTCCACCCTTATCCTGACATGACCCCTGGGGTATTACAGATGATATCCATAATGACCTACCAGCCGCTTCACTCTTCAACTGCCGGGACCGGGCAGGTTGTGGTCGGTGATGCCGATTCCACCACAACAACCTTTATGGGCGTGGGCCTATGTTAATACCAACGGTGTTCCCGCTACTGGCCGTCTAACGGACCGCTTTTACTTACACGAATGAAGGATATATACACGCTCCAGTGCGGTTCTCACCGAAAATTCCTTGCCGCCGCAAGATTGACAAAACATGTGCTATGGCGGAGCTTGGTTAATATAGCCTCATCTCGGCCATGACGCGTGTGCGTCTGAATCGGGCGACACACCCGTGGTCCATCATCAGCTCGTTGTTGGGTCCCCCAGACCCAGACGATCGGTCATGATGACCTGAGCAGACCTGGCCATGGCGAATTCCGGGGATCACGGAAGTCCAAACCATTCACCAATTCAAGGCTGGCCCGAAAGCTGAATATGAGGCGGATGGCAGCATTCATCCTCCCCACCCTCGGCTTGCTCCCCAGATGCCCAGTCGTCTGCATAGCATATTCCCCTGCCTATAATACACACAGCAGCAAACGCACTCGGTGCAGCGAGGGTCCTTTTCTTACACAGTGCAGTCAAAGAGCCGAAGACCATGTCGCCATCTCAGCTTAACGGAGGTTGACGAAACAACAGTCTCATTTCTGACCCGACAGCCACAATACCCCGAGCTCCGTGCCGTCGGGTATCATCTCAACACTGTGGTATCCCGGCTGTCACTTACATGTAATGCTACAGTTGCCTCGTACCAATGAGACGGGAGAGGCGACCCGTTTTTGGCCGGCCTGCAAGTCGCTCCCGTGTGTGCGCTACCTCCCCATCGGGAATGTGGTTGCAGCTCACCCGTCTCTGCTTCTCTGCTGACTGCTGCCGCCGTTGCACCTTCGCGCACTAGTGGCCGAGCCACCGACGCACGCCCGAAGCAGAGAAGCACATGAGGCCTGTGTCACGCACTCTTGTGCAGATAACGCTACCTGAACCACTCATACCTACAAAGTGGTCGGGGAATTAATAACACATCGCATATATGCCCGTGCACCCGGCCCAAGCATTCGCCCTCCCCGGCGCGCTGTGATTGACGGCTCCGGCCGCTTCTTCGGGACGGCATCCCGGGCGTGGCGCTTGGGAGGCGCTGATTCGGACCCGGTCCGGAGAACCCAAGACTCGAAAACCCCCAATCACCTCCATTTGTTGTGGCAGATCGCGCGCGGCAACAAATCGGGTCGGCGGGGCTAAAGGCCAATCCACGCAGCCCTACGCCAAATTTGCCGGATCAATTGGGGGCCACATCCGCCGGAAGTTCTTGAGGTGCATGTTGCCTGCAGTGCAGGAGTCTTCGGGCTGGTTTGCATGGGCTTTGACGTCCATGTACACATTTTCTGAGTGGCGTCGTTTCAACTTGACAGACCTGTTATGTAGGTTTGGATCCTTCAGCCGCGGAACACTTCCGGGGATGACAGTCCGAGTTCTCAGGGGACCGAGACTACCTAGGTTGTTGTTCCTCTAATTGATTGCTATCATTGGGAGTTGTTGACGTTTCCAAAAGACCCGATCTTGTTAGTTAGCTCAAGTTCAACAACAATCCCAGAAATGGGGAAGTATGTACATAGACGTTAAAAAGCTCAGTCATGCCAGCGCAACGTCGGTAATTGCATCAATGTGCCAGTACCAGCAGATGCCGGATTGCGGGACGGAAGAGCTTGTTTTCGCCATCTGATAATTGATACTTCGTAGGCTGGACTCATCCCTGATGCTTTCCCATTTCAGTCTTCGTTGATTCCTTCTTACGCAAATTTTTATTTTTATTTTCCTTTATCCTTCACACATCCTCTGAGAACCCGTTTACTCACCTCAATAAGGCAGACCGTCTTTTTTTCCCTCATCATCACGCAGTTTTCTATAGTACGAATATAGAATACAGGGCTCGGTCCCTGGTAGCGAGGCTGGGTGTGTAAGTGGCCTGGTTACGTAATGTATACAATCCGACGGTACTGCTGCGTAACTTCACATACTTTTACTTTGCGAATTTACGCCAATTTCTGTATGAGCTGTACGATCCACCGAGTGCTTCACAATCTGAAACACGACCTCGCCATTCCAGCTTTGGTGACAGGTCAAGTCCGCTTGTCATTCTCGGCTGGTAACCACTCACAAACATAACCGCGGCCGCAGTCGCACCAACACGGGAAGAGTCAAATCGTCAATGGACGGGAGCACGGTGCCGCCACGCGGCCCGGCAATCGATGCCTCGAGCGCCTTCATACTTCTCATCACCATCTTTGCCTTTTTCTTGCCCATCCTCCTCTACTTCCCGCCAGTGCCCCCATCCAAACGCGATGCCCTCCTTGAAACACACACTCAAGTCGGCCTCAGCCCCTCAGAATCCGGCCTAAAAGGACACCACTCCAAAGCCAATAACAGCAACGGCAGTGACAACAACCCAACCTCCAAAATCCGCAGCCTCTTTATCTACCCCCTCAAATCCTGCCGCGGCATCGAGGTCCGCCAAAGCAAGGTCCTACCCACGGGCCTAGAATTCGACCGCCTCTACACCTTCGCCCAGCTCAAGAGCCCCTTCCCCCTCGCCCTCCCCTCCCCCAGCCAGGACCAGGACCAGGACAAGTCCACGGAAAAGGAAAAAGAAGCCCACACCTGGCACTTCATCACGCAGCGCCAATTCCCGCTCCTCGCCACCATCCGAGTCGACCTCTTCACCCCGGACCCGCTCAAAACCCGCGTCGTCGGCACGACACCACCACCACCACCACCATCAGCATCAGCATCCGCATCCGCATCCGCACCCTTCCTCCTCGTCCGCTTCCCCTGGCGCGAGCGCGGCCTGCGGGGCTTGCTCGGCTGGGTGGGCGCGAAGCTGGCGCGGGGGTGGCGCGCGCAGCCCGAGCGCGAGTTCGTGCTGCCCGTGGCGTATCCGACGGCGGAGGAGATCGCGGCGCGCGGGTACGGCGAGGGGGAGGAGGTCGTGGTGTGGCGGGAGACGGTGCGTGCGTTGGATATGGGGGTCGAGGTGCCGGAGGAGTTGGCGCTGTATTTGGGGGTGAGCAATCGGTTGGGGCTGTTTCGCGTGGATCCCGGGAGGCTGAGGGAGGTGTTTCGGTGTGCGCCGAGGAGGGGGGAGGCTGGGTATCAGCCGGTGACGGGGTTTCAGGATGCGGTGAGTGGTTGTGCTTTTCTTCCTTTTTTCTTTTTTCTTTTCTTTTTCTTTTTTGCTGGTTGGTGATGCTGTGGTTTCCCTGTGTTTATTGTGCGATTTCTCTGGGAGTGATATGTACTAGGAGATGGATGTTGCGTGCTTTCTTGACCTTGAGCTGTATTCGTGGAGAGGAATGGGTTCGGAGGCTAACTACGGATGGTCGTGTGCACAGTATCCGCTGCACCTCTTGAACCTGACCAGCGTTCGAGATTTCGAGGCCAAGATCGAAAAGGACGAGGCCCTCCGGGAGCTGGACCCCAGGAGGTTTCGGGCTAATATCATCGGTAAGTGCTGTATATGTTCAAGACGGTGCGAAGGGATACCTGCGTTGCCGTATCTGGCACCGCAAACAAACCCCTTCCTACCAGGGTACAGCCGCATCTCGTACCCCACCGTGACTGACGCTTAGATAGTGGACGGCGATGACAGCCCCTACGACGAAGAGACGTGGAAGAGGATCCGGTTCAGACCGGGGCCCAGCAGTAAGCGTGACGCTTCGGAGTTCCATGTGTCTTGCCGAACCGTCCGGTGAGTTAACCCGCATCTTGGATCATCGTCGCCTGTCTACACCGCTGACAACCTCCTAGCTGCAAGCTGCCCAATGTCGACCAGGATACTGGCTCTCGGCATCCTATGCAGCCAGACAGGGCTCTGAGGAAGTTCAGAGAGGTTGACGAAGGTGCAAAACACATGGGTTGTCTGGGCATGCAGGTCACGCCCTTATTTCCCAAGACTAGCTCGTCCGAGGATCTAGAGAGCTGGGTCGAGGTTGGAATGTCGGTTGAAGTCCTCGAGCGAGGTGAGCATGTGTACATCCCACAATAGACTTGGGCCGCGCCGGCGCGGGGGCAGAAGGAGTATTGTTGGTGCCAACAGCGGTGGAGGTTGCTGCGGCTGGAGGGGCTATAGTGTGGGTGGTTTGTGTAGGTTGGGAGAAGAGTGGTTGTATCTATATCCCATACAATCGGAGCAATACCTTGTATATTTATTCCTAGAATGGTTGTACATTGTTAGTTAAGCAAGATAAACCGTAACTATGTTTATATAGTAACAGCCAAAAATATAGGGAAAAAAGAACAACAGAAAAAAGAAAACAAAAGGCGGGCAGCGCTGGAACGGGGGGTCTTCTAAATTAGGTACTATCCAGTGCTTCTACCGCTCTGAAAACAAGCGCTGTTTCCCGAAGGCGAAAGTGATTGCTTGCGGTCTTTCTTAGGAGTAACCCGCCATACGCAAAGAGCGAGCACGAGCTCCCACTTGGGCTGAGAGGACCCGAAGGGCGGTCGCAAGCAACGCCACGGGGTAGGGTCCCTTCAAGCTTCGCGTATTCACGTACATCAATGCATGGTGCAGTATAGAGACACGGGAGAATGGGGTCAAATACACCAGACAGCGAGCGCGCTACCCACACGCAAACGTCATAGCTAGAGTCGTGTTCGTGACAACGTCATAACACATCCCGCCGGCGAGCACCTCACACCAAGTGTCCTGCCGGCATCGACAAGCAGCCCAAATCAGATGTGTCCTTCCACCTGCCCCTCTACCGACCCAACCCAACTCCAACAGCCCCTTCTCTCATGAAACCACCCAACCAGTCAACCTCCCCCCCTCCACATCTCGATACACAGGCACCCCACAGATAACACACACGACACGAAACAAAAATAAAACAAATCACCTCAAATCCGCGGGCGTGAGCGCCTGGACCATGCTGGTGCCCTCGCTGAAGCGGGTGCGGAAGATGCGGTTCGCGTTCTGGAACATGCCGTCCTTGAGGGAGACGACGATGAACTGGGAGCCCTTGAAGCGCGTCTTGATGAGGCGGCCGATGTTTTGCGTGTGCGACAGGTCCAGCGCCGCGTCCACCTCGTCCAGGATGTACATGGGCGCCGGCTTGAACTGGAGCAGCGCCATGATCAGGGAGAGGGCGATTAGGGAGCTGTAGAGAAGGAGGTTTGTTAGTTGGGGGTTGGAAATGAAATGGGCGGGGGAGGGTGATAAAGGGGGCGCCTTACCGTTGACCGCCGCTCAGCTCGGTGAGAGACTGTTTCCAGACTTTGCCTAGGGACACCTTGACCTCAAGGCCATCCGAGATGGTCTTGCCCTCGGGCGGATCTAACTTGGCGAAGCTGCCCGGGAGCAGCTCGGCAAAGATCTGGCCAAAATCGCCGTTCACCTTCTCCCATGTCTCATGCAGCGCCTTCTTCTTGTAGTCGTCTAGGCTGATGATGGTCTCCTCGATCTTGCGCTTGTCGCGGATGACGGTGCGCATCATGTGCTTGAGCGAGACCTCCTTCTTCTCGACGCTGTCGATCATGTTCATGACTTTGGGATTGATCTTCTTGCGCAAGCCCTGGCTGCGCTCCAGCAGGTTCTTGTGCGTCGCCTTGCACTCGGCGATGTTTTGGCCCTTGAAGTCATATGGCGTCCCCGTGCGCCCGAACTGGTCGCGCGCGTCGGCGATCCACTCGTGTTCCTGCTCCATACGGGACACGCTCTGCGCCGCAGCCTGCTGCTCCTTGTTGAACTTCTCGACCTGATGGCCGAGCTTTTGCTTCTCTAGGCCCTCCTCGGTGATACGTGCGTTCTTGGACCGCATGGCTTGCTCAAGGGCACGTAGCTCGTCGTCGTAAACGTGGAGCTTGGTGCGCTCCTCTTCGAGCTGCGCCTGCGCGGTGTCGTGCGTCTCCTTGATCTCCTGCTGCTTCTTGATGAGCTCCTCGACCTCCTCCTTCTGCGCCTTGAGGGCGAGGTCAATCTCTTGCAGTTGTTCGCGTGCTGCGGCTAGGTCGCCAGATACCTGCTCCGAGTCGAGCTGTGCGTTTTGGAGCTCCTTTTGGAGACCCTTGTTCGACGCCGTCATCTTCTCGACGGCAACACGGAGTTTATCAACCGAAGCCTGAAGCTCAATGAGCTTGGCGTCCTTGTTGTTGTCGAAGTCCTTCATGTCCTTCTCGATCCTCTTGACATCAGCGCTAGCCTCAGCTTGCCGCTTCTTAGCCTCCACAACCGACTCCTTGAGCTGCGCAATCGTTTCCTTCATCTTCTGTACCTCTTGAAGAATAGATGAGGAGGAGTTGCCGCCAATCTGTTCCTCGGCAAGCTTGATCTCGTGCGACTTGAGATCGAGCTCCTGCTTTATCTTCTTCGCCTGGTCAAGCCTGGACTTCTCTCGCGCGATTTGGGATTGCAACTGGCCCAGTGATGCCTCGGCTTCCCTTAACTGCCTTGTAAGCTCATTGAGCTTTTGTAACGTGACCAGCACACCGCTTGAGTTCGGCGCACTGCCACCAGAGAGAGTACCCGAGGGATCGTAGGCATCACCTTCTAGTGTAATACTCCGCATCCGTACGTTGGGGTCAAAGGTAACCCGCTTGGCTGTCTCACCATCTGCGCACACCAGAGTATTGCCAAAGACATACTCCATGGCCGCCGAAACCTCGTTGTCATAGCCGACAAGGGACAGTGCCAGATCAACTTTCCCTGGTGCGACCCTTTGAGCGGTGGCAACGGTTTGCGCAGATGCCCTGAAGGTGGCGATCTTGTTAAGGGGAATAATGGTCACCCGCTTTCGCAGTCTTCCTCCTTGCAAGAGCTGCGTGCCGGTGACTTCTGTGTCCACAACAACGTTGTATAACCGCCCGCCCGCGCAGATTTCAAGCGCTGTAGCTGCTTGTGTGAACTGTTTGTCGAGAGAGAACAGCTGAGCTACTAGACCCTTGACCTTGGACCGGTCAAAATTGGGTACAGGGTCGGCGTAATTGAAGTCGATGTTGGCTACCTTACGCTTGAGAGCGTCGGATTCTTGCCGCAGATTCCGGATGGTTTGTTGGAGTTGGCTCTCTTGCTTATACATCTCCTGTTCCGTGCCAGGTTGAAACCCAAGCTTACCAAGCTCCTTCTCTAACCTCTGAGCCTGATGCTTGAGCCCCTCGAGATCTTTGAGAAGCCCGGCGTTTTGGTCTTTCGCCCTCACCGCGCGCGGCTCTTCTTCCTTTATCCGCTTTTCGAGATGGGCCATTTTGATTTTGGCCTGCTCTTGCTCTGTCACGGCTGCTGTGACTCGGTTCCTAGCGTCTTGTAGCTGTCCCTGATACCCGTTCTCCTGGCCTTCCTTGGATGCGACACCGGTTTGCAGGGTCTGGAGCAGTTCTTCTTTCGACTCCGCCTCCTGAGCCTGCTTCTCGGCCGCTTCTTTTGCAGAGTCGTACTTGGCCTTGATTTTTTCGTACGCCTTGGTCTTCTCCTTCAGGGTTGCCTCCAGCTCGGCGACGGTCTTCTCGCAACCTGTCCTCCTCTCTTGCTCCTCCGCCATGCTGCTGCGCTTGAGATCGGCAACGGTAGCCAGGCGGACCAGTTCATTGGAATGCTTCTTTACCGCATCTTCGAGGGCTTGCGCCTTGCCGCCCTTCCCGTAATTCCTTGTCCCTCTGCTCCTTGACCCTCTTCACATCTTCCTCCAAATGCGAAATTTCGCTCTTGAGGCGTGTGGCCGATTCCTCCAAATCCTTTTCACGTTGCTTCTTTGCTTCGAGATCCGAGGCAGACTGCTCTAGCTTTTCCTGGCACCGGACGTAGTCGTGAGCGACAACAACTCTGGTCAACCCGCTCGAGATCGTTTTGTGTTTGCTGAAAGTCGAGGAAGGCGCGCTTCTCAGTGCGGAGTTTCTCGAGCTTTGGTTCGATTTCGTCGCGGAGTAGTTCTGTGATTTCCTGGAGCTTCATTTCCTTTTTCCCCATCGTCTTGATCGCCTTGTCTCTCCTATCCTCGAACATCCTCGTTCCTGCTGCCTCCTCAATCATGGCCAGGATTTCGACGGCCTTCATGTTTAGCACTTTGGTGATGCGACCCTGCATGATCAGGAAGTTCGGGTTGTTGATGTTGAGCTGGACCGACTGGAACAGGTTCTGGACGGTCTGCTGCTGTGCTCGATGACCATTGATTAGGTATTTTGTTGTCCCGCCGAGAACGATCTGGCGCGTCACGCTAATGGTCGTGTATTCCTCAAACCCGATGGGCGAGCGCCTCTTGTCCTTGTTGTCGAACACGATGGTGACGCTAGCCTTGGTGACGCCTGCTTGGCCGCGTTTGTAGATGAGGTCCTGTCGGCAGAAACGGGAGAGTCAGCTCGGGACTTTAGAAATTCCCAAATTCTTATCTCACCTGTAGATTCTGAGCGCGGACTGTGGACATGTTGGTGATGCCGAGGACAAAGCAGATGGCATCCAGGATGTTGGACTTGCCACTGCCATTGAGGCCGGTGATCGAGTTGAAGCTCTCGTCCCTGCACCAACTGTCAGCAGCCTTTCAACCCCTCAAAATCGTCCTGCAGTACCATCCTGATATCACGGTACGCACGGCGTACGACTTGAAGCCCTGTTTGCGTGGGTCAGTTGCTGTCTGGAAAAAAGCGGAAGGGTCGGTCTGCGCCTACGTCGATGATTAGTTCCGTCACCCTCATGGCGGCGTTGTCGAAAAAGCCCCCTTTATCTCGTTGGTTGTCGATCGGCCTGGGGGGGTATGGGGGGTATGGGGGGTTAAGAAGGCGCGTAAAGTCCCAAAACCGATTTCCAAGACACGCGGCACCCCTCCTTGCAGCTTCGGTATTTGTTTACTTTGCTTGGTTGTCGCCCCGCAGCATGCGGGCCTGTGCGCTGGTCTCAAAGTCACCCGCAATGGCGTGGTATTTTATCGGACGAGTAGTTACGTATCTTACGGTATTGATACATATCCGTTCGATGTGGAATGTCAGCCCACTTGCTCCACCCCGACAATCGCATTCATCCGAGGATCGTAATCCCAAACATGCCAGGCTCGGGAGTTTTGTATGCGATGATGTTGGGTCCGCGTTTCTTCTATTCTCACCCTAAAATTGCTCTTGCACTGTGATTTTTTGACACCATCTTCTATCCCTAAACTAGTATTATCCAAATTCAAATCCAGCTTTTTTTCTATTTTTGTTACCTTGAAATCACCGCACTAGAATATTACCCTGAATCGGGCAGTTTGAAGTTGCATCAGCAGCGCTTGTTCAGGTTACTGGGCGGCCATTGGCCACCTTGTCAGAACAAGCGGCCTGGGCAGGGGTTCCCGACCGTTGCCCCCAACTTGGAACCGGGCGCTCGGAGGGGAGACGTACGTCGGCCTTGTCCCTCCATGACAGGCTGGAACCCTCGAACGCATCTTGATATTTAATGCTTTGCGTGCATTTCAGCCCAATACATACGGTGGCCCGGTTTCCCGGATGCGCCCGCCCCTGATCAGCAACCCTTAGCCGCCTGTACTTTGCGATTGCTGTGCAGGTCGGTCGAACACTGCCGTCCAGGACAGGCCATCGCCACAACAAACATCCCAACCTCTGCGAATTTGGCGAGGACTGAACAGCTATCCGACCAACCCATATAGCCGACGCAGCCCAGATCTGCAAATAAAAGTGCACCAACATATCATCGAATCGGCCACGATCTGATGCCAATCCGTTCTAGTCGCTATCGCCATATGACGAGGCCCCGGGCCCTTTTGGGAGGATGCCCGAGGCAATGATTCCCTCGCGGACCTCCTCCTCGAGTACCCTTTTGCCCACTTCACGAGAGTCGGACACAGCCTCTATTCGCCCACGCAACCGTCGCCTTCTTACCACACAAGACGGTACCGGGTCTCCTTCGGCATTCTCGAGCCCGAGTCGAACTCCTAGCCGGGGCGCTTCGCCGATACCGTCAGCGCATATTGGTTCTGTTACAGGGAGGAACAATGCTGGGACCGACGTTGTGCCTGGCACAGCCCCGTGGAAAGAGTCCCGGTGCCGGCCGTCGGACTCCTCGACGGCTCGTGGACCTCGAGCTGGGCCTCTGTCCAGGAATTGGCGTCATCGCTACTCACGGGCGGGGGACCGGGGGTTGGTCGGTGAATTGCATCGCCCGGGCAGCAGGGATGGAAGCAGAGCGAGGAAGCCGACCAGGCAGTCCAGTTACCGGGCGGAGAATAGGATTGAGACCTGGGGTCCGCAGCCCCCAAACGAGGGAAGGCCGAGTGCAGGCGACATTGCTGCTGGATCACGCGCAGAGAGGGAGGCCACCTTGAAAGCTATGCGCACGGCAAGCGTGTTGGAAAGCCACGAGGGTGTTAACGGAGGATTGGACGTCGCGAGAAGGTTTAAGAAACGAAGCTCGGATGAGGACCTGAGGAACACCTCGCAGAATCATCAGGAGACGGAAGCGTATTTGGCCTACATCCATCACGTACAGGCCACAGACACCTATGCAGGTGTCGTGCTGAAGTACAGGTGCCGGGAGGACGCATTTCGGAAGGCCAACGGGCTGTGGTCGCGGGATAATATCCAGGTGCGGAAGTGGTTGGCAATGCCGGTGGATGCATGTGAGGTGAGGGGCCGACCTTGCGATCCACCAACCAACCCATCCTCACGAGTCGACCTGCTGGCCCGGACCCCAGATGGAACCGACCCCTTCGGCCGAGACGATCAAAAACAGGACTTTTTCTCGAACCCCTCAAACGGGCAGTCATCAGATCAGAACCAGGCCGGCGACAACGACAGACCATGGGACCCGCGTAAGATGGGTGTCGATAGACTCGCACCCGCATCCGATCGAGGTCGCACGGGTTCCCCGAAAAGCCCTTGGTTATTTTCCCCCGCGCCGGAAGAAAAGCGTCTCCACGGTCTCCACCCCCCGAGCCTCGATGGATCACCCCAACGCCCCGGCCTCCGAATCAGCCGTCGACAGCCCCGGAAGCAGTTCTTCCCGCCGCCCTAGCCTCCTCACATCCCGACGCCCGTCCAACAGCACCACCACCTCACCCGCCAACCGGCGCCGCATAAACAGCACCGGCAGCGGCACCAGCGCCAGCGCCGACGACCCCCGCCCAGCCTGGATGCGCCGACCCGGCGGCGTCGGCTCCCTCGGACGCAACGTGCGCGCCCCGGGGCCAGAGCGTGACTACTTCAACACGTGGACCAACAAGCACCTCCCAGGACTCAACATCGACTCGCTCCCATCCATGTCGGTTATGGGCTCCGAGATGGCGCGCTTCGGCTTCCTGCGCGCCGCCGACAACCCCTCGGTTGCCATCGCCGAGAGCCCCATCGAGGACGGACGCGACGCCACCTCGCACACCACACAGCAACCGCAGCACCAGCAGGGCACGAGCCTCGACAAAGGCCGCCGCCACCGTCGAGACGTGGCTCAGGGGCGCCTTTGAGCGCGCTAGGCAGGGGCGTGACCGCTCACGCCTGTTCTCGGCCCCAGGGGTAGGAGCCGGCGGCGGCGGTGGCGGCGGCGTGGGGCTGCCTGAGGTGGGTGGGATGGGGGTGATCTGATCGAGCTGGCGGATACAGGGCAGCGATGATGGGAGGCATGATGGGGCGCCGAGGGATGCCGGGGGCCTGCTTAGCTCGCCGTCTGGTTCGACGGCGGCTTCGGGGAGCAGGCCGGGCCAGTGGACGCCGGGTGTGAGGGGGAGGGGGAGGGGTGGCCCTGGGGTTGGGCTGGATAAGAAATCGGATTAGGGGTTGGGTGATGAAAGTGGGGAGGGGAGGGAGATACGGGGACGCTGTTTATCTACAGATGGTGGTCGTATGGCGACTGATATGGATTGTTGCTGTGGGGTATCTTAGCATTGCGGTGCAGGCGTTGTATTGTTTTAGCGGTGGCGATGTTGACCGCGGCCATGGCCTCTTTTTTTGTATATAGTAGCAGGCAATTAGATCATGGCATGTCGGCTTGGGTTTTGTCTCATCTGAAGTAAACCTCTTGAATTTGGAATGTTGCATGTTTCTCCTTGATACAGGAACCTAATGCCATAGACGAAACAAACTATAAGTTTAGGTGAAAAATTCTGCATCGAGACACATAATACGTAGCTCTCGAGTTTGTTAAACTATCATTTGATAATTGTTGCAAAGTGATCTCTACTGTGTAAGACCGAACCTTGTTGATTTGCGCCAAGAATAGCCTGCCTTCAGCAGCTTGTCATGCATCGCCGATAAGGAACCTTATCGCCGGACCCGAAAGTCGGAATCGCGGGCTGCGACCGCGACACCTTCGCAACACTCTCCCTTTTGCGCCGGCGTACCTCATTTTACGAATACACTATCCAATTTACCGACTGTATACGTACGCCTTCCGTCCCAAAACGACCGACTTCGTCCCACTCCGAGCGAACATCCCGCGCCGCGAAATGCCACGACCGTCACAATGCCGATTTGTATAGAATGTCGGCACCCCGTCAAGACACTCTGGCGCGAGGGCGGCGGCGACAAGTCGGGCGGGCACAACATCCGTTTGACAGTATGCAAAAACTGCGGCCGCTTCTGCGACAAATACGTCGAGCACGATTTCGTGGTGTTGTTTATTGATCTGGTCTTGATCAAGCCACAGGTACGGCAGCAGTCGGGACTGGGACGCAGGACAAGGGGACTAATACAAAAGGGGGGATTAGGTGTACAGGCATTTGCTACATAACACATTGATGAAAGAGGAGGACCAGTTTGCGGTAGGTTATTATCCGCGTTACAATGGCCCGTGTATATCAAGCAAGGACGAAGAGAGGACTAACGAGCCCCCCCTAGCCCTCGATCATCCGCCTCGGCGTTCTCCTTTTGCTCTTCGACGTCTATCTCACCTGGGCACGTATCGAGCGCCAATCCGCACCAGCCGACCCTCCCGATATAACCGACAATGAAAATAACTTTGGCCGACTTGCCCAACAACCCATAGTCTTCCAATACATGTTTTTCCGTACGCCTCCCCCCAGACCCATTCACCATCCCCCCCCACCACACACCACCCATCATCCCAAACCAACCAACCCACTAACCAACCTTGGCGGACACACACATACACAGTAATCCTCTGCACGCTCTCCACAATCGCCTTCCACGGCTCCATCCGCTTCCTCACCTCATCACGCTACTCCCCACTCGCCGCGCTCGGCCTGTTACCACGGTACTCGCGGCCTAACTCAGTCTCCACGGCGCTGCTCGTGTCGTCGTCGACCAAGCTGTTCCCGATCCTGATGGTGATCTGGGAATACGACGTGCCCGCGGCGGCGCGGTCGCTCGGGTGGGCCGTGGTGGCCAACAACGTGGAGGCGCTCAAGATCCTGCTGGACTGCGGGTACGGCGTCGCCGCGCTGCTGGCCATGGCCGGTGCGGTCAGTCGGTGGGCGATGGGCCGGGCGGTGCTGTGGGCGGCTGGGTTGGAAGGGGTGGACTCAGCGGGCGAGTCCGGGGTTGCGGAGGACGGGCGCGCCTTTGTCGCGATGCTGATGTACGCGAGGGAATGGGCGGGCAGGCTGGCTGTTGGTTAGGTGCCGCGCAGCGCGAGCTTGAGTGTTCCCGTTCCCGTTGTGCGTTAAGCCTTTGTTTTCTTATCCGAACTGTTCTGCAAAGTTGTCATGAGATGAGTGATTTCTTCCTTCTTGACATGATGCAACTGTGTTGTATTGGCCCGCCTCTGTTCTGCCAGGGGGGCTGTCTGTTGGATGTACAAGTCCAAAGCCAACCCAAATGTGAAATATCAAAAACCCGTTATATGCCCGCCTCGCGCCCAAAACGCCGCCCCGCATCTGTATGGAATGCCGTGGGTATTCGTACAACGAGCCGCTGAATATGGTCCCGCCTCGCGCCCGTCTTGCCGCCCGTCTGGCCGCCCCCGGAAATCCATCTTAGTGGTGGATGTACTCCTTGCGTAGGTCCGACCGTCGCGGCTCGATGAGCGGGTGGAGCTGGGCGAGGAATGTAACAGCCCACATGAGGAAGCAGCTGGCAATGGAGAGGATGATGGAGGAGCGCCAGAGCCTGGAGAGAGATGAAGTCAGTACAACATCATCAAATGACGGGCGTGGGAGTTAGGGAAAACATACACTTGATTCTCGCCCTTGGGAGAGAAGAACCATGCTGCAAGAGCCATGGCAACAACTATCACGAAGCCAATGATGACACTCCACCTGCAAGACTCGGTGTTAGCCAGGAGCGGACGGTTCTATGGTGGTGTGCAGGGCTGTCGCGTACCCGTTGGCCATTTTGCCGGTCTATTATGCGGGATGATTTGACTGCTTCGATTGACCCCGGCGGACGTAGTGTTGTTGAGTGCGAAACGGTTTGTTGGCGGCCGAGAGAAGCGGCGTTGCTTATTCGGTGGTTGGTTGCGCGGCGTTGGAGGTTGGCGGAAGCTCACGCCGCAGCAACAAGGCAAGCTGCGGACCTTGGCGACTGCCCTTAGTCATCCGACTGACCTACCTTGTAAGATTACCTTACACCTTACGAACATAACATTACGACTTCAACATTTCAACCCACCTCATACTTCCGAATGCCGAACAACAAAGCAGCAATTAATAGAGGTGTTGAGGTGTCAATAGGTGCTTAGGTAGTACGATCCTGACTCTGGCTAAGTAATACTTTCGAACCCCGACTTCCATCACGAGACCGATTTAATCAATCAGTTATTCTCATACTTCAACCCCGACTCCTGCCGGATGGCGCCGTAAATTCCGGCGATGTCCCCCTTCGCCCCGTCGTGTTCCTTCACCTCGGCCAGATGCGCATCCGCCACTTCGAGGTTCCTCATCCGCACGCCACAGGCCTTGGCCAGACTAAGGGCATGCCTCGCGTCCTTCCTTGCAAGGTCAACGGGAAAGAGTGGGTAGTCCATCTGGTGGTACGCCCCCGACAGGATGCGAGTCGAATAATCCGCAAACGGACCGGGGAAGAGACTCTCGATTAAGTCATGCATGTATTGTGTTCCGAGCCCAGACTTCTCCGACAGGACCAGGGTCTCAGAAATCTGCTCGACCATGTTTGCGATGAAGGTGTTGCCGATCAGCTTCAGCTGGAGCGCTTTCTCATAGGGCTGGTCGCTCATGTCGATCTCGCTTTTGGCCATGACACCTTTGAAGTACTGTCGAGCCTTTTGGACCGAGGCCTTGGGGCCTGCAAGGACACCGATGAGCTGCCCGATCTCGCCCTTGGCAGGCGCTCCAAACACCGGGGCGGCGACGAACTCAGCACCGCGGTCATGGAAGAGCTTGGCGACGCGTACTGTGGTGTCCGGGTGGATGGTGGAGCACTCTACGAAGAGCTTGCCCTTGACGTCGACAGCTTCGAGGATCTCGGCTGCCACGCTTTCCACCACATCGTCCTTGGCGAGGATCGTGAAGATGATATCTGCCTTGGCAACGCCCGCAGTGACCGAGTCGATAATTTCGACCTGGCCAGTCGTAAACTTCTCGCTGAACTCGACGGACTTCTGCTTGGTGCGGTTGTAAATAAGAACGGGGTGTTCGACATCTCCCTTCTGTACGACGTTTTTGCACATCCCCTGGCCATGTTAGAACTCCTTCTTCGCATGGTCGGCAATCTGTGCACTTACCCGGCCCATGTTCCCCAGGCCAATCCACAAGACTTTCGGCGCCATGTTTAAGGGAATTAATACGTAGGTTTCTAATGTCCGTGCTTACAAAATGTTCAAAATACCAGGAGGTTGCGGATGGGGCAGATGGTGTTGACAAGCGGTTGTGTTGGGGAATTCGTTGTGTGTCACTTCTAGGTTTTATCAAGGGCCTTCCCTCCCTTATAAGTCGGGTAATGGACCGGGCCACTTCGCGGGGAAACGCTTTCCCCTCTCGCCATAACCTTGGGAACAACCTCGGAAGGAAAGGCTTACAAATGGCAACCACGAGTTGCCCATGCAAGGTCGGAATCACCTCTCTAGTGAGAATCAAAATGAGCCTTGCCTTCCCACATTGGGGTGGGTGGCTTTGAGTTGCTGCTTTCCTGTCGCCGGGTCATCTATACTATACAGTACGACCCCAAAATTATTCCATCATCGAACCGCGGGATAACTTGGAACCTGAATCAAGTGCGGGGCAGCAGACTTCAGCTCCTGCTGTTGCTGGTTGCGTAACCTGTGGTCAGTTAATAAACGCGGCTAGCACCTGCGGGGTTCTTTCCGCCATGGAAGCATCACGGATGCTTCTCGTGAAGGTCCAATTGCCCAATCATTCATCAATGTGAGTTGCCGTCAAGAGGGACCTTGCCGACCGGGACATCTGCTGGCCCACTCTAGACTTCCTGGTTGCCGCTGGTTGCCAAGAATGTCAGTCAGTTCCACTTTCCATTTGTTATCTGATGATCTGATAATTTTGCTTGGGGAGGTGAAAGAACAAGGGTTGTTAGTCGGTGGGTTTTCTCCTTCCTTGACTCACCATCATCGCGTTCTTTTCATCCTGCATTCCGCTCCCCAAAACGTAATGCTTGCCACCTGTATCTGAGAGCTGATTCATTAGCCGGGTCACCTCGAAAAGGGACCCCGGGAAACTTCCTTGCGCGCTTTTAAAATTCGCATGGCAATGTTCGCCAACTGTGGTGGCGCTTGGAAGAGAGCATCCTTAGTGGCCCAGGTGAGGCAGAGATATTCTGTTGTTCTTTTAACTCAATTACCTCTCGTCTGACGTCCAATCAGGCTTCTATCCGCAGGGAGAAAGGGTGTCACTTATCGACTGCTGAGAATGGCGCTCGATCTGGAAGGACGAGCGCTGGTGGTGCGTCTGAGAATCGACATCCGTCTGCTACAGAGGGAAAACAGAAAAGAGAGTCGGACAGGGTTAGCGACGCCAATACCTCAAGTACCTCGAACCCTACTAACCGTGGACAGCAATTTCTAATCTCTGTGCTTGAATCATCCGCTACCAAACGCGATGCCAAGGCGTATATTCAGACTTTTGGCTCGTCCCCAGGCTCGAGCCTAAAGAAGACGCCAGCTTTTACAACTGTCTTGAATGACGGCCTTCGTGGCCAGAGCGATGTTCCGCGCTTTGTCCAAGGCCCCGTGAAAGCTTCCGCGACAGATACTAACGAGGTGCCGCATATTGCCATCGTGAAGCTCATGCACCCACAAACTTGGGACGACGCTCTGCATGATGGCGTAGCCAAGACACTTACTCAACTACGGGACCTCGGTCTACGGAGCGTTATTGTTCTCGACTGTGACCTGGGGGAGCGCGATGGCACACAGCAACAGGAAGTCACTTCTGAACAAACGGACCGCATCATCCGAGCCATTGGCCGGCACGGCTCTCCAGGGGCGGAGCTAGTAAGCTCAACCATCTGGAAGACCAGGGGGGTGTCGGAAAACACGTCTCTAGTACGCCCTACGGATCTCTTTGTCGGATTCGGACGAGGTTTCACCACACCCCTGAGACACGGCCATATTGTAGTCGTGCCACCTCGCGCTCTCTGCGAAGAGACTTTGACATTTACAAAGGCTGACGCAGACGATGTTGTCTTTGCGTTGGCGCACTATTTTTCGGGCCTGCAGTTCGATAAGGGGACGCTGACGGAGGGGAAGGTTGAGAGCAGTTCTGGCCATGTACGGAACGCTTTAGTGGATCGAATCATCGTCATTGACCCCCTGGGCGGTATCCCGGCGAGCGGCCATGGAGACGGTGCACGGGTATTTGTGAACTTGGAAGAAGAGTTCGACAGACTCCAGGCCGCCCTTATTTCTAAAGGAGCAAGCCGATCCACAAGCGAGCACCATAGACCGGTCAAACGACCTCAAGGCCAGGCATGCGAGGAATCTGAAACTTGTCAAGAGAGCATTGGCGATACTCCCCTCGACTGCCTCGGCCGTTATCACCAGTCCGACCGAGGCGGCAAACCTACGAGCCCGACCCCTCCCGGCAAACGAGGCCACCGTCGGGCAAATTGCTGGTGAGGTGAAGACGAGGAGGTGGCAGAATCCGATCATCCACAACTTGATCACTGACAGGCCGATCTACTCTGCCTCTCTCCCCATCGGCAGAGTTAAACCCACAAGGGGCAATGATGAAAGGTCGCGGGGCCAAATGCCAACAACAACCCTCGCAAAGAAGGGCCTACCAGTTACAATCTTTCCTCATACACACACAGGGCGTTGGACACCCCCCAAACCAGGCGGGAGCCGACTTAAACTCACAGATACCTGTATCGACCTGCCACGGCTTGTCCACCTCATCAACGATTCATTCGGCCGGAAACTCGACGTCGAGCACTACCTGCGCCGGGTCGAAGATAGCCTCGCAGGCATTATCATTGCGGGCGAATACGAAGGAGGGGCCATTTTGACCTGGGAGCGACCCTTGGGCATGGACGAGGCGACGGCCCACGCCACCGGCCGGTTGGTCCCCTATCTTGACAAGTTCGCGGTGCTTAAGAGAAGTCAGGGTGCCGGTGGCGTGGCCGACATCGTGTTCAACGCCATGGTGCGTGATTGTTTCCCCGGCGGGGTGTGCTGGCGGAGCAGGAAAAACAATCCGGTCAATAAGTGGTACTTTGAGAGGTCGTGCGGCGTTAGGAAGCTGCCTGAGAGCAATTGGGCCATGTTCTGGACGACGCCGGAGGCAGCGACGAGCCGGCAGCTCATGGGGGATTACGAGGATGTGTGTAGGAATGTGGTGCCGTCTTGGGAGGATACGAAACCGGCGGATTAGGATGAAGGCATGTTTGCGGGATGAGACTTTTGAATCTGTACATACAATCAAGCATATGGATTTCGTGACCTGAAACCGTTGTTTGCCAAGCAAGGGGCTGCTGCAGGAAGTGCACATGTGGCTGAGCATTTGTGTTGACGACAGATGAAAGCGGTCACCCCGGGCATAATGACGCGGCCAATCATCCAAGCTTTTGTCTCGATGCAGCAGGGATTGGCAGGTCTCAAGTGTGGGGGCTTTGTTCCCTGCAGCTTGGCCCCCGAACGGCTTGCAAGGCAGAAGAGACCCAAACTGCATCACAACCAGAAACCTTCCTTTCCCACATCAACCTGCTAACAACGAAAGCTTGTTGTCGCACATTTTTGAACAATAGATCGCAAGCCTACCACGAACCGCCAAGATGGATGCGTTCAAGGGATTCCAGAAAAGCCTCACGTACGAATACCCAACAATCGAGGGGTATGGACGATTCGAGGGACAACAACATAACTGACACCGAGGCAGCTCGCTGGGTGGGCAAATCACCCCATTTGCCTCGCGCACCTTTCAGTACACAAAGGAGCAGCTGGGCCAAGCTGAGGACAAGGTTCGCGACACTTGAAGATTTTCCCCGGTTTAGAGGCAGTGGCTAACACCAGAACCCACAGACCCAGCTCCCGCCCGACTACATTGACCTCGAGAAGCGGGTCGATGCGCTCAAGGCAGTTCACTCGAAGATGCTTGCTGTGACGTGGGTTTTCCGATTCGTGTCCGGTTTCGCAGATAAAAGGTTGGGCTAACGACTTCGAAACAGCTCCCAGTACTCGAACGAGGCGTACGACTACCCGCCCAACATCAAGGAGACCTTTCAGGACCTTGGCCGCACCGTCAGCGAGAAGGTCACGCTCCTCTCGAGCGCCACCTCCCCTGCCGAGGCGCAGGCCGCCCTCACGGCGCCGCCCAGCGCCAAACCGCAGCCCAAGACGTTCCACCATGCGATGGCACGCGCCTCGCTGGCGGGTAGCCAGACTCTGCACCAGCAGCACACGGGCGCGGGCGAGGACCCGTTGGCGACGGCCCTCGAGAAGTACGCGCTAGCCATGGAGCGTGTCGGTGAGGCCCGCCTCGCCCAGGATGCCCAGGTCCAGAGCCGCTTTTTGGCGGGTTGGAACACCACCCTCAACACCAACATCCTGTTCGCCACGCGCGCCCGCCGCGCCGTCGAGAAGGCCCGTCTTACGCTCGACGCCGTCAAGGCCCGCGTCAAGGGCACCACCTGGAAGATGGCTGGTGCGGGGCCCGCGTCGCCCCGCTCGGCAGAGCCGCATGATGATCATGAGCTGAGCCCCGAGGCGCAGGAGGAGATCGAGAAGGCCGAGGACGAGTTTGTCACCCAGACGGAGGAGGCCGTGGGGGTTATGAAGAATGTGAGTTTCCCTTTGTGCCCCCCCCCCCCCTTTAATTTGTTGGATTCCATCACTGATATGTGCCTGCCCAGGTCCTCGACACCCCCGAGCCGCTGCGCAACCTGGCTGAGCTGATCGCGGCGCAAATGGAGTTCCACAAGAAGGCCCACGAGATTCTGAGCGAGTTGGCGCCCATCGTCGATGGGCTGCAGGTCGAACAGGAGGCAAGTCGCGCTTCGGCCTACGCGTTGCATTGAGAAGGGAGAGACAAGTGAAGAAGGCCATTGTTGCTGACACGCCAGCTTCCTCACTTCAGGCGAGCTATCGCAAGAGCCGAGAGAGCGCCTCCTAGGCGGGGCGCGACGGAGACACCGGGGGGGTTCAGCGCTGGACTGAGATGCCAAGCCACAGCAGAGCATCGTGTGCGAGGTCGGGTTTGTTTGCACAAGGGTTCCGTGGTATGGGGATTACCCCGCGGGGTTGTTGTTCTATCTATAAATACGCAGTTTGGTTGACCCGATGTGGTTGGTTTTATTCTTCTGGCCGGGCCGTTTTATCTTATCCTTCTCGATTTTGGAGGTGATCGCTGTAGATCCAGACTCGCCCAATCTTAGCCCAATTTTAGCCCGCTGTGTAGACCACATTCTGTCTACTCCTGTGCTTGTTGTGACGAGAGGAAGCCAAGAGCACAACCAAGATCATTCTTATCACAATGAGCTTTTGAGCTTTCACAATGAGCTTATTTCCCCGGGGCAATCGCCGCGGGGTCGGCATGCGCACCACGATAGGCGTCTACCCCGCCTTAGCCATTCATTCAATTACGGGCGTGTGGCTCAGTTGGTAGAGCGTTCGCTTAGCATACTACTCTGTATGCGAAAGGTCCTGGGTTCGATTCCCAGCTCGTCCACAGCTAATCTTTTGCTGGATAGCCATAGTATCTTTTTTCTTGTGACTGTTATTTTCATGCCTTTTGAGTCTGAGATTGACTTGGAAAAGGGTTTAGACGGATGTTTTACCTATAAAAGTTGAGTTCTCCTCCTTGAACTGTAGCGTTTTCCTATTTGAACTGTAGTGGTCCGTGCGCAACACTGCAAAACGTCGGCTAATTAGTTCTGCCGCTTGATGCCTGCCACACAGCATCACAGCATAACACCCGAAGCAACGTTACGATTCCACAACGGCGCAGTGAGAATACCCTCATTTGGGCATCGAGAATGGATTATTTAAGTGCTAATTTTTTGATTTCAGGTTTTCTTATTAAATATATGTCATTGCGCAGTCTGCAGGACATGGAGGAGTTACCGGCTTCACTCCAACCAGAGGCTGTCTTGACAGGGTCTCCTTATGGTGCACCTGCACCACCAAGCATCCCGCCAGGCCACCGTCTCCTCACTGGCCCGGCTTACGCCTCCTGCAACGAGCTCTTGCTTGATCTGAACTTTTAGGGGAAGTCCTATGGTCTGGGATTTGTGAAGAGGCGAGCTTCGAATTGAGAGTTTTGCGTATTTTCCTGAATCAGGGCTTGAAGAACTTCTTGGTATTCGTGCGTTCTGCTGGATGAAAATGGTGACTATTGGAGCGAAGTTCCATGATTTGTCTCCAAAGTAGGGCTCCGAATCATGCAGCTCACCGCCTTCCCGTTTTGGCTGACGCACGGACCACTACAGTTCAAATAGGAAAACGCTACAGTTCAAGGAGGAGAACTCTAAAAGTTGGAAGAACAAAGGTCTGCTTGATAGTTCAATATTACGCTTCGTCAGAGGTTTGGTGTCTCACATCCCTTGTAAATTACGGCCTTGGCGACACCCCACCTCAGCCTCGTCTCAAGTGGGACCGCCACTGATTGCACCGCTCCCAAATCCCTGCAGCCTGAGGTCATCCACCTGACAGTGCGCGCCTCGGAGCTCCCTTCAAGATCTGCCCACTCTCTGTACCGTCCAGCGACCCGACAAGCCATCCACCCGCACACAGCGCTGGAAGGCAGAACACATTCAATATGGTATGTTTCCCTACCGCTTTCTATTCTATTTGGTACGAAATGAAAGCAAACAAAGCGCTAACCTGCCCAACTTTTCTTGCAGCTGCCCCTCGGGCTTCTCAACGCGGCGCAAGGCCACCCCATGCTAGTCGAGCTCAAGAACGGCGAAACACTCAACGGCCACCTCGTGCTGTGCGATACATGGATGAACCTGACCCTACGCGAGGTCGTGCAGACCAGTCCGGTGCGTTTTATCGGCTCCTTCCGACCCCTCGATACTCCGATGGTGGATAGTTCGATGGACTACTTGCTGACTGGATGCGGTGGTAATAGGAAGGCGATAAGTTCGTGCGGCTGCCTGAGGTTTACGTCAAGGGGAATAATGTGGGTTTGGATTCTTCTGATATCCTGGCTGGCTGGGGCGGGTTGCTGACTCAACGGCGAACAGATCAAGTACCTGCGGGTTCCGGACGATATTATCGATGTTGTTAGGGACCAACAGAGCCAACAGGGCGGCGGTTACCGCGGTGGGCGTGGTGGTCAAGGGAGAGGAGATCACGGTGGTCGGGGTGGCGATAGGGGGCGTGGTGGGAGAGGGCGAGGAGGTGGAAGGGGTGGAAGGGGCAGAGGGTCATGAGGGGATCTTTGGGCGTCCTAATGTTTGATGAAGCGTAGATGAGGAAGATGAGGAACCGGCACTACTTCCGTTTCCGAGTCAGGATGGGGGTTGGTTTAGAAGCTGAAACGGGTTGGGAATCCGCCATGGGCGACGGTAACCACCAGCTTCGTGATGGGTATTAGTGGATGCGACGACATGCGGCGGATCATAAGTCCTCGCTTCTCGGTCCAGAAGTTGCTATTCCTCGCAGCTAGCGACCGGTTGCACCCCGTAGCCCGGAGGAGTAGCGGAGGAGAAATGAATGCCATGAGACTTACCATGATCCACGTGACCTGTATTGTCTCTAAGCCGGTGGCAGGGGTGCCCGTCTGACTGACACCGCCTTATTTTTTCATCCCGGCAGAATCTTTTGACCGAATTGATAAACTGACAGAAATGGATTTTTGATGGACTGATCGCCGTGAATATTCAACGTAGATACGAAGGTCCCCAAATTCGTAAACGCTGATGAGCACCGACTTCATACATGTCTTCGAAAAGGAATACCCAATTGTTGGCATTTTTATAGCACGGTCTCTATCCACGCAACCCCTTCCTTCGGGCCCGTCACCAACTCGTACCCCTCGCCCGCCTCATCCGCCTCATGTCGGCAAAACGTGTAACCGTCGACGCGCTCTCGCGGGCTTTATGCCCGTCAATTGACGGAAACCTACTACCACAAGCCATCTCCCTACCCGCACTATCTGCCAAACGCGGCCGAGTGACCCACGGGCAACATGATGCCGGGTTGGGCTCAGGCTGTCGAGCCAGCCAGGGGCGTGGCATACACACCAGCAGGCCCATGGGGCAAATCCCTAAACGAGAAAAGTTTCCGCAATGGGCCACCGCTCCTAGACCGCGACCGCAAAAGCGTGTGACGGAGGAAAAGCCACGGGCTGCGCCTGTGTTTGAGCCGTTTCCCAAATGGTCTGCAGCAGAGGTGGCGTCCTTATTTCCAGATGGGGAGTCTACAATTATGCCGCAGGACGCTCCCGAGTCAACAGCAAGCCGTTCGAAGACCGACTCTCCACAAGAGGCAGGCCAAGCAACCGCAGAGAAAGACCGCGACACCACAGGCCAGGTGCCTAAGGATACACGCAAACCCAGGTCCAGCCTCGAAGCCCTCCGACACAAGCCGTGTGAGCGCATCCACCTTATGCCAGTCAACTTCAACTTTCCCGCCGGAAACGGTCTACGCTACAACGCCGACTATATATGAGGCACTCCGCAACCTACGCAGCTGGCCGCACCAGGGGCAAGCCCAAAAGATACGGCGCCTCGTCAAGTACTTGGTGGAAAACCGTGGGGAGCGGCCCAACGTCTTTCTGTACGAAGCGCTGGTCGCGGCGAACTGGGACCCGGCAACAGGGTCGGCGGACGAACTGGCGGAAATCTACAAGGAGATGCGGACGGCGAACATACAGCCATCGCAGGCGTGGTACCATAGCGCGCTGAGGGTATGTTTGGAGGAGGGACGAGTTGGTTCGGAGAACGCCACTAACCTGGCCGCCAGCTGCTTGCAATTCATCCGAACTATCTCACCAGGAAGACCTACCTGCTGAAGTTGGAGGAACAAGAGATGGAACTCACTGACGATGGCAAGGCGAGCGTCGCTCTGGGACTGCTGCGCGACGGCCAGAATGAAATGGCTCTGGACTATTGGGACAACATGCGCAGCGCGGGGACCCAGATCCCTGAATGGTTGTCGGCTACTTTTGTCTACGTTCTGGTCTTACGGGGATTCATGGACGAGGCGGTCCAGTTATTTCGCCAGGTACTCGAGATGGCAAAGGGCAATTCCAACGGTGTACCTCTTTCCTTCTGGTCCTATATTCTGGACGAATGCAGTAGGGCCCTTCACTACGAGGGCACAAAGCTGGTATGGGACGAGATGGTTTCGCCGGGGAAGCTCAACCCTGCCGACGGCATCGCGCTTAATGTCCTCAACACAGCCGGCCGCCACGGCGATACGGTGCTCGCCACGGCCGTCGTCGAACTCCTCTCGGCCCGCGACGTCAAGCTCGGGTACCACCACTACGAACCGCTCCTCGAAAGCTACGTGCACGCCGGGAATATGGAGTTCGCGTTCCGTGTCCTCGGCATCATGAACGACGCGGGCATCCAGCCAGACCAGCCCAGCACCCGCGCCATCTTCTCCGTCCTGAAGGACTCCGCCCGGCGCCACAGAGGAAGCCATCCGGATCATCCACAGCCTGGGGCGCGTACCGGTGGCGGCGGTCAACGTGGTGCTCGAAGCTGTCATCGCGGCGAGCGACATGGCCAAGACACTGGACGTATACCGAGAGGTGTGCGACCTGTGCCAATCCGGGCCGAACCACCAGACGTTTGCGCTGCTGCTGGCCCAGTGCCGGCGCGCGGAGCAGGCCGTGTTCTTGGTGGCCGAGATGGACCGCTTCTCGGTGCGCCCGTCCCCGCCCATTCTCGACAGCCTGGTCCGCTGCTTCGCGCGCGACGGCAACCTCGGCGTCGCCCTATTGTACCTTGACGAGATGAGCCGCTACGCTACCGCGACTGCTACCGCGACTACCACCGCCGCCACTGCCCCCGGCTCGGCTTCGTCCTCGTCATCGTCGTTGTCTCCATCTTCATCCCCGCCTCCGTCCACCTGGGTTAGCGAGGCCACTCTGATCACCGTGCTCCGCCGGTGTTACCGCGAGAAGGATGAGCGGGCGTTTGCGCTTGTTGCTGAGGCACAGAAGAGGGGCATGTCGGTGAATATGGATATGGTGCGCAGGCTGGAACAGTCGTCGCAGGGGAAGTTTGAGGATGAGCTCGATGTGTAATGGCTGGTGATGTCGAGGTGCCGCTGTATACTCCCTGTATATCTATTGTAATGTACAACATCCAGTCTCCCTCGAATATACTCAAATTCTGAATATTTGTACCATATTTTCGACCTGAAGCTGTGGTTGCTCAACCTTGTGACGAATAACAATAAACAATAAAAGACGGCCCCTTATTTCCGGCACTATTGGGTATATAATATGCTTGATTACGTGGGGGTTGTAATCCGGTGGTTGTGAGACCCGACTGCCGACAGCCCCGGAGAGATTGTGCGTCACCTTGCATCATCTTCGGGGACGGCCCAACCAGTGAACCAAGCGTGTGCTGGCACTCGAAAGTGGCCGAGCATCATCATCCTGACCCAACCCCCGATTGCACTGGGCATCTGTCGTCCCATCAATGCGCACACGCAGTCCTCTTATCATGATCAGGGCAATGCGGTGCAATGCTTAGGTGCATCTAGATTTTACTATTCTCGGAGTTGGGACGCGGCGGAGCAGTGAGCAAACAAATGTTGAGACCAGTCGAAGCTTTAAAGGATTCAAATAATCCATGCCAGGCGGTTGTCCTCCCCCGGATCGTCTGAGCCACGCACCAGCTTCCCGAGCCGTTTAGCCACTCCGTCGTGGTTCATTACAGGGGTGTTGGCCCTTGCAGGAAGGGCACCATTGTGCTGGAACGTCGCCCTGATGTTAATTGGGTATGGTGCTCCCGGAGTTGCCCACTTACGTCCTCCATGGTCTCAAGTCCGATTCCTTTATCTTACCATCTCTCCCCCGTCGCAGCCGGAATTAAGGATGGCCTCGATGCGCGCTCGACTTTTCCGAGGGTAGTCTCTCGCCATTGTTCCCGTCGTAACGAAACTGCCTTGGGTCGGCCTCGGCGCTTACAAACCCGACTTCACAGTGTATTTACCAAAGTAAAGCAGCGCTCCCTTACTTAGGGTACCTAATCAGGGAGTTAGCACCGGCTCCATTCTTCACTCAATTGACCCGTCATTTTCATCGGATATTGTTCCCCGCCTCTTACTTTCCATCGCTTTGCATCCAAATTCACGGCGAGGAAGGTTTTGGTTTTTTTGAAGTCTAAATTGAGGAGTGCGGCATCTCGGGCTCGCTATCTTACATCGTGGAACATGACGTCGACCGAGGGGTGGGACGGGTCTGATTCGTCCGGCGCCAGGAGGAGGACCGACGGTTCAGAAAACGGATACCTAGCTGATGTAGGGGAAACCACCAGCCTGCTGGGCGCCGGCGCTCGCAGCAGCAGCAACCATGGGTCCCCCGACGAGACGAATGCTCCCAATCAGGACGGCAGTTGGGTAGGCCGTGAGGACTTTGCTGGGTTGCCGTGGTGGAAGACACCTTCGGTATGTTGAACGCATATTCACCGTCTTCAGGGCGATGCCATGATCCTCAGGTGTTAGAGGTTGACTATGGTGTAGGTCTGGTTCTTGCTAGCTCCATATGCCGTCTTCACGCTCGCATTTGGTGGCTCTGTCGTTCCAAGACTGAACCTGTAAGCGTCCTTGCCCTTCCCTCCTCTTAGACGCCAACTCCCTCTGACCTTGCTCAGCATTATCGACCTCGTCTGCAAGCACTACTTTGCCGACCGGTCAGCCACCGACCCGGACTTCACATTCGCCCCGGTGATTCCAGGGGGCAACAACCGGCAGTGCTTCATCCCGGAGGTGCAGCGGTCCGTGGCCACCTTCACACTGGTGCTCAACGTCACCATCGGCATGCTCAGTTCTCTCACGGCGCCCAAGCTTGGGTCACTGTCAGACCGCTATGGCCGGAAGCGCATGATGATCATCTGTTCCATGGGCGGCATCATGTCCGAGATCATCACCATTATTGCTGCCAAGTACCCCGAGACGATCGGCCACCAGTGGCTGCTACTTGGTGGTTTTTTCGACGGACTCACGGGCTCCTTCACCGCAGGGAGCGTCCTGAGCCACGCATATACGAGCGACTGCACTCCGCCGTCGAAGCGCGGCGTCGCTATCGGTTACCTCCACTCGTGTCTCTTCACGGGCCTCGCCATCGGCCCCCTCATCGCCGGCTACCTCGTCGAGTGGACCGGTTCTCTGCTGTCCATCTTCTACATCCTACTCGGATGCCACATCTCCTTCGTCCTCTTCATGGCCTTCGTCATCCCCGAGTCCCTCTCGAGGAAACAGCAGCTTCTGGCGCGCGAGAAGCACGCGCGCGCAAAGGAAGCCCTCGTCCCAACTCCTGAATGCACCGGACTCGCCCGGTCGCGGGTCCCACTCGGACGGCAGATCAGCCGCTTAGCACGCTCCATCTGGACGACGAACCCCCTCGCGCCGCTCGACATCCTCTTCCCGACGGGCCCCGGCACCGGCCAACTACGGCGCAACTTCCTCATCCTCGCCTTCATCGACATGGTGGTGCTCGGCACGGCCATGAGCGCAGGCACTGTCATCGTCATGTACGTCGAGTACATGTTCGAGTGGGGCAACCTCGAGAGCTCCCGCTTCGTCTCCATGACCTCGATGGTGCGCGTCATCGTCCTGGTCGGCATCCTGCCCCTCATCAACTACCTCTTCCGCAAGCGCCCCGCCGCGCGCCGCCGCCGCGAGGCCCTCGCCCACGACCCCACCAGCCCACCCCCGCGCGAAAAGAACCACGGCGCCGACAAACTTGACCTCTGGATCCTGCGCGTCGCCCTCGTCTCGGACGTCATCGGCATCACGGGCTACGTGTTTGCGCGGTCCAGCGCGGCCTTTGTCGCGTGCGCCATCGTCATGGCCTTTGGCGGCCTCGGGTCTGCCACCATCCAGGCCGCCGTCACCAAGCATGTCCCGCCCCAACGCGTCGGCCAGATGCTCGGCGCCATCGGCCTGCTGCACTCGCTCGCGCGCATCGGCGCCCCCATCGTCTTTAATCAGCTGTATGCCGCCACGGTGGAGGGGTTCCCGCAGGCGTTTTTTGTGATGTGGGCGAGCATGTTTGCGTTGGCGTTGGGCGCGTCGTTCTTTTTGAAGCCGAATGGTATGTTAGGTCCCCCCCCCCCTCTTTTTTGTTATTTTGTGTGTGTGTTTGTGTGTTGTTTGGGTTGAGTTTGTTTGGGACTTTGCTGACTGAGTGACCGCGGGGTTAGTTTACATGGCTGCGGACGATGAAGTATCTCCTTCTCCTCCCGCCCGCCCGAGCAGCAGTGCGAACGCTGTGCGGCGGGATGCGCTGGAGGATGATGCGCTTTTGCCTTGATGGGTATGTGCAGGGTCGATAGGTACGTGCGTGGGTCCTAGATGGGATAGGGGTTTGTAGAGGGAGGTTCAACCTGCATGAATAGATTACATGGCATTGCATACAAGAAGGGGTGGTGCATGGGTTTGGGGAAGGCGGTTTGAGGCGGCACGGAGATGGATGTTTGGGTGGCGATTCAACGGGCGGCTTATATATATACCCTGCATTGAGTTTATTTACTATTCATATTTGTCAATTCTGGAGTTTACTGATTCCCTCTGCCGGCGGTGTCCAACTTGGAAGTTGGTTGTTTCCAAGCTGTTGTTTGATACACTGTGCTTCGTATCCTTACAAGTCGTTACGCGTGCGTAGCAATGATAATGCCATGCTTATTTATCAGCCTGAGCCTTCTTATCCTTTTGTCTATGAGGAAACTCAGGCAATAAGATGAGATTTGATACATAAATCCCATCTCTCCAATGTCAGATGTTGAGACGAAGCCCGGGACTTAGGATTTGACTGACATGAGCGAAAGTGAGCGCTTTGTAATTCATTCTCGGACCACTTCCCTGTTTTCAACACTTTACATCACTCAACATCTCAAAACGCACCTCTTGAGTAGCACGCCATGATTTAGCCGACACAACCTAGAAACCACTTTATTCCCTATCTTAGGGGCATGATCCCGCTCCGAAAGTCCTGGTATCAAATCGCCCGCCCATCATTACCATTGTTCACTCCAATTCCGTCACCACGATTACGGGCACAAGTCTTCACGAGAATGAGCAGCAGCAACACCCCATCCCCAGCGCAGCCACCCGCGCAGCAAAAACAACACCAAAAGCCCATCCACTTTGGTCCCTTTGAAGTCACCAACCAAGTAAGCTCCCCCCATTTCAGGTGCAAAGCCGAAACCAAAATTCTACACCAACCAGATTGCTGACCATACCACCTTGACATGACAGGTCTTCCTCACCACCCCCCACTCCTTCGCTCTCGTCAACCTCAAACCGCTCCTCCCAGGCCACGTCCTCGTCTGCCCGCTCCAGCCCCACCGCCGCCTAACCGACCTCTCCGCCGCCGAGCTAACCGACCTCTTCACCGCCGTCCAGCGCGTGCAGCACATGCTCGCCCGGCATTACTTCCTCCTCCCTCCCCCCTCCCCCACCACCAACACCACCACCACCAACACCACCAACGAAGCAACAGACACAACCACCACCACCCAATCCCAACCCGCTCTCCCCCTCCCCACCGCAGGCGCCTTCAACATCGCCATCCAAGACGGCGCCGAGGCCGGCCAGACCGTGGCCCACGTGCACGTACACGTGATCCCGCGCATCCGCGGCGCCACGGCCAAGCCGGCGTCGACGCCGTCCGACGCCGTGTATGACCAGATGGCGGCGGAGGAGGGGAATGTCGGGGGGGGGTTGTGGGATCGGAGGTTGGGGAGGGGGAGGGATGGGGGTGGTGGTGAGGACGGTGGTGGTGAGGGCTATGGGTTTGGTGGTGGTGTTGGGGGAGAGAGGGAGGTGGGTGGGGTGATGGTGGATGGGGAGGGGCGGCCTGTTCCCGGGGGGGAGTTTTCCCCAGTATTGAGGATGCGGCGAGGGTGGAGAGGGGGATGCGGGAGATGGAGGAGGAGGCAGCGGTTTATAAGCTGGTATTGAAGGGGATGGAGAGGGATGGGTTGTAGCTCCGGCCTACCTAGTACGTACCTTGCTTGGTTTGGGAGGGAGGTGTAATGTAGAAGAGCTGGGCGAGACTTGCTGTGTGCTGTGTACGTGCAAAGAGAGGTTGATGAGCTTTCGGCCGGGATACCTGCATACCAGACCTGGGATGCATCGGAACTATGATCAAATAGACGGGGTCTAGAATAGAGGTGTTGGACCGCAAAAGTCTGGTATATACGCGCCAAGTATAATCGCCCGGCGTAAAATCACAAATACAAAGACAACGACCTGCCGCTTTCCGCATTCCAACCCGAGATGCTACCAACCAACCCATATAATCGCCCGCCGTACATGTATTCCATGCCCGAAACACCATAACCGAACCGTCACATGTCCCTACCGATACAAGCGCGCTGCCTCAATAACGCCTAATCTAACCCGGACAGGTGGTCCAGGCTGTCCATCCCGAGCGAGTCAAATCCCCCTGTGTCCATTTCGTTCATATTGACCCCCCGAAACACAAACATGGACGGATCATTGATCCCTGGGTTCCTGTTGCGGTCGTTCGGGGCTGGGGGCTGACTGGCGCCAGCGCCGAGCCCCCATGTCTGGAAATTCTGTTGCCAATTCACACCGTCCTTCAGGTACCAGTCTTGCCCGTCGATGGCGTACAGAGAGCTGGGCGACACTTGGCGGCCCCCGGAGCGAGAGGCCGGCGACTGGCCTATTGTGGCGTGCGCGTGGATGGGCGCAAAGGCCTGCGTGTAACTGGGCATGGTCCGCGTCCCCGGCGAGACGGCCCACGAGCTGATGTTCGACAGCGGATCGCCCATGGACATGGATGTGGCCACGAGCGGTTGCGCCGTCTGCCGCGGGTCTCGGTTCTGCATGTTCGGCAAGTTTGTGGGCATCCCGACGCCGGCCATGTTGTTCATCATGCCGGTGGGCATGCTTGCGGGAACGTCAAGAGCCATCGCTTGGGATTCCGGGTTGCTGTACTGATTCGGCGGCGTGTACTGTTCTTGGCCGTTGGTCGTCGGCGACTGTGCGATGGTGTCCGGGTGGGATCGCGGCGACCGTGTAGAAGGCCCCGACCCGTTGGGTGAAGGAACATCGGAGATGCTGACGGTCCCGTACTTCTCATCGGCCCGCTGCAGCACAAGCGCAGCCTCTTCGGGCAGCTCGACCTTCCACTTCCGCGCAAGCACGCTCAAGGTGCTCAGTGCCCTCCTCGCGCACAGCCAATCCTCAGATATCTCCTCTAAATGCTTCACCCCGTGGATAATGTCCCGCTTGGCCGTCTTCTCTGGCAGGTGCAGGATATGTATCGTACAAGCAGTCTGCACCATATACACGGCAATGTTGCAGATCTGCCTGAGGTCATACAGCTTTTTGTACAGGCGCATGAGCTTGGAGATAGCCCCAGCGTTGGCACCGCACATCCGCCACGGCGAGACGTGTGACGGCAATGGCGATGTCGCTGGGGTGTACTTGAGGAACGCTTTGAAGAGGTGGATGTACTGCAGATGGAAAAACATGCTGTCATGTGTCAGCCGGCCAGCCCTCGTCAGGCCTCCCCGGTTTACTTACTGCATAAGAATGACGTGCGGTAGCTGGCCATCCTTTGGTTCGAATTCGTTCGGCAGTTCCTTTTTCCACTCCTCTAGCCGGCGGTGGAGCTCGCTGAGCTTCTTGACCTCGATGTTTCTGCCGGTTGACCGCCCGATATGGTTGGGGTGGTAAAAGAAGAGCAGCAGATCGCTGCTGATCTCGCAGAGCTGACTCAAATGCAGCCCGACCGCCCGCGTCCGGGAAGGTTGCTTCGATGACTGGTCGAATCCGTTCTCCGTGTACGGCGACCACAAGTTTGCATCTTCGTCGGGGAATACGTCGTATTTGGGGACATTGTAAGTGTTCTTGGGGATCTGCGGTAACCGGCCGAGATAGTTGGACCAGCATTTGTCGAAGAGGAAGCAGCCCCAGAACGTGATCCTGCGCGCGTCCACTTCTTGCTCGTCGAGCGAACCCTTATCCTTTGCCGTCCCCCCGAGGTTGAGGTTCAGCCCAATATCCTGTGCCATTCGGAAACTCATGCCGCTGTACACCCACCCATTGGCCTCTCGCCCGCACCCGGCCTCGCGAACCGACATGAGCGCCAGCGCTTGCACCGTGGCGAGCTTGGGCTTCGCATACTCGTCATTCTCAACGATTAAGCGCTTCGCCTCATTAAAGAAGTGGTCGCCCTTGGTCCTACTGTCCCCCGGAACAGCAAAGGCGCCGGTGGCGCTGGTGAAGTGACAACCGAGGGCCAGGATAACATTGACAAGCAACGGCGTGCAATACACAGTCGTCCTGGGCTGCCCTTGTGGTTTGCCTTTGAGGAAGTCCCTGTAAAATAGGGATTTGGAGAGGGTGGCAAAGTAGGGGTAGTGCCAGTTGAAGTACAGATTGATCAAGTGGATGATCAATTGCGTGTCCTTGGTGACTTCGGTCCAGCTGGTCGTTGGCTCTTCAATTGAGAGGTAGCCATCGGATTCCGGCTCATCGAGATCGTCCGACTGGTCGCCTAGATAAATCAAATGTGACGTGCCGCCGATATAGCGAACAGAGCCATTCTCAAGACGAAGCTCCCCCATCTTTCGCGCAAGCTCCCTCTCGCCCTCCACCGGCTGGTTTGCGGCATATTCATCGTCGGTGCCGCCGTCCACTCCGTCAGAGTCCCCGCCGTCGACCTCGTTTCTGAGTATGGATTCTGCTACGGCGTCGAGGCTGTCGCATGTGCGTATCTTTTTTACTATCGCTGGCACGTCGTCCTCGGAGGCGTTCAGAATGGCCTCGATCAGCACCTGGAGAGTCGAGTTCCGGGCTTTCATGCTATCTGTCTTTTCGCGGTACACACCCTTCCTGCGGTGGTCCGAGTTCGGGTCGTAAACACACTCGGTGCCGTAGACGCTGGCACAGGCCGCGCAGCTGGGGACGGCGCCATCGCATTTGGACTTTCTCTTCCGGCAGGCGATACAAGCCGTGCTGACGCATCGCCGCTTCTGGTTGGCGGGGTCGGCGGCGCGTCGTGTCTTCTTCTTGGAGGACGACGGAGTTGCTCGGGTTGGTTCGGCGAAGGCGCCGTAGTCGTCCTGTCCGCCCGGGTGGAGAGGAACCGGGGGTGTATCGTGGCCGGCCATTGCGGCTGCGGGCGGTGCATCCGGCTTTCGAGGCGGCGGCGATTGTTGGCGCAATTCAGGGGAGCCCCGCGAATCCGGAATCCGGGGTTGGTGGGGAAATCGGCGGTGTTCCTGGCTAACTTGGGGTTGACACCTCGCGCTCTTTTTCGGACGAAATGTGAGCGAAGGTCCAGCTCAACCAGCAACTCCTGACGGCCTGCAGGCAGTTGCTTTTCGGTAGATCGGAATGCGGGGGCCAAATCAGGAACAATGGCTGGGGGTCGTGCTGGTCTGGTTCTAGTGGCCCACTTGTAACAGTCTAGGGCCGAAAAGAGGTATTATCGTAGGTAATTGTTACCTAGTCACGTTTAGGCGAACGCGGGCGACGGGAGCAACCAAACAAGAAGGGTTTCCAATCGCCCTTTTATCTGGTCGGTTCGCCCTGCAGACAGCCTTGGCAGCATGCGGGTAATCAATTAATGCTGGCAACGATGGCGAAAGGAAGGGGGAGTGGTCCACGGGCCCTGACTCGATTGTCAAGGTCCCGCCGGTCGACATTCAGCAGCCATCGATGCCATTGCTCACACTATATACCTGTACGCAGTCGGTACGATGGGCGCACGTGCGGTAGCCGCTGGTTTGGCTTTGTACACCGCTTTGTAGCATCGGGATCTCGCTGTGGACGGGATTCGGAATGAAAAAGGCGGGGTGGGACTGCGGCTTTTCCAGGTTCCAAAATATCTCCGGATGCTCTGGGGCCGCAGCCCGCAGGGCAGGGCAGGGCACCTCGAGCCCGCTTTCCATGGCATGCATGGGTGGCGAGCCCACGGGCGATTTGGCCTGAACTAAGGTGTGCGGCGGTAATTCGAGCCCGGGGGACATGGAAGGGTTGCGAAAAGGTGCAATTCAACTGGCTGTCGAAGCATGTAACATGCAACGATAAGCCGAGAATTGGCGGGTGAGGTGCTTCTGTCTGCGCTGCCCTGGAGCAGAAACCGCTCACGTGCCGATTGGACTTTTGGTGTCCTCCCTGCTCGAGATGAAAAGAAAGTCAGTGTCCGATATCACGATATGAAACTTGCGTGGAACAACCTATACTTCGACCAAAACTTCCGACCTTTCTCAGAGCTCCGCGGCGAGTTCGACGGCCCACGGCAACCTAGCCCTAACTCGTTCGTGATAACCTAAAAGGTTGCGTCACCTGGGCGAGACTTATGCTGCCAAGACTGGGGCACAAGACGGATGGAAGGATCGGCGGGGGCTGGACCCAGCGTGGGGGCGCTGAGACAAGTCAAGAAATGCCAAGAGTACAATACCCGGTACTCGCATAGCTGCTCACCTTCTCTTGTACAGAGATCCCGAATATGCCCCGGCTAAGTGCCATACCCAGTACCTACATGCTTTGATACTCCCTGGCCTGCCGGGTTACCGAGTTGAACATCACCAAAGGTCACTCTACTGAGCGGGATCCGAAGCACCATGGCCGCGAAACAATCAATTTGTTGGATCCCATGATTTATAGCATGGATGCGGTTGATATGGTCGTTCGATATCTGACCAAAACAAATTGCTAAGGTTGGAAGGTGATAATTACAACACACTTTCTCGTTTTTTTTTTTTCGCTCCGCAGCGTGCTCAAGCCGAGCACGCTGCGGCGAAATCCTGTTCTTGCCGCCATGGGCTCTGCAACCCCCCCAGTTGTCCCCACTTACGCGCTCCCTTCCTAATAATTAATCCAACATGTACTCACTCTTCTTAGGCATCTCTGGAGGAAAGTCGCACGGTCTTGACGGGAGTTATGGGCCCCTGCCTTGTCCAATGGACTCAAGAAGTCTCCCTGTCACCGGCTTGGGCTAGGGATGCAGAGACAAGCTATGGCATATTCGTATGCTCTGTTCTGACCAGCTCCTAGTCTCACTAGCTACCGGGAATGAAACCAATTCAGCAACTTCATCTCTCGAGCTGACGCGTTTTCGCCGGTAGCGGCCATCGTGCCAGGGCACACCCCCAGGCTAGGAGAGGGGAAACACCAGGGAGGCCGAGTGGCGCTGGGATTACAGACACGGGCCCTCTGCGGTAGCCAGGGCTTTACGGGCTCCTCGCAGGCACCACGGCAGTCACGGCAGTGACAGCAGCCCATCAACCGCCCCCCCTAACCGGTCCAGGCCCTACGACACTCCCTGCCTGTGACACCATCGCTGCAGCCAGTCTTATCGTGCTCACTCATGCAGCGACTACTATGACTACTATCACGACTAAAGCTGTCGGCGATCGTGCTATGGATGCAGTCATCCTCATCGCTCGCCGTGACCGGAACGGATCCCACAGCGAATGCTACCTCTACGGCGGATGCCGACACAGCTGCCGACTGATCCGGGGGCCAGCATTGCTGTTGTCGACGCTACCGCTCCTCCGAAAACAGCTACGGTTACAGCGACGCGCATTACACGGGGAGTTGGGATTGGCCACCCGCTATTCGTAGCTGCCCCTCTCGTCGTGATCGCGCGGGCGACTCATTCCGGAAGGGCACTAGGGAAACGGCATCGGGCCGTCCCCCTTTCAAACGTGGAGCTCTTAGCGGTCAAGCCCATGCTAAGGCTTTTGGTCCCGCGCTCGGCGGTAGGCTACTCCCGAGCGGATAAGTCCAAGGTGGTCGTGAAGAGAAAGGGTGGGAATTGTTGGTATTATGGTTTTGGGACAAGCGATACAGTTCTTTCTATCTGAACACCAATAGGTCGAAACAATTTCTCCCAGATCATGACTGCGTGGTGGGACAAGCCGGAGTTCCTCACATCCCCAGTTAGACTGGAGGAGCGAGAGGGGCTTCCTAAAGAGTGTGGAATCAGTATTCCTTTCAGGGGGAGGGGGGGTGGTTGCCAAAATGTACCACTAACAGACCAGCTTATCGCCAATTAATCAGCCCGGTTAGTCCCATTTGTTCCCGTTGTTCCCGGCCGTCGGCTACCTACCCCGAATTCGTTCTCCCCCCAGGTCTTCTGGCCAGGTTGTTAGCAAGCCGCCTGCAGCAGCGAATCGAGAATGGGCCAGAAAACGTCAAGTCAAGCATTTCCGCCAAGATCCCTCATGCAAGAACCGAACAGGGGAATAAATGTCGTGCAGCATGAGGCAATCTTGGCATTTACGAGGTCAATTTTCTCAACGGGGCTCAAACATCCGGTCGCCAGGTCCTATAACTGGCCACGGGCCCAATAGCTTGCTTGACCTCGGCTTGATCCGGGGCGAGACGGGCTGGGTGAGGGGCTACACAGGAAACCATTTCATGTGTTGTGGCACCACACCATGTTCGATGTGTGCGCCTCCGCGGGGCCGCACCTTGACCCAAAACCGACGACAGCAACTTATAGGTAACGTTATGATGGAGGCTGAACGGGGCGCGCTCTATTTTTATTTTATTTCTCGAGACTCCAAAGCAACCTTTTTCAAGCTGGCTGTCGGCACATCAGCAAACCGCGATAGTTGTACATTTTCCACCCCTTTAACTGCATTTCCACCCCCTTGACAGCATCAGCGGCCCACTTATATTTGCTGGCTCGCAAAGAACTTCTTCGACTCGGCACACCTCTCGCTCTTGCAGCCCGGACACCTCAGGCCCATCTGCGTCGAGCACGCGATCCCGCTGGTGAGGTGTGACTTCGCCAGGTCAGCGAGCGCCTGGATGAATACCGGGCTGCCGTTCAGGCTCTCCACGCGCTTGACTGTGTCGGCATGACCTGATTCGCCGATGACTTCTTCGTCGAGCTCGTAGAGGGTTTCAATGTGGTCGGACGTGAAGGCGATCGGGATGAGAAGGAGGTCCTTCTGTCCCTTTGCGATGTAGTCTTCCACCGAGCTGGATGTCTGCGGGCCGAGCCAGGGCTGAGGGCCGACCTGGGATTGCCAGCACAGCCGATAGGGGTTAACGTTCTTCAACCGGTTCATCACAGCGTGGACGGTCGCAGCCACTTCGGCGGGGTAGGGGTCGCCTGTGACCGTGTTAGTGTCGTAAAGCGAAGCGGCCATCAGCGGGAATGCTTACCCCTGTTCACCACGGTCATGGGCAAACTGTGCGCCGAGAACAGCAGCACAACCTTGTCCCGCTTCTCCGCCGGGTACTCTAGCAACTTGGCTTCGATGTTCTGGGCAAACGCCTCGACCAAGCCCGAATGCGCCGGCCAACGGTCAATGACGCTCCACTTAATGGTCCCATCGCTCCCGTCGTCCAACGGCCCGGCCTTGCCCTCCAGCCTCTGCCGCCACTTCCACAGCTCGTTCAGGCTGCTCCCCGTTGTCGAGCACGAGTACTGCGGGTACTGTGTGAAGGCGACTGCGCGGCCGCCGCGGCCATTGCCGAACCCATCGGCCAACATCTGCCGGTACATGTCCTCGGTGAGCGGGTTCGCGTAGCGGAAGGCCACGTAGGGCTTGTGCGGCGCAGTCTCGGGGCAGATCTTGTCGAGAATCTTACACATCTCGGCGCATTGATGCTCGGACCACTTGCGGATGGGCGAACCGCCGCCGATGGCCGCATATTGTTTCTGGATCTTGGGCGTGCGCCGCTTGGAGAGGAGCGGGCCGATGTAGCCTTGGAGCCGGCCAAGGGGGATGAGGTCGCCGTCCGACTATGTGCAAGTTAGCGGCGTGAAGTTGGTGAATCGCATTGGAGAACACTGGTCTACCCACGAATAGCCTACTGAGGAAGTCGCCCACTTCGTCGGTCGTTGACGGCCCGCCCATGTTGAGGAAGACCATGGCCGTCCCGCGCCCAGAGTCCCGAGTGACTGGGTGAGCCGGCGTTGCAAGCCATCGCACTTGGTGCGCCGACGGTTTTGTGAGTCCAAAGGTCCGGAGGGGCCGCATCGCGGCGGGGAGTCGGAGGGCCATATCGGAGCAGACACAGAGAACCCGAGGCAACTTGGGCGGAAGGAAGAGGGAAGCCAACGTGCGAAAAGGAAAATAAGAATAGTAACAAAAAAACAAAAGGACAATCACACAACCAGGCTAGGAAAGTCCAATTGACTCGCAAAACGGAATCCGATACCTTTTTGGAACGGTGGTGGCGAAGGCAGAAAGGAAGGCCAGATAACTCTCCACTCCTACTCTCCGGGCCCGTCGGCGACGGCAAGATCAAAGACCGACAACTTGCCTTCTTGGCATCGCCCATGACGTTGCAGATCCGCGGGGATGTTGTGGCCAATCGAGCCAATCAACATTTATCAATTGCAGTTTGCGCTGAGAGCCAGCTCAAAGTCGTCACATGTTCTGGCGTTAGGCAGGCGTGTCAGCCTAGAATCCAGTCGCGTTGTGACTGCACTTATCCGTCTTTCACCCAACCTTTTGCGCCGCCTTTAAAATTGAACACGACAACACACAGCAAACAACCCCAACTCTCAAACACGAATCGCGCATACATTGAAACACCTCAATCAGGCTTCTGAAGTCTCAATTATTTAACCATGGCATGGGGAGGCGATGACGACAGGCGACCAGATGCAGATGAGGGAGAGGAAGAGTTGGATGAGACTGTGGGATTCCCCAATCATATCTTCTGGATGGTTTTTCTAACATTTTTCAGGATTACAAAACACAAAAAGATGCCGTGTTGTTTGCGATTGATGTCAGCTCGTCGATGCTCCAACAACCCCCTGCTACGGATAAGAAGAGGGCCGATAAGGACTCGGCCATTGCTGCAGCCCTGAAATGCGCCTATCAATTCATGCAGCAGCGCATCATTGCGCAACCTAAGGATATGATGGGGATTCTCCTCTTTGGCACAGAAAAGTCAAGGTTCCGCGACGAGGTTGGGGGGCGCAGCTCTGGGTATCCTCACTGCTACCTCTTCACGGATCTTGACGTCCCCGCTGCTGAAGATGTCAAGAGTCTGAAGGCATTGGTGGAAGAAGGCGAAGACCCAGACGAGGTGCTCGTCCCGGCCAAGGAGCCCGCTTCCATGGCCAATGTGCTCTTCTGTGCCAACCAGGTGTTCACCACCAATGCAGCAAATTTTGGCTCCCGAAGGCTGTTCATCATTACGGATAACGATGCTCCACATGGAAAGGACAAGGCGGCAAAGTCTGCGGCAGCGGTACGGGCGAAGGATCTTTACGACCTTGGTGTTGTCATTGAGCTTTTTCCCGTTAGCCACGAAGGCAAAGCCTTTGATGTGTCCAAGTTCTATGACGTGGGTTACCCCTGGTGGTCGACTTGACGCATGCTGACCTTTTGTTTGATTAGGATATCATCTATCGCGACCCGGCCACTGAGGCTATTTCAGACGAGGTCAAGACCTCCAAATCAGGCGATGGCTTGAGTCTCCTCAACTCCCTAATATCCAACATCAATTCGAAACAAACACCGAAACGGGCGTATTTCTCGAATTTGCACTTCGAACTTGCGCCCAATGTCACAATATCAGTGAAGGGTTACATGCCTCTTCATCGCCAACAACCCGCACGCACGTGCTACGTTTGGCTTGGGGGGGAGCAAGCACAACTTGCTCAGTCCGAGACCATCAAGGTTGACTCAGCCACTCGGACTGTCGATAAGTCCGAGGTGAAGAAGGCGTACAAATTCGGTGGGGAGTACATTCATTTCAAACCCGAGGAAGCCGCATCCTTGAAGAACCTCGGAGGCAAGGTCCTTCGAGTTATTGGGTTTAAGCCGCGCTCTCTGTTGCCGACGTGGGCCTCGGTGAAGAAATCTATCTTCATTTTCCCCAGCGAAGAGCATTTTGTCGGTTCCACCCGTGTATTCTCCGCGTTAGTGGCAGAAATTGCTCGACTCGGACAAGGTCAGAATCGCATGGTTTGTAGCCCGTGAGAACGCGAACCCGATCATGGTGGCCATCATCCCTTCTAGAGCGATGGATGATGAAACATCAGAGACGCCATATCTCCCAGCGGGACTCTGGCTGTATCCTCTGCCCTTTGCAGATGACGTCAGGAACGTGGACTTGGCGGCACCGCCAAGGCCTGCCGACGAGCTCACAGACAAGATGCGGGAGATCGTGCAGAACCTCCAGCTACCAAAGGCCATGTACAACCCGCTCAAGTACCCCAACCCGTCATTGCAATGGCATTACAAGGTCCTGCAGGCCATGGCGCTGGACGAGGATGTGCCAGAGGCCTTGGATGACGCGACGATCCCGAAATATAGACAAATCGACAAGCGGGTTGGCGGATATTTGGCTGAGTGGAAGGAAGCACTCACGGAGAAGGCTGGCGGGCTCATGAAGAGCAGAGCAATGAAGCGCGAGGCGGAGGACGAGGACGTCAGTCGGCCGCTAGCGAAACGCACGAAGCCCGCCGCGCCTAAGGAAGCAGCGGGGGGGCATATGAGCAATGCACAGCTCAAGGCTGCTCTTGAACAAGACACACTCAAGAAGATGACGGTGGCAGAGCTGAAAGATGTGCTGGCGAGCAAGGGGGTCAGTGCGGTTGGGAAAAAGGCCGAGCTGGTCGATAAGTTGGAGCAATGGATCGAGGAGAATGTTTGAGCTCAGGGGAGGATCTTAGTTGGCCTCGGCTGTTCCGATGGGTCAGACTTATGGTATTGCAGTCGAGAGACATAAAAATGCCCATGTACCGTCTGCTTCACAAACGCGATCTCGTGATGTCTTGAGTGTTTTTTAAACCTAGAGGTGAAATTTATGAAAACCGCCGAAGTAACTAATACATTTATAAATCTGTCGATTGGTTCCCATTCCAATGTATATGCATCTCGATGCCTCAGTTATGGATACGGAATCGGCTCTTTCCTGCATCTCTAAAAAAGGCCCCACTGACCCCACTATATATATCTTCTTCCCGCTCTGACTGGTGCTCTATCACACGCAAGCACGCGGCTACACGTTCTGAGCTTCAACATTCCCGCGTCCACAAGGCGACTCGATTTTCCGGCGTCGGCACTTGCAACGTATCACGCCCTACCACGAACAAGAATCCCGGCATCGCATTAGTTACCGATCCAAGTTCATGGGCACCGCCCCTTCTTTTTAGCCCAAATGGGGGCACATCGCACAGTCTGATCGAAAAAGGCGACCGACAATGGAGGCGCTGCTGGGCGCTGGCCAGTCGAACCCGGCCTGCGGCTCCGTAGCCGATCTCCAAGTGCAACTACGCGATCTCCTTCACAACCGCGTCACCGAAACGCGTGCCGACCACACCTCGGTGACGTTCAAAATTCGGGCGACTGCGATTTTCGACCTTCCCGTTACCGAGACGGAAAATGAGACTCCCGACGGCGTGTCGAACGCCGATCCGCTGCTGGGGTCGACCGCTGTGCCCGCGAACGGGAATCCAGGCCAACCGACGAGACGAGTCAATGCCATGGATGCCCTCGTCAACCAACCAGTTGACGACCCGGCCCTACAGACCACAATTGCAAGGCATATCATCTTGTCGCTGAAAGCGGTGGATTCGAGCAATTGGACGGTGCGTCAGGTCTCGCGCACCGAGCAGGGTTGGACGTTCACCTACATTTGCAAGGACTCGTGGCAGGCGTGGAACCGTCAGGCCTCCAAGACCCCTGCGAAGACGGCCATTGGAGAATGGAGTGAGAAGGGTGGACAAGATCCGGTTCATTTGGGTAAGTCTGCCCGCGCTTTTGTTGCGGTACCAGTTGTTACTAACTGGGCCTTCTCAGCTCGTCCGGCCTTCGATTGTCGAGGTTCCGTTAAGATCGCCTTTTCCAAATCGGCCAAGACCATTGATGTGAAATATGAACATACCCCAATCCACAAGACTGTTGCGCAGCTGATAGAACTGCTTGCGCCGCCACCCGCCGCACCGATCGTCAGGACCCCAGCGAAGAAGGCCAAGGAACCGAAGGCACCAAAAGAGCCGAAACCACCGAAGGAACCCAAACCGAAGACACCGAGGCCCTCGAAGAAGCGGGCGGGAGAGAATGGTATCGCGGAAGGAGAGGGCTCGCAACCTAAAAGGAGTCGCAAGAAGAAGGACTCCCTCGCGCCAGTCGCGCCGCATGGCGCTGTTCTGCCCCCAGAAATGCCGGGTGCCCTCCCAGTGGGCGATTCATCAGCGCGCCAGCTCTATAGCACTCATACGGGAACTTCCGATGATCCGCAACCCGGCGGCTCGGGAAGTTACCCAGAGGGGCTTGTGAACGTTGCACACGATGCTGCCGCGGCATCCATAAATAGTGAGGTTCATACGCATTCAATCCTCAGTCTGCCTCTGGACGAGGCCGCAAGGCGGCGGGAGGTGGCGTTAAAGCTGCTCAGTGACAATAATCTTGACCCAAAAACTTTATCAGCCGAGCAGTTCAACATCTTTGCCAACCAGTCGCCTGATTTGCAAAGCGACTCTCTGGCGATGTTGCTAGAATATGGTGCCGAGAGATTGCGTATAGTTCATCCCACGAAGGATGCATCAAACTCCGGGCAGTCGACTCCTAACAATGCCAACAATCCTAGCCCAGCAGCAGCAGTGACTCCGCAGCCGGTGAATCCGAAGAAATCGCGGAAGAAATCAGAGATAGAAGGTGCGGGAGCGGGCGAACCCCAGAGGTCCAAGGCCGGCGAAGGGAGGCAGAGGCGTATCTGCGATAACTGCCGCATTGAAAAGTACAAGGGCAAGGTTCGTAGTTCGCTTTCTTGTCTACTCAATATCAAACTAACAACCATGCAGTGTGACAAGGCAAAGCCATCTTGCCCAATGTGCGTCGGTGAGGGTGTCGCATGCGTCTACCCTCCTTCAAAACCAAGGCAAAGCAAAGCGGCCGAGGCAATTCCGGGAGCTGCCGAGCAGACCGGCGCGGAGATTCCGAACGGCGAGCCGGATGGTGTGGGGTCAAGTCTTGATACTGCGCCAGTGGTCCAGCCGGCCGAGGAGCCAGCGCCGGTTGATGAGCTAGCTCCGGTCCAAGAACACTACGATGGTCATCTCCACCCAGCAGTGAACGTGCAGGTCCCCGAATCAGCAGTTCATGAGGCTGAGACGCCGTCGGATGTGTTCAACCAGGTTCATAGCATTTATCAACACCCCTCCGGACTAAGCTTTCCGCAAGTCAGCGCCACTAGCTCTACGGAACTCACCCAATCCAATATTCAGCCGGCGGCAGAACAAGGTTACATGTCAAACCCAGGGCCGGAAGTTCCTGAGGCCTCATTGCACGGCTACACACAGCCTCGACCACCAGCAGCTCATCAAAAGCCAGCCCCTGCGGTTGGCCGGGGCAGGCGTGGAAGCTCGGGAACCCAGGCTGCAGCACCAAGGCGCAGTCTCCCGGCCGGCCAGCCTGCCAATGAACGTAACGCGAGCGCTACAACGGACAGTCAGAATGTATGGCAATCAATATTTAGCACACCTGTCCAAGCAACGACGGCCTCGCCGAGGCAAGCCAGGGCTAAGAAACCTGCGCCTGTATCACAAGCATACGACGACTCCCGGCAACAACCGGCGTCAGCTTGGGGAAGTGCTGGCCAGTCCGTCGTAACACAACCGAGCCGCAACTCCCCGATCCAGGCCGCGGTTCAGCCTGCTCGCGTCACTTCGCGTCAGAACAATCGTTCTCCTCCCACCGCGGCCCAGCCTAGTTCAGTTCAGTCTAACACGGCTCAAGATTACAGCTATAACCAATATCAAAATGGCAACACCCAAGCCGAGCCCTCCGGTGAGCGCGTGTCGTACCAGCCGTATTCTAGCCAAACCTCCCATCGGCCGAGCTCGTACTCGACTGACGGTTATGATATTCGAATTCCCAACACAACATCCTCCACGTACCCTGCGACAGCATCGCAAATCGTGGCTTCATCGTACTCTTCCCACCCGGCAGCAACGACAAGCACGGCTCAATGGACGTCAACCCCTCAATCCAGGAATACACATGCGTACAACGCGGCTTCCAACCCCCCGCAGTCACAAGCATTGCAAGACTTCAACGTGCGCCCGCCGCCGACTCGACCTAGGGCCTCCTCGAGCGCGTATAGCCAACAACTGCAGCAACAGCAAAAACAGCAGCACGGGCAGCAGCACTCCCAACAACAGCCGGGGTACAACGGGTACACCAACAACTTAAGCCAGCATCAACAGCCGCAGCAACAAGCCAGTGGCAACTAGCAAAATCGGGGATACGGCTTCGGGGCAACAGCTAACAACGCGGCTCCTGGCTACAACCCGACGACGGTGGGGAGTGGGAACAATTCCTATCCCGCCGCGGCCAGCACCTCACATAGGCGCGGGCACTTGGGTCGTGGTAGCCACGGTCACCAGGCACAACAACAAAGGTCGATGAACCTGTCGAGCCACACCTACAGCAGCATGGACGGCGAACAATCACTGTATGACTTGCTCAGGACCAACCCGGCCGGATAGGATCTGGGGTCGGATTCGATCTGATTGACGTCCACGTCCGTGGGGGCGGCTGTCACTGGTTTGGTCCTAGTTACTCCGCCTCCACCCCCAGAGGTGTGTTTTGGGCGCACTATTACGGCTTATGCTCTGCGTCCATGATTTTTCTAGGAGGGCCAGGGCTATCAGTTGCACCTCGGTGCTCCATTCAGCGAAGAGCTCTCCTGGTCTTGTAGAGTCTTGTTGGTTTATATAAGAGCGATCCTTGTGGATTACAATCGGATTCCCCGGCTTGCTCATCCGCCACCAACCTAGCCGGGTTTTACTATGAATTCCATCAGCGATGACCCCCGTCAACCCGCTCACTCCATCGGGTTACACTCCGACAGCGTAACAACTGGGGTCGCCCTCTATTCCGGAGACCTTGGCCAGTAGCGCGGCCGTTTCTCGGTAAGCTGGAAGCCACCACGCCATCGCTCAGCGACATCTCTTCGCTAACTGAATCAACAGATGCGTTGGCATGCGCGCTGCTCTGCGAAGTGGATCCCCTTTCCATCGCACCTTAAGGGGCAAGCCCAGCGAATTGTCGACGGAGCTGGCATGCGAGGAAGCGGTGGTGGGTTGGTTTTCTAGTCATGGCTTATTCAGGCGTCACGGTTTGTTTTTTGAGGTGATACCCAAAATACCTTCGGGGCCAGGAAGATGGCGGACGGGAAAGACAGGGTTCGTGTAAACCTATTGTAAGTAATATAGATATCACTAGCTAGCGCCATGGCAAGAGGGGAGCAATGGCCGCCAAAAAAATCACAAATAAGAACTTACCCCAAACATGTCACGAACAACAACCAAGGCTATGATGATGTGGTGTGTGGCAAGTGACAACCCTCTAGTGAAAATAAATTTTAGAAAACAAACCAGCCGAAAAACGCCGTCCAGATGTCGGATAATTTACAACTAAGCCCAACAGCTCAATCGGACGCCCCAACCAACCAACCAATCATGGATGTGTCGAAGGAGAGGGATCAAAATAGCATCCCATGTCCTATCCCCTCCTTCCTTGAGCTTGTTGTTTTTGCTTTTTGTTTGCCCGTTCTTATCGAATGACTCGGACAGAAACTCCGCACCCCCCTATTGCGCCGCAACAGCTTCCGGCTTGCTATCGACCTTCTTCGCCGGGGGCGCCTCGCCGCTGTCATCCTCGCGGGCCCGCTTGCCGTTGGTGTCGCCGTTCTTGGTGGCGGTGGATTGAATGGTAGGCATCTGGACACTAGAGGGTTGTTAGTAAGATAGTGACAGAGTGTTGTAATGGGTGATGCGGGGACTTACTCGTTGGTGTTCTGCCGGGTCTCCTCGCTCTTCTTCTCGTCACGGTCCCGGTTGTTGTTGTCCCGGCCACGGCCGCCACCACGGCCACCGCGAAAACCACGCCCGCCCCTCCCTCCCCTGCCACGGCCCCGCCCGCCCTTGAAGCCGTTCCTGTGGCCGTTCTCACCTCCCTCTGACTTGCCCTCGCGGCCGTTGCGGTCGTCACGACCCCAGCCACCCCGGCCCCCGCGCCCGCGGCGATCGGACCCACGGTCCTTGCCTTCGAAGAAAGCGTTGCGCCGGTTGGTGTTGGGCTCGATCTCGCCCGCCTTGATCTGCCTGTTCTTCTCGTCCAGGTACTCCTTCTTCTTCATGATCAAGAGGTCGTGGCCCTTCCAGGTGGGCTTGGGGTCCAGCTTGACGAAGGCGTCGGCCTCCTCGGCTGTCCCGAACTCGACGAAAACGGAGCCCTTGAAGAGCTCCTCGGCGGTGCGCCGCAGCTTGACGTGCTTGACGTGGCCGTGGGGTGGAGAAGAAAGCCTCGATGTCGAACTGGGTAGACGCCTCCTCGTCCCCGAAGCCCTTCGCATAGACAGACGCGGCCACGCGGGCCCGCTGGGCGTCGTTGGATGACACGTAGGGCGTCTTGCGCTTGAGCGTCTCCTCGCCCTCCTCGCCTTCGATATCGAGGAAGGTGCTTTCGCGCAAGGCGGCAACGACGGCGCTGTAGGGCTGGAACTGGCGCATGCGCTTGAAGCTGGCGATGGTCTTGAGCGGCATGGGCTTGTTCTCCTCGCCGCCGGTGCTCTCCCACATGAACTTGTCGGTCGGCAGGTTGCTATCGCTGAAGTAGAATTCAACCTAAAGAACAGGGTCAGTCGGAGCGCGGTCGCGTAAAGAATTCCTGTTGCTGGGGCGCATGACATACCTGGGCGCGGATCTTGACGGGATCATCCGACACGGGCTGGGTGGTCGGGTCGTACTTCCGATTCTGCTTAAAATCCTTGTGGTTGATTCTGGCGGTCGTCTTCAGAATGCCTTCGGCCTTCTTGTCCTCGCCATTCTTCGCGTCTTGCACACCATCGTCGGCTTTTTCGACGGCGGTGGCCGTCTCCTCCACAGGCTGCACTTCAGCGGCCGCAGTGACAGCCTCGGTCTGCTCCTTGATGGCGGCGTCGCTCATGACGACGAGTGGTTATGCGCCAGACGAGAGGTGATGGAAATGAGAGTAGAAGCGGGATTGAGCAATTGACAGTTGATGGAGATCTACCTGAAGATTTCGAGTAGAAAAATGGTTGAAGGGAAAGAGATTTAGTTGATCTGCGTAGAAGCGAAAAGTCTGTGAACAGTTGAAGAAAGTTGGGTGCATGTGCCCTTGGAGAGAGCAGCTGCACAAAATTGTTGGTGGGGTAGCGTCGAGGTTGTTCAGCGCCGCAGCAGAGTCACAGGGGTGTACCGGCTTTGAAAGAGTCACCGGAGTCGGGAACGGAAACAGTCAAAACAGTCAATCGTGAGTAAAAATCAATCTTGTTGCCTGGTGGTTCGGCGATAGCATCCGTCAATATCTCTTCGGTTCTTTGCACGAGATCAAGAACCGCCAGGAGCCAATCTCTACTTCTGACATTAGAGTCCCCGATCCATTGGCGCGACCTGAAGAGGGCCTGTCCATTGACGAGCGCGTCTGCAAAAACCAAGCCGGCAACCCCACACTGCGATTGTCGCCTCTGTGTCGCTCAATTGGAGATTTTCAGCTCGCCGCCCCTCACCGCCCGCTCTCCCGCTCAAGCAGCAGATGCGCCAAGATTGTCTCCGCAACGGTAAAAGCCGCACGGGAGTGGGTCCGTAATAAGAGGTAGTGTAAATACCGTATAACTAACACATTTTTAGGTATCTGGAGGACTCCGTCAAAGTGAAAATAAAATACAGTGAAGTTTCACCCAGGAACCAGACCCCTGACCCTCACGTGAGCCGCTGCGTCGGGTCGAATTGGAGAGCGGGAAACTTTTTCGGGCGATTGCAGCTGTTCGTGGGAGAGCAACACCGCGGAGCCAAACTCCCCTAGCCCACTCGCCATTGAGGTGTCCGGATTTTTGGTGAATTGTCTGGCAGCTTGGCCCGTTACATGACAAGGCAGGGCCGGTCCTACACGACGGCGGGGGCCACAACAATCCCACGGCAATAGCATCCTCCAACCTCGGGAAAGGCACAAACGACGACTACGACGACCACGACGCAGCCCTAATAGACAGATAGACAAATAGACGGTTCCGACAAACCACCCATTATGAAGCAACGCAGGTTGTTGAGGTTTCACGGCCTAAAGCGCCCCGTGGGTTCACACTCCCCTCCCCCACCATTCCCTCAACCACTCCCCCACCTGTCGACTGACCTCGTTTGGCCCTTGTAGCGTATCCGCCAAACATGGAACAAATATAATCTGTTCAACCTTGCGCGCTCCCGAACGCCCTTCTTCCAGCCCAAAACATTCTTCCAGCAGAAATGGATATCCAAATCCCTGACCCGCGGCTACCACGGCGAGCACATCAAAGAATACCAGTGGGAGCGCATGTTTACCCGCCGCTCTCTCGCCGCCATCAATATGGACCCGGCTTATATGGCCAGGCACGATGGCAGCGAGCAAGCCACCGGTCGTGGCTCCGGTCAGAAATCGAGGAAAGGCCTGGATGTTTCAGACGTGCGGAACAAAGGCAACTCGACGAATCCGACGCCGTACATGCAGATGATGTTCGCCCCGATGGAACGCCGACTCGACATTGCCATTTTCCGCGCCCTTTTTGCTAGCAGTGCGAGACAGGCACGTCAGTTTGTGCTGCACGGGGCCGTCACGGTGAACGGAAAAAAGGTGCATTTTTACCCCGAACGACACACCGTGGCCCCGCGCGAGATGGCCTTTCGAATTCTGCTAACATGCCCGAACCACTAGATGACATACCCCGGCTACCTCCTCAACCCGGGTGACATGTTCCAGGTCGAGATCGAGCGGGTCATGGCAGCAACCGGGAAGCCAAAAAGGAAATCAGGCGGCAGCCAAAAAGCGCCCAAAAACACCGAAGCGAACGAGAACGCCGAAGGCGAAGAAAGCCAGGCCGCTGAAGGGGAAACCACCGAAACCGCCGAAACCGCAGCGGAAGGCGCGGTAGAAGGCGTGGCGGAAGCGGCGGTTACGGAGGCCGTCAAGTCGAAGCACTTTGCAACCCTCAAAGAACTCAAAATACGGGCCCAAAGGATCATGAAGGTGAAAAACCAGTTCATCCGTGCCAAGGAAAAGAAGGCCCTGCGTAAGATGCTCGTGCAGGTCAAGGAAACCCTGGAGCGCGGCCGGAAAGCCGACGATCCGACTGTGGCGGAGATGGACCAAGCCGAGCGCCAGCTGACGGACCTCCTCTCGGGGCTGTCCCTCTCGAGCAACCAGCACTCCACCGAGGCCAAGAAGGCGAGGATCGAGCTGAAGCGACAGCAAGAGATCCAAGGCCCGGACATCAAGAAGTCGCTCGTCGGCGGCGGCACCATCCGCTCCGCCCAGCTCGGCCTGCTGACGCCCAACCAGCGCAACGTGCTCCTCAAGGCGCTGCAGCTCGAGGCCGAGAACCCCTACGACTCCTCCAAGCCCTACGCCACCCCCTGGAAGCCGCGCGACTGGATGTCCCCCTTCGCCTTCATCCCCCGCTACCTCGAGGTCAACCAGAAGATCTGCGCCGCCGTCTACCTGCGCCACCCCGTCGCCCGCCCGGGCCTGTCCGAGGTGCCCACGCCGTTCGCCCCCTCCGTATCGCAGTTGGCGTTCAACTGGTACCTGCGGAGAGGTTGAGCGCTCTGGCGGGGCGAGGTTGAATGCTGGGGCTGGTGGTGTTGCTGTGTACTCGAGAGTCTTGTTGTTTTCGGTTGGGTGGGTTAGGGTGTGTGGTCGGGCGTGGGCAGGGCACGCCCATTATCGGAAGAGGGATATGAATAGAGCACATGGATGTATGTGTATAGCATGATGCCATGTATTCTAGGTGTAACTTGTACAATATGGACCTATCTGTCTGCTGGTTGTAACGAATGCCTGGGGTGTGAGGTTGCGTGGCAAACCAAAGCAAGATTTGGAATGTGGTGGGTTCAATGTTTACCATCTTTGTTCCGAACCCCGTGATCTGGAACTTTTACCTACTTACTACTTACTAGGGCGACGGCTTCATTGACGAGGATTACGCCAGAGATGACACCCCTCGGTAGGCGCGGGTCCCTCCTCCAGCTGCGATTGACATAGGAGAGCCGCCTGCCGGCCACACGGTTTAACTACTTCGTCCACTTTTCGGCTAAAGAGTATCTCTCCGGCTCCTCCCAGAGCACCGCTACTGCCAACCGATGGGTTTCAGATCTGGGCCAGAAGACACGGGGCGGGGGGGGGTGGTGACAGCGTTGCTCCTGGCGGTTGGGGTTGGATATCTGGAGGCGGTCGAGTGGTTGCTTGAGGAGGGGCCCTTGAGCGGGGTGGGGGGAGGGGGGCGGTGTGAGAAGCACATGGACATCACTCTCAACCGCCGGCCCTCGCTTCTGGTTGCCGTCACGCCAAACCATGCGACAAACCTAGCCGTAATGGGTGTTAGGAAGGTGATATCGGGAAGGTGGGAGGGGCATTGTGAATACCGAGGGTGGGAAAAAGGTGGTCGTGACGCCTTTTCTCTAGACATTCCTTCCGAGGCGTCGGGCGAATCCCGACCGCCTTGAGGGTCGGGAATGATGTTGTTGGTCCCTTTCATTTTCGCGGGTTTGTCGACTGCATCCGGACGGTCTAGTTTGTGAAAATATTTGAACACTATGGGTGGCTGTATCGCGGCGAGGTGGATGTGGAAAAGGGCGTATTGAGGGGGGGCCTTGGGGGAGTAATCGGAAACTATGGTTGGGGACGTTTAAGTGGCGGAAGGATTGAGAGCGTGGGCAATCTCTGACTGTCTGCCTTTTGACTTGGGACAGTGGAGCTGGTTACCATTCTCCAGAGCATAGCAAAGAGCAACCAAGACTGTGAGATCCTTTTATTCCAGACAGACAATAAGCTAAGCAACGACAGCAAGAAAAATAGGGTAAAACTAAAAGTGGGCGGAAAAGAAGACTAGGAAAATGGTATGAAGAGGTGTGGCGACAGCCGAGTGTGAGAACCGGAGTCCACCATCCACGGGCGGAGGATGATGAAAAGACAGTGAGTGAGTGAACTGGGGGTATAATGGTGCCCTGATCCAAGCAATCCTCCTCGTCCCATCCCCCTTTCCCATCCATGTTGGCCTGCCCTCCAGTTCTAGTAATATCAAAGCAGCCAGCTCGGTCGCCGGCTACTTGGGTTGGTCGTGTGGGCCGGCCGGGTCGAATGCAGGTGAACTTGTCGTTGTCGGCCGAGTAGTAAGCCCAGGGGTCGTCAACTCTGCTCAAACCGGGGTTGCTTCGAATGTCTCCAGCCGCCGAATAATCCGATTTTCATGTCCATCCCCAAAACAAAAACATCCCCCCTCATCGCCATTCCAACTGGAAACGCTGATAATCCTGTTCAGAACAAGTCGGGTATCGCGACATCGTTTCCAGTCCCCGGCCAGGCCAATTAGATCGTTGTACAATTTTTTTTTAGCAAGACGTTGATCAGACCGTCACCCCGACAAGAAGACCACGGGTCTTTTGGGAGTCGGGTAGAGCATCCCGCCGACGGCTGAGCACTTCCCCACCACCCGGAGTCCGCCGTCGTAAGGGTCCTCGGCCCTCTCCGCGGATAAACTTTTCCGTGGGTATTAAGGGGATGTGATTAAATAGGGAGACCGGGTGAAAACAAAATGAAACAAAAAAAAAAAAAACAGGCAAAAGAAAAGAGGCGGCGAGCTGGTATTGTTGTGGCATCATGATACTGAGACAGGTCGTGGAAATTAGAAGGGGAGAGGCCGGCGAGCTTATCGGAGAGAGAACCCCTTCCTCTTGGGCTCCTTCTCCAGAGGCCGTCCGCTCTCGATCCTCGACTTCTTCTCCTCGAGCTCGAGCCGTTGGCGCTCCAACTGCTCCTTCATCTCCCGATGGCGGGCGTACAGCTCCTCCTCGCTCAGCTTCAACTTGGATTCCTTCTCGGATACCTTCTGTTGGAAGACCATCTTCATCTCGGCCTCCATCTTGGCGAGCTTCTGCTCGTGAAGGTTGCGCTCCTCCTCCTGTTTCACGGCAGGGTTGACCTCCTTGAAAACGCTCGGGTCTTGCGAGACGCCCATAGCGATCAACTTGTCCGTCCGGTAGTTCTCGTAGAGGGTGTTATTGGTGTGCTCCTTGAGCTCCTCCATGTGGGTGCGGATGAGCATCTGGCGGAGCTTGACAAAATCGCAGTGCTCCTCGTTGTCCACTTCGATGACACCCCAAGGATAGCTACGGCCGCGGACCTTGCGCCCGTCGGCGTTGGTGACCTCGTTGTTAGCGCCAACAACGGCGAAGGGGACCTTGGACATGATCTCGTTGTTTTCGGCGATCGTCTCCTCGTCATCGAGCTCGTACCGCGGCCCCTCAAAGATCTGAACCTTGTGGTACTTGATGTCCGCAAGAATCTAGACGGGGAAATTAGCATACTGTAAGGCCAATAACAAGCCGACAAAGAACAAAACATACTCTAGCCTTGAAGGCAGCAACCTCCTCATCAGTGAGGGTATCAGCCTTGGCGATGACTGGGATCAAGTTGACCTTGGTGTGCAGGCGCTTCATGACCTCGATATCCAGGGGCTTCAGGGAGTGGCCAGTCGGCTGGATGAAGAAGACGCACGCGTGGATGCGGTTGTCGACAATGTTCATGCGGTTGACCTTGTTCTCGGCATCTAGGTAAGCATCGAACCGCTGCTCAATGTTGTCGACAATAGGCCGCCAAGACTCGTCATTGTTGACAAAGTCGCCAAAGCCAGGGGTATCAACCACGGTCAACCGCAGACGCACGCCCGCCTCCTCAATATCTGCGCTGATAGACTGGATAGTAACTGTCTTCGGGATGATGTCCAGGCTGGGCTCCTTGCGCTCCTTCGGGGGGTAAAGCGAAGTGTTAAAGAGTGTGTTGACGAGAGTCGACTTGCCCAGGCCGGATTCACCTGCGAGTGGGGGGGTTCAATCGTTAGAATTCGTGCTATTATGACACCTTATGGCACTCGGGATTTCATTCAAGATACGTACCGACAACCATGACGTTGAAGTTGAAGCCCTTGCGGACGCTCTTGCGGTGCCACTGATTGGGCAGGTTGGCAAAGCCAACGTAGCCCGTCAGCTTCCGGCGGACGATGTTCCTGTTGTCGCTCATAGCTGGAGGAGCTGCGGCCACAATGTCAGATGGAGCTTGGCGAGAAACCTCCGATCCAGACGACGAAGGCTTGACATGGGGAATTGGAATCGCCATGGTAGGGGATGGGAAATTGGTAGGAATACCGTTTGCAGCTGCGAATGACAAGACGAGTTAGCATCTTCCTTGTTAACGTGGCAGACTAGTGATGCAATGAGATCCTGTTGGGAGCACGCGGAGGCTGACTGTCAACGGGGGTCCTCGGCGGCGGCGTGATGTCCACGACCGGCTCAGGGGTGTTGACATAAAGCTCGCCATAAGAAAGCGGTTTGGCCATTGGGAGCTTCGGGAGGCGTTCTACATCCAGCATACTGCGATGGTGGCGGATTGGCGGCGTGTAAATGTACTGTTTGGTGCTGCTCAACGGCAGGCTGCTCGTCCGAGCCCCTGCTGGGGGGGGTCGATTCGTGCCAGTGTCCCGAGAAGCAGCCCGGCGGCCCCTGGGCTCTGGGGTGGCTGAACTCTTCTCGAACTGCATACTCCTTGGGCGGACCCTGGCAGTAGCGTTCTGAACCATTGTCGAGAAATGCATCTCGGCGAAGATGTGTTGGCCGTAATGGAATGTCTATGATGATTCTCGTCCAAGAAAGGCGGTTCCCAAGAAACGATAAAGAGCGGCGTCCAGCGGTCTCGAAATAACAGGCCGCGATGCTTGTGCCAGAGGGAGCGCGATGAAAGCCGCACGCGTGGGAGTGGCCGGGGCGAAGTCATTTGTCTCGGTCGGTTCGAACGAGGGAAAGGAGCGATGTTGTCGACTTCCCACGGTGGAATTCGATTCGCAATTCGGCGCTCAAACGCAGACATCACGAGGAAAGGAACAGAGAGCAGCGTGCTTACCCATTGCGATAGGAGCTGTAGAGAACGATCGATGTAGGTGTCGGGAAGAGAAATGAGGAAGGTGCACGAGTCTGAAAGGATGGCAAGAACGTTAGTCAAGTTCAGTTCCGCTTGGTCGGTCAGCGTTTGCAAGTGCAACCGATGGAGATGGATGGGATGGAGCCACAAGTCGCCGAACACTCCTGGGCTATGAGTACCCAGCGCTCAAAAGATGCGACGAAGTCGGCGAAAAGACCCCAACACCAAATGCAAACCAGTAATGGAATTCAAAAAGGAGTCCCAGAAACCGGGAAGAACCCAGTAGCCATAGAGGGCGAAAGCTGGCCTGGGCAAGGGGCATTTCATCATCACGTACCGGGTCAGAAATCGATGGTTCGATGCAGTCGCGTCTCGGAGCGCTAGAGGGATAGTGTTAAAAAGGTAACGGGTGCCCAGTGTGGCACTGAAGGATAACGCTAGGCGGCGTACAAGTACGGCAGGAAAAGAGTGTCGAGAAGGAGGAAATGTCGAAAAGAGGATGCGAAGGTGTGAACGTGTCGCGGTCGTCGAAGGGAAAAATTTAGGGTGCGACGAACAGGGAGATTAAGCTCTCCGGCTGCTTCGAGCAAAAGGGGTTGCAGTGCTGGGCACCCACGCTTTGCGGGAGTCGAGCGCAGGGGCCTGCTCGCGACAGATTAACGACTGGGGTCCGGGGCAGACCGGGTCCTGTGATTCGCCAGAAGGGTGTGGATGGCTTGCCAGGTCGGGAGGATCGAAGCCTGAGGATGGATGCTAATGGAATGCCCAGCAAGACCACGGAACAGCAACACTCCATGCATCAACTCGGGATACCTTCGTTCCAACCACAGGCCGCGAGTGAGATTCTGGTGGACCAATTGCGCCCTCCGGCTGTGCATATCACGAGAAGAGGGGCACTTCAAAAGCGAGGCACGGCCATCCACTGCGTGGGATGAACGTAATCCGTACTTGTTATACGAGCACCAACCGCAGGCTACAGCAAATCCAAATCCACACACATTGTCTGGGCCCAGCCGAGACTTGACTTCTCTCATGATGCGATGGACTTTGTTACCCCACCCCCAACGTTCTGCGCCGCCAATGTCGACAAATCCGACGAGACGTGCCCTTCGCTGCGGCCGTTGGTATTAAGTATAACTACCTAACCTAGGTGAAGCAGCGCGATTGCCTATTGAGAGCCCACGCCCAGTTCCTCGGTCTCAGAGCGTTGGGTCGTTGTCGCCCATGTGGAGGCTCGAATCCACGTGAGAGTTGACGACCTATTTAAATAGCCTGTGCCCCAGTTTTGCAGTACTGAGCCTCAAGATGGATTTGTTTCAACTGCACCCCGATCCCCAGCAAGGGCTTCATTGGAGACAATGTTTCAACTTGTGTCCATGCTGTTACCGGCAACGAAAAGGTTAAAACAGTGTTTCTCTGCAAGCAACCTTCCTCCCAGACCAGTCAAGCCAGCCGGAAGCCGTGCATCCAATTCGGTGTGCGATCGTCAGTTTGACAAGAGCACAACTGAAATTGCAGGGAAACCCTCCGGCGCCGTGCAAGCACCTTTCGGCTTCCATTCCCGTCTTACTAAGTATCTTATTCTTCGCGCAACCTCAGGAGTCATTGGCCCTCAAAGCCGAGGTAGGTTGGGAAGGGGAGCTGCGGAAACATCTGGGCGACCATTTGCTGGTTGGTGCTTCTCCATCGGCTTCTTTTTTTGCTGCACTGTGTATGGGTGTGTCTTTTGTATGTTCATACCCCAGCAGGCTCGGCGGACTGGGTTCTTTGCCAGTGCATTCTAGAACCTTGATCTCTTCTTCAAGAAAGGGAAAACACATCGACAGATCAGCAAATCATTGGTGACGATGAAAGGTGCTTTCAATGGCGAATGGACAAATCTATAAACTTCGCAATACCCCACAGTGTCCCTGACAATCTTGGCCTGACACGCCTGATTCCTGCCCTCCTGCCCTCCTGCCCTCCTGCCCCACAGCCAACCTGCCGATGATGTAACTTTAGGAACGGGAAGCTTCCAGCTTCGCAGCTCCAAACCGCTTCTTCCACCAAATCGCGCCAGCGGGGGAGCGCCGACTTGGGGCAACCAGATATGCCGACCATGAGAACCAACACAGTTTCCAGGGCAATTGGAGGTCACCGCTAGTTGAAACCCCTTAGCTTTTAGCTCCCCAAACTCCAACGCCAAGCACAGCTGCAACCACGATCACGCATCACGATCACGACCACTCTACACTATAATAACCGCGGCCGCGATGGCCTTGCATCGGGGGAACATTATACGCCTCAACCGTCTTAGATTTCCGATTCACTCCCAGGGACAGATCGGTTTTATTACCACAAGAACCCGACCACAACTAGTAAATAATGGCTCTGGGCTCCCTTTCGACCGGCAACCCCCCCGACGTTGCCTAATCTTGTCGCCCCGGCGGCATCGGTCGAAAGTGCGTGCTACCAAGCTGATATCGGTGACGCTCACTGGCGCATTGCTTGCGTTGTGGCTATCCCCGACTGATGCCTTGCAGCATACCGACTCCCGGGCCAAGTTGGCCCCCGGGAACCCTAGCGATGAAGACGGGGCGACCTCGAGCGAGGACCAGAGCGCCTGGGCCAAGTTCTCCCGGAACTTCGGCGGCCTCTCGTTTGTGCCCTCGACCGACGGGCTTTCCGACAGGGTGGTCGACATGATCATGCCGGAATGGGCCAAGCTTGTTCCCGGCTATGTCAGGAAGCTACAACGCGAGATGGACATGGCGCCTGGGTCATTGGCCGCCGAAATATGGCAGGAGGCACACGATCCGTTTACGCACCCGGAGATCCAGTACTCGGCCAAAGTTCGCGTGTCGGGGGAACTGTGTGACGAGGAGAAGATCTTCCTGGAACGACGACAGAAGATGATCATACCTGCCTTGGCGCGATTTTTAGGGGTTGAAGAAAGGGATATTCATCCAGATGACGTCCCTACTATTGCCATGTGCGGTTCTGGTGGCGGTCTCAGAGCCTTGGTTGCCGGGACTGGCTCGTTCCTCGCAACCGCTGAGGATGGGCTCTTTGACTGCGCGACGTACGTATCAGGGGTGAGCGGCTCCTGCTGGCTACAGTCCCTCTACTACTCGTCAGTGACCGAAGCGAATTTTCACAACGCCATTGACCACCTCAAAGCGCGTCTCGGCACCCATATCGCCTACCCACCCGTTGCCTTCGCCGCATTGACGACATCGCCCACGAACAAGTACCTATTTAGTGGTCTGGTGGAGAAGCTCAAGGGCGACCCCAACTCTCAATTTGGTCTTGTGGATGCCTACGGCATGCTTCTGGCAGCAAGGCTTCTGGTTCCAAAGGGTGAGCTAGGGGTCAACGAGAAAGACTTCAAGTTATCGAACCAGCGGGAATACATGAAGTATGGGCAGAACCCACTGCCTATCTACACCGCTGTACGGCACGAAATACCGGAGCTTGATTCACCCGACTACGGTGGCCCGGGCTCTTTGACGGAAGAGGCAAAGGACAGGGCCAAGAGGGAAGCATGGTTCCAGTGGTTTGAGATCACTCCGTACGAGTTCTTCTGCGAGGAGTTCTCGGCCGGCATTCCCACTTGGGCCATGGGCCGCAAGTTCAAAAATGGGACAGACCTACCCTCAACTTCGGGCTTCCGTCTTCCCGAGACCCGCCTGCCCTTTCTCCTAGGGACCTTTGGAAGCGCGTTTTGTGCCACTCTGAGCCACTACTATCGAGAGGTTAGACCCATTATCAAGAGTCTCACCGGCTTCCAGTCGCTCGATGACTTGATATGGGGCCACAACAAAGATTTGAGCAAAGTCCATCCTATCGAACCGCCCGGCGTCCCCAACTTCGTCCACGGAATGTACGGTCAACTCCCCGGCACGGTACCGCAAGGTGTCTACGACAACGAATACCTCCAGCTCATGGACGCAGGCATGTCCAACAACCTCCCCATCTACCCGCTCCTCCGCCCCGGCAGAGACGTCGACATCATCCTGGCATTCGACGCCTCGGCCGACATCAAGACAGACAACTGGCTTTCGGTCGCCGAAGGTTATGCCCGCCAGCGGAACATCAAAGGCTGGCCGATAGGAGCCGGTTGGCCCAAATCCTCCTCACCCTCCGTCGCCGCCTCCGAACTGGAACAAGCGCAAGCCCACTCAACCGCCGAAGCAGAAGACAAAATCAGCCAAGCCAAAACCGACCAAGCCGCCCGCCACCCACACGGCCCACGGGAACCCAAGCCGCCAGGCTCCCAACCCATGAAGCCCGAGTCCCAGCGGCAGACGGAAGCGGCGCACGAGCTGGGGTACTGCACAGTGTGGGTGGGCACGACGCAAGAGCGATCAACGACGGAGCCGCCGCCGCCGCCGGTCGACGACACCTCCACGTGGCGGCTGACGCACCCGGACGCGGGTATCGCCGTCGTGTACCTCCCTTTTCTGGCCAACGAGCGCGCCGCTCCAGGCGTCGACGTCGCCGTCTCTGACTACATGAGCACCTGGAATTTTGTCTACACCCCGCCCCAGATCGACGAGGTCATCGCCCTCGCCCGCGCCAATTATTCTGAAGGGCGCGCCCAGATCCGTGCTACAGTGCGCGCTGTTTATGAGCGTAAGAAGAAGCGCCGGTTGGAAAAGGAGCGGCGGGCTGAGAGGGCTGAGTTGCGGAGGTTGGTCAGGAGGGGGGACGTGAGTGGGTTGGGTGAGGGTGACCACTTTAGTTAGGTGCCTAGCGTTTTGCTAGGCTATTATGATGTGACGGATAGGTAATTATGATGATCATTGAATCATATGACAAGACAGTTGAAACAAACATATATACGTCGTACATGTGGCTTTTTTCTACATTGGAGCCGATGTTTGGCAAAAATATTATACATACACTACTACATTGGCACGGCTGAGTTTGGTGTTTCCCCGCCCTTGTCCAACTCCTCCCAATGCTGCACCGGCCGGGAAACCGTGCCCTTTTTGTGCGCTTGCCGGCCCGGATGGATGTGCTAAAATGTACAATACATCTATTTCTCTCCTCCCCATCCCGGCAACACACCGGAGTGAAGGAATACCTGCTCGGCAAACCCCGCCTCGGATGGAGGACTGAAGGGGTGCCGTAGCTCACCCAGCCGCCTCCATCCCCAAGCTGCTGGGCTTAACAAGTCCCCCCTCCCCCTCGTTTGGGATACATGACAAAGGGTGGGCGCTCTCTTTTTTTTGAAGAGGGGTTTTATTTGATTTTTTTTAGTGTCCGATAATCTCGCCCATATCGATGTAGGCGGGCTCCCAGGGGGCGGCGTCCTCGTTGAGCATGTCGGAGGGCACGCGCACGCCCTCGCCGGGGCTGTAGAGGTACCAGCTCTTGAGGGCGTTCATGGCGGCGCCCGTGCGGGCGTACTCGAGGCTGGAGCCGGCGGCCTCGCCGAGCTTGTCCTTGCCCGAGAAGATGCCGACGACGTAGACGGGGGTGCGCGACAGGCGGCCCGTCTCGGACAGCAGGCGGGCGACGGGCGGCTCGAAGTCCTCGCGCGCGCAGAGCAGCGACAGCTCGCGCGTCGGCTTCTTGAAGGCGAAGAGCTTGGAGAGGTCGAGCGTGCGCGAGAGCACGTGCGCTCCGATGAAGGCCTTGGCCCGCTCCCGCCCTGCGTGCGCGTAGATGGCGCCCGTGACGGCCCGCGCGCAGGTCGCATACGCCTTCTCGGCCAGCGACCGCGTGTACTCGTTGCCGTACTCGGCGTCGGCCCGGAGCCGGAGCTCGTCCTTGGCGTCCTCCGTGTCCACCACCTCGCCGAAATCGTCGTCGAACACCACGCGGCTGCTCATGCCATGGCGCCACTTGTGCTTCTTGAGCCCGTCGGCCTCGGCTCGCCGGTACCCGAACCCGACGACGGCGTTGCCCGGCTTGTGCATCGAGAACTGTAGCAGGCCCGGGTCCACCTCGCCACCGGGCACGGCGGCATGCTCCACACCCCACGAGCGGGCGACGTGGTGTAGGGAGGTGGGGCCGGCATACCCCTTCAGTGGCGGCGTACATAACGATCATGGGCAGGCGCGGGTACCGGCACATGAGA